AAGAAATTTGAAGAAATTAGAAATAATTTGGTAATTGCATTTTATTTTATTTCGAATTTAGGAAATACAAAGTTCAACTTCGTTCGATTGAAGCTCGTTTAGGTTTACTTTGTTTTCTTCGGTCTTTTCGGGTTAAACTCGAACACGAAGTTAATGATGAAGTTGAAGATCGACTTGGACATTGAGAAGGATATTTTCGAGATCGTTTAAGGTCATTATGATTTAACATATGATTGATTATCGATTTGTGGTTAGAATTCTGTTTACCACAAATTACTATTATTATTTGATTGTTACTATTAATCGTAGTGATAGTTGTATCATCGTCACTATCAATGTTTGTATTGTGAGTTGATGAGGAGGATGGTGATGAAGACAAGGATGATAATGATGAAATTAATGACGATGTTAATTGTGGTTGTGATTGTGATGATTGATGTGTAACAATTGGTTCCATTGATTGTAATGATTTAGCCGATGATAAAAGGTTAGGTTTAGTTAACAGTGATCTTTGATTAGACTGCGATAAGTTTAATTGTAATGATGATTTTTCTGTTGATTGTGGTTTGTAGTTTGTTAATAATGATCGTTGATGAGATTGATTGGTGGGAGGATTAATGAGAGATTTAAATTTAGGAAAAACAGTTTGAGAGCCATAGGAGTTTAATAATGATCCATAATCTGGTTTACTCATTAGATTGGTTAAACAATTTAATCCGTTGGTTGAATTTCCTGATGGATAATCATTGATAACATTATCCGATGAGATTAGATGACCATTCAAATGAGAATCATTGTTCTGATTGTTTTCAGTTGTTGTGAGTGATGATGATGGTGATGAGGATGAACAATCAACACCATTCGACCTTTTTATCAATTTAACATTATATTCGAGTCCTTTATGAATCCTGAGGAAATGTTTCTTCACATGATCGGCTCGATTGAACATCTTATTGCAAACGTAACAACGAAATGGTTTCTCATCTTTGTGGATATTTTCGTGTCTTCGGTAAAGGTCACGTCGGTCAGTTGAATATGAACATTGGTCACATGAGTATCTTTTTTTGTGATCGCCATCAAATAGTTTGTTTTGATGATTAAGTTGCTTGTTTGTTGATGTTTGGAGATGATGATGGTTGTAGAAATCGTTTAGAATCATTTTCTTTTTGGTTTTGGTTTTGTTTTGGTTTTTGATTGTTAACAATTTTTAAAGATCTAAGAGTTACAACACTTTGATTTAGAATTTTGTTTCTTAAGGATAGATAAGGTTTAATTTGGATATAAAGTCAACACAATTATTAATAGAATGAGAAAGTGGAAGGAGATATTTTCAGTTTTGGAGAGAGAGAGAAATAAAAACTTGGATAAAAAGCTGAAACAGAAACAGAGTGAAGATGATGAAGGATGAGAGAGGCGAGTCAAGGGAAAATGAAGGAAGAGGATGATAAGTGGGTGGAAATGATGAAAAGAGAAAGAAGATACAATTGTAAAAGATACATGTAGTTGGGTGGATTAAAAGAGAGCGAGAGAGAAAGAGAGAGGGAGAGAGAGAGATGATAAGGGAGAGAGAAGAGAGGGAGAGGGAAAGTTGGAGTTCGACTGAACTTTTTATTTTTCGTAGATGAAGTTGATGGAGGTGGTAATGTTGTCGTGAATGGTTAGAACGACATGATGATGATGATGATGTTACTCTAGTGTAGTAAATGTTGAATGATAGAGAAGGATAAAAGTGGGAGGAAGATAAGAGTATGGAAAAGGAGGATGAGAAGGAGGAGGCGAAAGGGGGAAGAGGAAAATTGAAAAGGAAGATGAGGAAGAGTAGGAAGAGTAGGAGGAAGAAAAAAAGGAGGTGATGGAGGTGTGGGAGAGAAAATGGATTGTAAGAGGAAGATAAAAGTGAAGAGAAAGAGGAGAAACGAATTGTGAATGATTGAAGAGGGAAAAAGTTATGATAGAGAAAAGAGACAAGGAGAAAAAGAGAGAAAGAGAGAAAGAGAAACCTGGACGGGAAATGATTATTTGGAGGAAGATTTTGATGGTGGAGAAGAAGAAGATGAAGGAAAAAGTAATTTTCTAGAATCGAAATTGTAGAATTGGAATAGGAAAAACAAGAAGATCGAGACAAGAAGGAGTGGGATGCAGAACATGGGTGGAAGGGAGAGAGGAGTAAATGATGATGGAATAACTTACAGAATGAAGAGGAGGTGGAGGAGTGGGTGGAGAAGGGAAGAGAGTGGTTGTAATCTAAGGAAAGGGAGGTAAATCGTAAAAGGAAAGAGAGAGAAAAAGTTGATCTAACAGAAAGTTTCTGGAAATGATGAGGAAAAAAGTGGGTGGAGGGCATCATGATGATGATCATCATCATGAGAGATGGAAAAATGTAAAAGAAAGAAAAATGAAAGAGAGAGAGAAAGGATAGTAAAGAGGGCGGAGAGGGAATTAAGATAGAAGAGGAAAGGAAACTTTTTCGTTTTAGTCACAGAGAAGATAAAGAGGAAAAAGAGAGAGAGAGAAAAGTGAGTGAGTGAGATGAAGATGGAGATGAACCAAAAACAAAAAGGGGTTGAGGATGATGAGAATCTTCATCTTCCACCCAACAATCATTTCATATCTTCAATGATGATGCGATGAAATGTTTGCCTTTTATCAAGCGAATAAGAGCCAAGCCTAAATCGAAAGAGAAAAGGATATTGCATAATTTTCTCTCTCAAACAATAATCATCAACATATTCTATTACCACCAAACCCAATCTATGATTTTCTCTACTCTCTTGTCTTTTCCCACCTTGAAAACTTTTCCACCCTCATTAACTTATCTCTTTTAGTTAACAATTAATAGATCGCTTGGTAAAATGAAGATGGCGCTTTGGTAAGTCTCTCGTTCAATCGATAACTTTTTCTTCAATTTAACAAGTTTAATTGTTGATAGAAATTAATTAACTTTTTTTTGTTTATCTTCACTAATAAAGATTTTAAACAGATACGATTTGATTAGAGGGTGATTTGATTATCTTAATTTGTTGTTATTATAAAGGATTCGATCAGATAATGATTAGTGTTAATTGTTTGTTTTGGTTTTTACGTTTTAGTTTTTGATCATTTGGCTTGATTGACTTAATTCTGTTTCTCCGTATTTAATTATGTTTATGATACCTGAGAGTTTTAATGAAACGGTTATTGTTTCGACTGGCACTGAATTATCACAATTGAATTCACTGGATCAAGAAAATTTCCATCCGTCACATTTTACTGATTGTTCAGTTAATTTAAATCCAAGCGGTGATGATATTGAACCGGAAACAATTAAACCAACATCACAAATTAAATTGCCACCGTTATTCTCATGGTCCAGATTAAATTCTGTCAAATTGATCACTGATTTAGATGATTATTCACTTTTAAATATTTTCTCTTATATTAACAATATCCGAGAAAAGATAAGACTTAAAAGAGGTTAGAGTAACAATCAATTTCTAATTGTCATCTTTTTCCTTTTTAATTTTCTTTATATTCCTCTGATATTATAATAATTGTCCTTTCTTTGTGTTGTTGATTTCCACAATTTAGTCTGTCATCGATTCTATGGAATTTCTGGAAAATCGTTGAGATTAAATCACCAATCGATTCGGGAACGGAAAGATGTTTATTACCCATCAGAGATGAGACCTTTTTCTCGTAATGAAAAACGAGTTCGACTTCCATTTGATCAAATCTTGATTAATTGTCCCAAACTCAAAGAATTCAGGTCAACTGCTTGTGATAGAATTTGTTTCAATACCAACAGATTACCGGCTCATCTGATTAACTTGGAAAAACTGACCCTTCATGGCTGGTCAAATGTTAAAATGTCTTCGTCCATTGTCAGGCGATGTGTTAATCTTAAATTTCTTGACTTGGGTTGTATTAAATTGAGTCGAAATTTTGAAAATTATAAAATAGATTTAACTATGATCCAGTCCGATAAATTGTCCACCTTACGTTTACATGGAACACACTATTCGTTGGAAAATTTACAATCTTTCATGTTAGTTAAAGGATATTCTTTGAAAAGCTTCCATTATTGTTCAAGTTTAACTGCAACCGAATCTACAAATTCTGGTTCAACTGGAATGGTGATTATACCCTTTGAGCCTTTAGATTTTTTCACTGCATTGATACAAATCGTTTTCAATTGTTGTCCTAATTTAAATCGTTTTGAGATTAATTTAATCGACCATGATGGCTTTGGATCAGCAACACCAAATTTGATTCCATTGTATCACTTGTCCTCCATGACAATTAAAACAGAGCGAAGATCATTTAACATTGATCTTTTAGAGGTCATCTTGAAACATTGTCCATCTCTTGAATATCTTAATGTTGTTTCCAGTTATTTTAATGAAACGGACATCAGTCAATTATGTAAAACCTATTGTCCACTAATCAAGAAGGTAACTCACCAAACTTTCAATTAAAATACTAATCAAAAGACGGTCATCTAAATCACAATTAAACCAAACACATCGATCCAATACCAAGGACAATCTATTGATTCCCCGTGGCTACAAAATCAGCATAGCAACAAAGTATCAACTGTAGACGATTAAAATAAACTATAATCCAATTCCATAATCATAAAAAAAAGACCAAAACTGTTAAAAAGAAAGTTGAAAATTAACAATTAAATGAAATTAATTCCAATAACTTAATTGGTGAAAATAAACACAAAGTAAAAGTTGTTACTCTTTGCTGGTGATGAAAGTTGAAAATTGTTGGTACAATTTGAATCTTAAATTGTGACAATTGTTGAAATCAATCAGTTGATTTGAAGGTTAACTGAAAAAAGGAAGAAAAAAAAATCAAATTAACTGTTAATTGTTGGAATAACCAATGAGAATATAAGATCAAGTGGAAAAAGATTCTTCTTTTTGGTTTCCCGGGCGAAATGAGAAAATTTATTCTCAAGACTCTCTGTCTACTTTTCTTTTCTCTTTCTATTTCTCTGTCTATGTTTGTCTTCTTTCTTTTCCATTGTCTGTGATTCAACATTTGGTGTTTTCTTTATTTCATTTCATTTATTACAATTGTTGATTACAATTTAATTTTCTTTTTTTATATTTAACTGTTTTTTATTCTTCAATAGTTAATTCCTTTTCTTCCTTTGTCTTAAATTGTTTTAATTTTGCTCGTTGTTAATTGAATTGTAATAGAAAAATGGCTGAAAATAGTGACCAAGAAGCTGTTAACCAAATGATCCAAGGTAAAAGGCATCTTCTCATTAGAGATTATTACTCGGCTGTTCAGAGCTTTGAAAAGGTCTGTCAATTGTTGGACACTAAATATGGTAAATGTTCAGACCAGTGTGGTGATGCTTATCTTAATTATGGTATTGCTCTGTTGGAATTGGCAAGACAAGAAACCGGAGCTCAAGAAGGCCTTGTTAATGCTAAAAGTAAGTTATACCGGGTGATAAATCTCACTGGTTTTCTCTCTTTTAATTTTCACTTTTTGTAATTGTCTTTTTTTTTGTCTTTTTTCTGAAATTACAGTAAATGACCCTTCCGGTTCAGAAGATGAAGACGAAGAGGGTGATGAAGAGGAAGGAGAAGAGGAGGGAGAAGGAGAAGAAGGGGAAGATGGTGAGGCAAATGAAGGAAAAACCGATGATGAAGGTAAAAAGACTGATGCTGAGGAAGATTTGGCTGTCTCAGACCAAGAACAAGAGAAAGAAGGTGAAAAACCTGATGTAGAGGTAAATGCAGAATCCACAGAATCTAAGGACGTTGAAATGAATGGTAAAGAAGAACATGCTGCAGAAGAAAAAGTCAAAACCAATGGTGATGCTAAAAAAGAAGAAGATAAAGAAGATATTACAAAAATTCTGTCGATGAACCAATGGCTGGCGGTTCTTCTTCTGCTGGACCTTCCAATGATCTTGAAGAGCCAAGTACATCAACAGGTATCAAAAGATCTGATGATGATGACGAACCAACAAATACTGAAATAGCTTGGGAAGTTTTATCAATTGCTAAGGAAATTTTCACTCGTCAAGTTAACAATGGTGAAGATTTTAAATACAAATTAGCTGAAACTTTACAGAAATTGGGTGAAATTGCCACCGAATGGGAAAACAATGAATTAGCAATTGAGTTATTAACTGAATGTTTAACTTTGAGGCAACAATCTCTTCCAGAGGATGATAGACTTATCGCTGAGACACATTATCATATTGGAAATGCTCACTCATTCATATCTCAAGTTGAATCAGCCAATGAATGCTTCCAAAAGGCAATCGATGTGATTAAAAAACGAATTGAGAACAAAAAGATTTCCCTTACAACCGATGAGACCAAAAATGAGGAAATTTTATCCACAATTAAAGATGAAATCAGAGAATTGGAAGATTTACTCCCTGAAATGGTTTCCCGAATAGAGGATAGAGCTGATCAGATGATGGCAACAATCAAGGATGTCGTTAAAATGGCCTGTTCGGATAAAGAAGACGCCGATAGAGCAGCTAAACTTAAATCAAACGAACCCAAACCAATTAACAATATCAGTCATTTGGTTAAACGTAAACATGTTGACAATGGTGATTCAAACTCTTCATCCAATGGAGGTACCAAGAAAATCTGTACAAATGATCATCAAGCAAAAGAAGTTGAAAAAACGGATGTTGCTTAATTAACCCAACTCACATAAATTGAAACAAAATCTTCTGATTTAATCATTTTGATTAATTTTCATTATCCAAATTCACAACTACATTATTAATTTTTTCCTCTTCTCATTTTAAAAGTCAAATTTATTTTCACCTTTTTTTTCATTTATGTTTCTCATCAAACCTACTCAATTGTTGAAAAAGTTAACAGCAACAAAAAAACATCAATCACATTTTCGGCTCATCAAAACCGTTATCAATAAAGATATGTAAAAAAAACGAAACAATCAACTTCTTTTCTTTCAACAATTAAAAATTCTCATTTCAATTTTTGTGAAATTCACAAATTTCGATAGATCGATTGTCCGATACATCGAAACATCTGATTGGTGAATTTTCCTCACGTGTTTTTGAAAACATTTTCTTAGAAAATTTTGTGTATCAATTGATTTGATCTCGTTTTTAATTGTTAATTGTTTTCTAATTTGATTTGTTTTTCATTCTTTAATTAAACATGGCTGATGTTCAGACTGTTAAACCTGGTCAGTTGATCAACAATAAAGCGGCTCTGAATAGGAAGTTAAAGGAGATGAAATTAAATTATGATTGGATTGAGACTCTTGTTTTAACCAATTCTGGTTCTAATGAGGGTTTGCCTGATGATCAAGTTGATCATGATTTTAATCGTGAGATGCACTTGTAAGTATTTAATTTAATTATTCTTTCAATTGTGTGTGTCCTTTTGTGTGATTATTGGTTTCCAGTATATTTTTTCCTTTTATTATCAACGGTGAATATATTCCAACAGTTGAAAATTGTTTCTATCCTTGTGTTGTTTTTATTTAATTTTCTCTTCCATTGTGGATTAATTTTAGTGTTTTTTGTTTTGTTTTGTTTAATTTTCTAGCTATCGACAAGCACAATCTGCTGCATTAGAAGGTTTGAAGAGATTACATTCCCTTAATATACCAACTCGACGGCCAGATGATTATTTTGCTGAAATGGCTAAAAGTGATTCTCATATGTTGAAAGTGAAGAAAGCACTTGCTGAAAGAGAAGCTGTTCTATCTAAAATTGAAAGAGCTAAAAAGATGAGACAAGAAAAGAAAATGGCCAAAATGGTACAAAATCAAGTGAAAATTGCCAAACAAGCGGAAAAGAAAGAGTTGATGCAAAAAGTTGCTCGATATCAAAAGGGTAAAGACAAAAGCCTCGACTTTTTAAATGACAAACCATCAGCTAAAAAGAAGGAATCAAAACCACAGAAATCGACCAAAAAAGTTCTCCACAAGAAGAAAGTCTATGGTTTTGGTGGTCAAAAGAAAAGATCCAAATACAATACAGCCGAATCAGCGGCCGACGTTTCATCATTTAAACGAGGAAAACCAAGTAGTCGAGGATCCAAAGGTCCAATTAAAGGAAGCAAAAGTCCAAGAGGTGGTGGAGGTAAAAGCGGCAAAGGACCTCGATCTACACCTAAATCACAATCAAAACGTGGTTCTGGTAGAAAGCGTTGAGATAAATTATTTTAGATAATCAATTTCATATTGTCTCTCCTTTTCCCATGGGATGTACATAAACACGTTGTAATTACTGAATCAATGGTAAATTGTGCAAAGTTTGTACAAATCACCTTTACAAATCTTTTCACGATTAAATTAACTAATCACATGTTTAATTTGGTAATCACAACCAATCCAAATGTCATATTAACACCATTTAAATTATCAGGACTACACAGAGATATTTATACTAGATTTACCAGATTAAATTGTTTACAATTAATCACCTTGATTTAAGATCATATCTCAAATATTATTAACATTACCATCATAACCAAATTGAATTCATTTAATCAATGACGCAATTCCTGAAAACTTGTTTCATTAATCAACTAGCGAGAAATATTAATTGTTAAAGATTATCTTATTCCAATATAATAATTACCACTGATAATGATCGTTACAATTGATTAAGATTAGTTTTTAAGCTTGATTGATATGATGACTGAGGCTCAGTTGATTTAATTGTTTCTTTGTGGAAACGTATTATTCAAGGATATCAACAATTACTTAAATTAAATTTATTGAAAAAAGAAAATGATTAACATTATTGTTACTCTAAGTTTAATTGTTTGGGTTAATTGTGAAAATGTTTATTCGCCACCCGAACCAATTGAAATTGATACTAAACGAACTCCTTGTGAATTAATTGAATCTCGCAATTTTATTTGTGATCAACATTGGATCTTGACTGATGATGGTTACATTTTAACCGCTCACCATTTAATTAATCCAGTTCTGGTTTCAGCAAATATAACAACAATTAAACCAGTAGTACTACAACACGCTCTTCTCGGATCAGTTAATCATTTCCTGATTAACGCTGAAGGTGGATTTGCCTCTGATTGGACTGACGAGCAATCGATTGAAGTTAATTTAGCAATCGAAGGGCGTAATTTACCTTACCTATTAGCTAATTTAGGTTATGATGTTTGGATAATTAATTCGAGAGGTAATAAGTATTCACGAAATCACACTTGGCTCGATCCTGATTCCAATTCAGAATTTTGGAAATTCTCATATGATCAGATGATCAGTTACGATGCTCCAGCGACAATTGATTACATTTTACGTGAAACTGGACATGGTGAGTAATTTGTGCAACTTAATTGTTGATCTTTCGATTCTAAATTAATTGTGGTCGTTCATTAACAGAGACTTTGGCCTGGATCGGCCATTCGCAGGGTAGCATGGTGCTTTTTGGTTTTCTTTCAGAGAAACCCGAGTATTCAGCCAAGATAAAACCTTTTATCGCCCTCGCACCGGTCACAACCGTAGGTCACATTAAATCACCGATTAGATATATAGCCGATATACCGTTAATCAAGTCAATCGCTACTCTAATTGGAGGGGAACTTAATCTTCCTGAAACTTTGATTAACCTTTTCGCTAATCGAGTTTGCGAATGGACTGGAATCAAGGGAATTTGTACTTCGATTTTCTATCTCTTCGGTGGTTACGATCCTCAACAGTTCAATACAACTCGTCTTCCGCTTTACATTGCTCATGGTTTCGAAGGCACTTCCTGGTGGAATCTGGTTCACTTTGGACAGAATATTAAAAGTAATCGATTCGCTAAATTTGATTTCGGACTAATTGGTAATCTCCGTAAATATGGTTCATGGAAACCACCACAATATAATTTAGCTGAAATCGACTCCAAGAATATTATATTAATCTCTTCACCAAGCGATCCATTAGCTGATCCAGATGATATTGAACAATTGCGAAAATCGTTACAAGGTAAATTTATTGTCGATAATTTGTTCACAATTAATCCGATTTTGTTTGTTTGATTTCGATGTTGATTCTTATGTATTTTAATTTGTTTCTTTTTCTTCCTTAGTTCCTATCACTCAATTCATTGTTTCACAACCAAAGTTTTCACACTTGGATTTCATCTGGGGAAAAGACGTTTATTCAAATGTTTATAAAATGCTCGTTAAATTGTTGAAAGATTTTAGTTAATCAATCAATCAATTTAACTCATTTGCTGTCATTTCCAACCTTCGATTTGATTTAATTCATGAAATACTTCCAATAAATTATATAGCTATTTAATTTTTCATTCAATCAGTTGATCTCAAAATTTAATTTCTTTGAATACAAGAAATTATTAGTTAATTGTTTGGAATTTTTTACTTTTGTCTATTTTCACCGCAAAAGTGGCTATTTATCCAGAAGAAAATCGGTAACCATGTGATTCTTGTTGAGATTTAAAAACACGTTTAAGTGAATTTAATTTCTTGTTGTGATTTGTTTAATTGTTTTCATTGCAATTCTTTTAATTCTTTGTCTTATTTAATTGTTAAGTGTTAATTTTGTTCTGATTGAAGATGACAAAAGGATTTCATAGTAAGTATTTTTTGCCTTTTGGATGACGTTTTAGTTTTTCCAATCGCACCTTAGCTTTTCCTATGGATAAGTCTCACTGTTTACCTTTTTATTTATTATTGTGTTTGCTTTTTTTTTTGTTTTTTCTTTCTTCAGATAAACAAAGTAAGCGTATGCTTGCAAAAAGAAGGTACAAAGTTGAGAAAAAGGTTAGAGATCATAAGAAAAAGTTGAAAAAAGAGGCAAGAAAATCAAACCTACGAAGGCGACAACCTAAAGATCCTGGAATACCCAATAGTTTACCTTTCAAGGATGAGGTTATTAAAGAAATGCGTAGTTCCGTTGCTAGAGAGAAAAATTCCCGTTCAGCTGCTCGAGAGGAATTGAAAAAAGTTCGAAAACAAGGTAAAGAGACTGAATTCTTTCGATCTCGTGGTATTTTCGACAAGAAAGATAGACTCTTTTTGCTGAAGAAGCAAATTCTAGACGCTGCCAAAGCTGTTCCAAAGCCATCAGCAAGTGGATCACAAACTTCTTCTACTCCATCGACAAGTGAACCATCAACTTCAACATCTTCTCTTTCAAATTTAAAAAATTATCACAAAGAATTTCAGAAAGTCGTCGAAGCTTCCGATGTACTCATTGAAGTTCTAGACGCTCGTGATCCACTTGGCACTCGATGTCCTGACGTTGAAAAGGCTTTAATTGCCTCAGGATCGGAGAAAAGGTTAATTCTCCTTTTAAACAAAGTTGATCTGGTTCCGAAAGCCAACCTGGAGAAATGGATTAAATATCTTAAAAACGAATTTCCAACTTTACCATTTAAGGCCAGTACACAGAAGCAGAAAAATCATTTATCCAGAAACAAGAAAAGTGTAATGCAAACAACGGAAGGACTTTTATCCTCTTCGAAAGGATGTGGAGCAGCAGAACTATTAAGTTTATTAAAGAATTACTGTCGGTAAGTTTTCGACAATTGACATCGCCATCGACTCATTGATTGTGGTTAATTTTACATCTTTTTGTTTTGAATTTTTCAGGAGCGAAGGAATAAAAAAATCGATTACCGTTGGTGTTGTTGGATTACCAAATGTTGGTAAAAGCTCTGTGATCAATACTCTCAAGTGTAATCGAGCTTGTAATGTTGGTGCTATTCCTGGTGTCACCAAAGTCGCTCAGAAAGTTGTTCTAGATAAAAACATCGATCTATTTGATTGTCCTGGTATCGTTTACGCGAGTGCCAAACATTTTAAGAATGTCATTGATAACGACAAGACTTTGGCTTCTGTTCTTGCTCTTAGAAATAGTATTCCCTTTGATCAATTAGATGATCCCGTTCAACCAGTTGAAGCGATTCTTAGTCGGATTAAGAAAGAGGACTTGATGATCTTGTACGTGTTACCAGACTTTACCGATTCATCTGATTTCTTAGCTAAAATTGCAAGAAGATTTGGTTTCCTTAGGAAAGGAGGAATTGTTGATACTGAAGCAGCAGCAAAGAAAATTCTTAACGATTGGAATTCTGGTAAAATAAAATATGTCACCGAACCACCGGAAAAATATGAGATGTCTTCTCATGTTAGTGCTGAAATTGTATCCAAAATGAGTAAAGGATTTGATATCGATGCTTTGATCGCTGCTGATGATGAAGAAATGGCCGACGATGATGATGGCGATTCAGGAGCGGGTGATGAAGAGGAGGAAGAAGAGGATGATGATGAAGGCGAAGATGATGAAGATGAAGATGAAGATGACATGATTGATGAAGAAGATGATGTAGATGATGATGAAGATGAAGATGATGAATGATCAAATTAATCTCTTTTTAATCATCTAACAGGCTTCATCTTGTCAATCTCCTAAATCTTTAAATGTATCATCACACTTGTAAATCTAAATATTGAACAATAATCAATATAACAATCTTTGTATTATGATTATTGAGGTGATAAATTAAAATATTTTCGGATTAATTTCCTTAATTATCTGATAAAGATCAATTAATCTATAATTATTTTAGTTAATGACTTGCTTTTTATTGGCAAGTTCAATAATCGGTGAATATTAATAATACTTTCACCCTTGATTGTCTCTAAACCATCAACAGTAAATTGTTGAGGGTTAAAAGGTAAGATAATTATTATAATTATCTTTGGTTAATAATATAACCAAGAAGGTCAACAATTGAATTAAGTTCAATGTCCTTTTTGATTGTTGTTCATTGTTGGTTTCCAATGGAAACTCTGATATTTGTTTACTTTTTGTTACAAATGTTTTATTTCATTGAAAAAGAGTAAGAGATTTGGTAGAGAGAGAGAGAGAGAAGCAATTTACTAGGAATTAAAGGTGAGAAAGAGAAAATCAATTGTTTCGATTGTTGTGATTTAGAAATGAGCTACAATGTCGATATTGAATCAGTCAAATCAAAGTATTTCCTCTAATTGTGTTCGTAACAATGATGACCCTTTATTACCTCCGGTTAGACGAACTCGACCAAGTTCATCAAGTGAAAGAGGCTCTTGGGGTAAAGTGTCGACTTCTCAACGAAAGATGAGTCTTGATGTTTCCAATCAAGAATCGATTAAATCAACAGGTGGACAATCACGAAGAATAGAAAAAGAGAAATACTGTCCTCGATTATCACGAACTTTTCGTTCTGTAGGTGGTGACACAACAATGGAGGTCAATTTATCTAATAAATTCAAAGATAAACCAGAGAGACAAAGTGACCTAGTCAAGATCATAAGGTTAGTATGATTATAATAATATTCGTAAATCTTGAAGGTCCCATTTTTTTTTTGCTTCTCCATTTTCGGTGATAGATACAATGACAATTTCCCCGGTGATGACCCATTGATCCTCGAAGGAACCTTAATGTTAGAAAAATTTGACCAATCAATTGAATCCATTGACCAACAATCAAGTCAATCTTGGATAACACTGATTGATTGTAAACTAAAACTTCAACGTCTTTTACTTGAAAAAATTAAATCAATTGCGGAGGAAGATTGTATCACCTTAATCCAAGATGGACGATCGTATATAAGACAAATTGAAACAATTTACACGGAAGATCAATACAAATTAGAGACAGCCGGTAATCTAATCAATCTAACAGAGAAAGATCGTAAAGTGGCCTTAGATGATTTCATGGGGACAAGTAAAAAGCGTAAAAATTTACCCAACGAGACACAGAAACGATTCAATTCTTGGGTCGCCGATCTGAACAATTGTCAACGTCTATTGAACATAAACTATCGAGTTCCAAAGGAGCGATTAACAGTTCTAATGGTTGAACAAACTGCGAGTAAATTGGAGAAAATTAAATTAACAATATTACACTGGTTATCCTTGACTCTAACAATTAACATGAAAATAATGTCAATCTATTGGGATCATCTTCCATTCGAGACATTGAATGATGTTTTCGTTGCTTGTTTAACCTTCAATCAAATTTGGGAAAGTGAATCAATTGATCCGATTACAATATTATCATCAACCCAAGCGGAATCAGCATCAGCCCGAATCTCATTTCTCATTCAAAGTGAGGCCAAAAAAATAACCTCAGCCAAACGGAAAGTAAATAATAACAAGTTTAAAGTAAACAAGGAAACAATTAACACCAATGAAAGTGATGTCAACCCGACGATGACCACGACAGTTAAATTGACCGTTGGGAATCAAGTATCGGCCAAAGATATTTCATCCACCCCACCGTCAGTGTCTTCTGTGTCCACCCCATCCTCTTCACGACAAACTGTACTTCCGCCAATAGCTCGTATCATTGGTAAAACAATTAAAGACGAAACCGGATCAACATCTGATTATTATACAAACAGTGTAACAAGCAACGAGTCAATTGTTGATAAAAGTTATCATAATATTGCCTCAGGTGAAATGATTGATTTACCTTCTTACCTTTCAATTGTTTTATCTTCATCTCAAAGAATTGTCCTTAAATTGTCATTTATATTACAAACTGCTTCCAATGGTTTATCATCAACACTATTTAATTCAATACCAACAATTAAATCATCAAAACTTTCAAACAATTTACAAGGTAAAAAGTTAATCAACTCACCAAGAGCAACTTGGTCTAAGGTTAACAATTTAAACGCTTCCAGTGGTAACAATTTAATTTCTAGTTCAACTAATTGTTATGATAATTTGTATTGGCCAATATTTTGGAAAAATTTCACCCAACAATTAATTGATAATATTCTGTTTGCTCAGAATAATTTACTAATTGGTTCATTATCATCACCAATTTTTTTCACTCCGATAAGTTTTCAAAGGCTTATTCAAGAATCGTTAACTAATTGTCTCAATGAAGCCGATTTCCCTTCCGAAGCAATTAGTGAAATTAAACAAATTAACGATATATTAAACTACCATTTAACTGATCAAATTTGGTTTAAACGTAAGTCGTTAATTGTTGATTTCTATTTGACTGTTGATTAATTTTATTATTACTCTTTTCTATCAACAGTTTATTTGGACATTTATCAAATTAATTCTGATCGTTGTAATCAAGTTTTCGGGCGCAATGAAAGTATAACTTATGTTCCTGAGGCTGTCAAGTTAATTAAGGAATTAATTTCAATTGTTCATCAAGAAACTAATTGTACATCTTTTCAAATTTACCAAATTTGCTCAATTAAACAAATTGATTCACTGTTGAGGTTAATGATTAACCATACGAACAACATTTCCAATAGAAAACCAATTAAAGATTTGATTGAGTTTTACAAAGAGATTCAGGTTTGTAATTAATTGTTAATACCATTTGATTGTTAATGTAATTGCTAATTGTTATCTCCAAATAGACTCTCGATAAACCGATTAAAACTCTACAATTAGATGAACAATCAACTTCTAATGAGATATTGAGTTTACTCAATAATCTAATTGAAACATTGGAATCAAAAGTAATCACTGGATTACAGAAATTAACTTTACAAACATTTGCTCAACGAATTGGACAATCAAAGGGTAAGAACAATTTAAATTATCGATTACAATTTAATCAATTGGTTGAATTTTTTTCTTCGCTCTCAAGGTAATCAAAGTGATCCAATTGTCCCTTATGTTAAACATTTAATATTGGAACCAAATCTTGAACTATTAACTGATTGTTATCGATCAAATCATATTAGTAGACTGAAATGTTCAATGATTGGACTTTTTGCCAAAATAATTTACCAAATTGTGATTAACGATGGACTTAATAGTCAACTAAGATTAACGAGACATTTACGATTAATCATGAAACAGGAAATTGTTGATTTTATCCACGATTATGATGGTTGGTTTAAAAGTAATCATCAACAATTAGACGAGATTAATGATCTTCGACAATTAATTGACGAATCAACTAAATCTAAAGGTGAATGTTCACTTTTCAAACGATTCAACCGCATCTATCCGATTGCTAATAATTGGAATCAACCTCAAACAATTAACAATCTAAATGATTTACAAAGATGTGGATGTTTTTTTTAAAACCATAATCAAAGTGGAAAACTGATTTGTTAATACATTTGTAAATTCTGATAATTTGTTTGGAATAAAAAATCTTTTTTTTTCTTTCACGAAATCAATTGTTTTGATTGATTGTAGAGATAAAATGACCGATAGTCAATCAATTGAGAAATAATTGTTTTTTAGTTTTATATATCGAGCAGGGTTTCCAAAATGATATTTTTTTCTCTATAAATATTAGCTTGTGTCAATTGTAAAATGCGTTTGTTTATGTTTTGTTTCAAATTGATTTTTGTTGATCAATTGAATGGTTATTAATGAGAGATTAGGCTTTTATAATCGTGAGATGTTCAATGATTCTTTGAGCATGAAGTTCCTTAAAGCCCATAGAGCATTAACCACATCACCGTGATTGCCTTCACCATTTGCTAACCAATGGGTTGGTAATTGATCTCTATTTGGTAATATTGTATTTTCCGGGGTTCCGTTAAATTGTTGCTCATAATTGCTGACATGTCTACAGTCGGGTCGTAAGCGTTTTATGTACTGGACAAAGGTGCTTGAATGAAGAAGGCGGGTTGGCTTTGGAGGTGATAATGCAAAAAGAGGGTCGGCTTGAGTGACTTGAGCTTGTTGCTGTTGGTTGGCTGTGGAAATAAAAATGAGATGTTATTAATTTGTGATTCCAAAATTTAAAAAATTTGCTTACTTTGAGTGTTTTTGCCCCAATAAGATGACATAGAGTCATTTGAATGACCGTTGATTCCAAGGGATACACTCGACAAACCACCAATATTGTCGTATAAAGATAAGACGGGCGGAGGGGTTGATCTTACAGGATTTACACCGAGAACTGAGAGGGAAAGAAAATCGAGAACAGATTAATTGAAGTTGATCAAGCGATTTGTTGTTTAACCATTACGATGAAAATAAACTTACCCGATGTTGCAGATTGGTTAAATGGTCGATTGTTATTATTGCCGAAATGATTAAGCGAAGTTGAAAATGATGGAGCGGTTGATGACTTGCGACCAGGGATGAAATTTCTAAGAGAAAAAAATTAGAATTAATCAGATCATGAGATGTAAATTTAGATTTGCATAAATAAACTTATTAGATTAGATGTTGACTTACTTGCTACGGTTTTCGGGAGGGATATGCTTAGGAATTTGTTTGTTTACATGAATTTCTTTACAATGACGAACGAGTCGATAAATTGACGGAAAAGGCCTAATGAAAAAAAAAGGTAAAATTATTAATTCCATTTGGTAAACTTTAATGTCAAAAAAGAATAGACGAATTAAGCAACTTACGTAGCTCCTTTTTTAACGCGGGCACAACCGTGAAAGAGACATTGGAAAACCGCATCTTCTTTGTCTTTAAGTTCACCATATGACCTCCAAACGTGACCATGCGGCTCGGAGTTAAGATGATCATATAAATCATTGGGATCTTCAAATTGGTAATCACATTTATTTTCCCAGTGACATTCGTAGACAAGTTCAAAACCCATTGGTGATTGTGAGAATAGTTCTAGCCTTTCAGCTTCACGAGCAGCTTCTCGCGCGGATTCTTCATTCTGTTTTTGTGCTCTTCTTTCATATTCTTGTTTCGTCTCCAGAGGTAAATTTTTCCATTCATTTCCAATGATTCGACTAACATCTCCGAAGCCACAATCAGGATTCGCTTGGATAACCGATTTTCTTACTTCACCAGCGAAAATTATATAACCAGTGACAATACGTTTACTTCCTTTTTTCCGGCTCATAAAAGGAGTCGATATTATTGGTGTTTCGGATATTATGGATGATACATCATTGGATTCTTCATTCTCGGTGTCAATTGATGGCCGGAATGAAGTAAGTGGAGATGGAACTTCGTTGAGGTTTGCCAATTGACCTTTTTTCAATAACAAATCACTTTTTGTTGGAATAGATTCACTTCTAGAGATTGCCAATGGTTTTCGAAATATAAATTGCTCATCTTCAGCTACTCCAGGCTTGAAAGGTGTTGTTCTTTTGAGATTTATTGGTAATTTGATAAATTTTTTCTCATGTTCATGATACTTAAGCTCACAAACATAAATATCTTGTTCAGAGATTTCAGTTGGACGCCGAGTAATATAATCTTTAACTTCCAAAACTGAACATTTGTCACAAATACTTAAAAGTGGATTGGTATCTCCAATTGAACTTAAAAACACTTCTTGAGGATAAAACATGCGAGATGTTGCTGAATGAAGTTCTCGTGGTTGAACAAACCAAGGACCATGGAAGAAAGCATTACCATCTTTGTCGACCCACATTCGATCAATTCTACAAATGAGATTTCGTCCATTATCTGTTCTCACATAACAACAGTCACCCAATTTGTAAGAACCTGAAGGGATAGTAAATTGTTCATAATAAATGGCACCTTCTTCTATCGGTAGACCATCTCCAGGCTCAATTATTATGTTGGGTCTTTCAATGTCTAAAAGTTTAGGTCCATCATCGTCGTCATATTCATTGACATTGGTTGTTGGTTGTTCATCTTTGGATTTGTCTTGTTTACCATTTTTAAAGATGGATGGTACTCTTATCATGGGTGAATGTGTCTCTCTTGGTATCAGGGAATGGTTATTAAAGTAAAGCCAAACTTTAATTTTCTTAAATGTTTTGGTACGAGTAAAATAGCGAGATTCACAAACGTAAACATCACGATCGTCAAAACCTTCTGGTTTCTGTTTAAAGTAATCTTTTACAAACATGATGAAACATTTCCCCACAACTTGAGAGAGAAGAGCATTATTGTAGCTGTCACTTTTGAAAACTTCCTTTTCCAAAAACTTTTTTGATGCGATATGATAAGTTTCGTAAGGACGGTAAAACCAACATCCATAAATCCATATTTGACCAGTAGGATCTTTCCAAAGTTTTGAGATGTTAATTATATGAGGGTCCATTCCTTTTTCTCTTGGCTCAATGTAGACAAAATCACCTGGTCGGTAAACTTGATCATTCAGAGAAACTTCAGCAATACTTTCAGCTGATGTTCCACCACTGGGATCAGCATCTTTATCTTCTGCTTTAGATTCTGCTTCAGCTTCTTGATTTTCAAAGGGTAATTTTTGCGATTTTAATGCATCTACTTGTGTGTTCAAATTGGTCTCGGTAAAATTGAGTGCACTAGATTGTAATACTTCCCCATTTCGACAGAGTTCATTTCGTAAACGAATAAAGTACAATTGCAACTCGACCGAATCCTCGAAAGCTTGAGAGTCACTTCGTGAAGATCGTCGAGTCCTTTCGAATACATCGAACATATCTTGTTGGAATCTATCTAATCGACGATATCTTCTTTTTTCGAGATTCTTTTTGATCTGGTCCAACGTTAAAGGACGACTATAAAAGAGAAAATTTCACAAAATTATTACGAAATTGGTCATTTTTTTCGATAGATTTTTACTAACCGTTCATTCGGATCCGCATTTTTGGCTTCTTGTTCAGATAATTCGATAATCGAATCACTATAGCATCTTCCTTCTTCATCCTGAAAGAAATAAAAATAGTTAATAAATGAATAAGTTAATTTCTACATGATGACTTACTTGATGGTTATAAACGGAGATGAATAGATTAGTTAGCAAATCTTGAATAACTGCTCTTATATTTGGTACTCCTTGACTTTCATTCTCAATTAGCTCTAATTTAGTTTGAAGAGCTACATGCTGCAGGGTTAGCGCGTCCTTGTACAATTGTGAATCGGGTTCATTATATTTACACGCGTTATCAAAAACTAAAACTAAATCGGAAAGCAGATCATCTAATGACTCATAAAGATTATCCTTGAGTCGCATACCGATTTTACCCAAATCCAATGGGCTTTTAATTACATCATAATAATCTGGATAATCTAATCTGGATGGAAGCTTCATGAATATCGAAGACAATTGACGACCAGTTTTAGGGTCATTATAATTAATGATTGCATCATAAAGTACTTTTAATTTAGGTTGAATCAAATTGGTAGATTTTCGAGATCTGAAAGAAAATTGGAATTATAAAAATGGAATTAATCAAAATTATTGGATCAAATAATAAACATACCTTCTGACTTTGGGAATATAAGCACCAAGCTCGGCGAGTTTTCCATTCAATAAAGCCTCAAGTGTTTCAGCATCTCGATAAATTTGAGAGCCTTCCTCATTGTACTGTTTACAGTTGTCAAACATTTGCTTCAAATCAGCAATAAAAGCATCTTCGGTTGCATATTGATCAGATCTCACATTTACTTGAATTGTTTTCATATCAATTGGATTTTCGATTATCTCATAATAATCAGGGTAATCTTTCTTGGAAGGTTTTTCCATAAATAGCTCACAGATTTGACGATCTTGATCATCAACATAATTAATTAATGTTTTAATTATGAGTTTCATACGTTTTCTCAAACCAGGATCAAAATCAGAATTGGTACGACGAGCTCTTTTAAGCTCATGATTTAAAGCATTTGTTAAAGTTTTTGGTTTACGACCTCTACCTCGACCAACTCCACTAGAACTATCTTCATTGTCGGTATCACTAGAATCAGATTCTTTGCCTTGGTAATTGACAAGTTCCTTGGCTTTTGCTTGCATTATTTTTTGTAATTTACATGCATCCTGAGAAAAGTAAAAGAAGTTAAATTAATGATTTAAATTTATAAAAGAAAAGGTGAATATTTACCTTAAAAATCTTGGAATCAGGTCGATTATACTTTTTAGCGTTCTCGAACATGGTATTCAAATCATCTACAACCTCGACGGTGGAACGATAAAAGCGCATCTAATAAGATAATAATAAGGAAAATTAGTCAAATCAGTGAAGAGTTTTGAAAGTGATGAATATGATTTACCTTAATTTTAGATTTAATTTTAGAAAGAGACATTGGATGTTTAATTTCTTGATAATAATCAGGATAGAATCGGCGATTTGGTAGACGCATAAATGGATCTGAAAGGGCAATTCCTTGAGCACTTGTATGTGACCTGACAGTTTCATAGAGTTGCCATTGTGGATTAGCATCTGCATCTTCTGGATCAGATTCATCTTGTTCCTCATTAATTGTGTCTTCGTTGTTGATTGGCACTGGAAGGGGTGTTGATGAGATAGAAATTGGCTCTAAATCATCATTTTCATATTTAAGAGCAGCAGTAATGCTTGACCATTTTTGACAAGATGAAAGAGATTTTCTTGTTCTTATTCTTTCACTTGATTTAGATGATTTTCTCTGGTCAATTTCTTGTTTCTTGTTTAAAATTATTTTACGTAAAGTATTAGCATCCTTGTAGATTTGTGATCCTGGTTCATTGTAAGTTTTGGCATTTTTAACCATGAGTAATAAATCTTTCTCAAGTTCAGTTAGACTTGAATAACCGGCACTTTGAATCTTTTGGGCAATCATTTTCAGGTCTATTGGATCATGAATTATTTTATAATAATCAGGATACTTGGTTTTAGAGGGTAACAATTGGAACATTGTACACAAACTGCGACCATCATCAACTGTTGCTGTCATCACCGAGGCAAACAGTTCTTCAAGTGGACTGTCTTCCTCAATTGAACTTTCACCACCTTGATTACTAAAAGAGTCACAATCACCAACATTAATGGTTGAAGATGAATCATCGGGTAAATTATCACCACCCAATAATTCACTTTTAGAATCATTGTATAGAATCCATAAGTCACAAGCATCTTGATATTCTTGGCTTTCAGGTTTGAAATAATTTTTGGCATTATTAACCAATAATTCAATGTCCACAGTTAACTGATCAACATCTTCATATTCCTCAAATTTAATCTTTTGCTGGATACGAGACAAATCAATCGGAGCCTGGACAACATCATAATAATCAGCTTGATTTCTTCTCTTAGGTGTTCGGATGAATGTTTCACAAATCAACCTACCATCAATTTTATGGTTTCTTATGATGTCATATAATTCTTGACAAATCTCAGTCTACAAAAAAAAGAGAGGGAGAAAAAAGAACAAAAAATACATTAACAAAAAAATACATAACCATCAATGTTAGAGAGAAAATAGAAAGACATATGAGTAGATACACATAGAAGAAAAAAAGACAAAGGGAAAGAAAAAAGAAAGGGAAAAAGAAAGGTAAAGAAGGGAATATACAAGAGAATGTAGAATATGATTATTGTTGAAAGAATATGATTAAAATTGTCAACTTACAACATCTATTTTTCGCTTCTTATTACTACCCTCATCAGAGGTTTCATCAAGACCAAGTTTTCGTTTTCTGGGCATAATACAATTTGCCCAAAAAAGAATAAAAAAGAATAGAAAATGCGAAAGAAAAAATTGAAACAGAAAATCAGACCACCAAAATTGTATATTATGATAGAAACAGGCGGTGATCCAGCAAACGGCAATTGTAACAATCAAAGGAACAGGGTAAAGATTAATAAAGTAATTAAATTAAAAACTAAAAGTAATTAAAGGGAATTATTTTATTAATTAAAGGGAAGAAATAAAAAAAAACATTCAATAGAAATCATCCAAAAGCTTTTAACCAGCGAGTTCGTTCATCTTGTTGGGAAAAAGAGGGAGACTCGCCTTGGATTAACCGGGATTTTCGAAAAAAGAAAACCGCCAAATACGAATTTTATTTTCACATTGATTCGGTTTTCTTTTTTTTTTGATTAACTTGTTGATTCCATTTATTTGTGATTTTTGTGATTTGAGAGAGAATTTATTGATAAAAATTTTTTGAGTAAAATGGAAAAATCAATTTTCTGATAATAAATATTAACATCTCAGAATTATGGAAATTATGAAAAATATTTTAAATATTTTTTTTGTTTTTCTTTGTTGAAAAACTAACTGGATCAATTGATTTTTGTAGTGGTTTTTTGTTTATATATTACAAGGGGGAGATTATATTTTGTTTGTGAGTATTTGTGTGTTACACTTAACTGGAACATCGCCATTTACAGGGTGTTAGGTATACACCTTTTGAAGGAAGAGTTAATTTACCACCGAAAGTTATTGCCGGAGTGGAACGATTAAGATACTCATCGCTACCATCACAACAATCGCAAATACCATCGTTAACCATTGATGAAGGAATACTTGTTAGTCCATTGAACGTTTTAACAATACAATAAAATCTGACAAAAAGAATAAAAAAAAACATGATCAATCTGATTCCACTTTCGCATTGATATCTTGATGATATTATATCTACACTTTCCTTTGTTAACTTTGCTGGAAAGATAAACAGTCACAATTAACTTACTTGAATTGAGGGCAAGCATCAGTTGATGGTTCATCACTTCCATCTTGACAATCACAATAATCATCATTAACTTGAGAATAAGAAATTTCCTCACCACTGGATCGACATCTAAATTGACCACCATCTTTTTCTTGATAATATTTAAAATCAAATTTACTAACACCAAGAATTATTTTACCCAAAGGTTTAACTGGTCTTCTTTTGGTATTCTTTTTAAACGAATCTTTAGCAAAATAATTAACTTTTGGTGATCCTTTCAATGGAGACAACAATTGATCATCATCAACATAATTATCTTCATCTCCATGATTGTTAGGATGATGATTAGTGAATGATTTTTCCAGTGACCTTGAAGCCAACAATTTAGATAAAGCAGTGATGAAGGTTAATTGATACAACAGGTAAAATATACTTAAACTTAATCCGATAATAAACAATTTCCTTCTGGTTAAATAGCCCAGAAATCTTAATTTGATCATAATATTTTCTTGTCAAAATTAAATCTCAACCACATGTTGAATCAATTTTGTTGACAGAAATTCCGAGGGACCATCTTCTCATTTACAATCGAAGATTAAATTTCCATTCAATTTTAATTGTCGATTTTGATGGAAAATTTAAATTCTAAATGGTGAGAAATTATCAATCAGTTTGATAGCATGAAAGAATTTAATTGTAATGATGATGAATAGTCTCTAATGATGTTTGGTGGGAATGATGAAGAGGATGATGAAGGGAATTCTGATGATGAGATGAATTATTGTCACTATTAGACGAATGATGATGTTGCGGATGATGATGATGATAATGGTGGTGATTTGCCGATGATCCATTCGACCCATTGGTTCCACTGTTTCTATCATTACCACTATTATTATTACCACTTCCACACTTCATTTTCACACTGTTATACTACCGTTGGTCGGATTCAGAGACCCTGAACCGGAACTCGGTCTATTGTGAATGGACCCTTGAGAAGTAGATGTTGATGTTGGTGTTGGAGGCATCAATGAGGATGAATTTGCTTGGAGATGTTGTTGCGCTGCAACGGCCATTGCATGATAGTGGGTATGATGAGGTGATACAAGGCTTGGATGATGATGACCGGGGTGGTGAGAGGGATGAACACTGTGGTGATGGTGTGATGAGGAAAACGCTTTCAATTCATGTTCGATTGGACTGTAAGACCCTACGGCGGCCAAGGTAAATGGAGTGTACTCTCTTTCTACAGCGGCCATATTCACATATCCAATAGTTGATTAACAAAAAAAAAGGTAAATGATCACGTTGATGGTAATTAATTATCAGATAATTAAAAGACAAAAAACACAATAAACAAGAGAAAAGAAACAAAACTAATCATATTTCACGATTTTCAATTGATTAACAATCTTTTTGTGTAACTACTTTTGTAACGTTAACTTGTCTTGTTGTTTTTTGTAATTTACATGCATCCTGAGAAAAGTAAACGAAATTAAATTAATGATTTAAATTTATAAAAGAAAAAGATAAATGTTTACCTTAAAAATCTTGGAATCAGGTCGATTATACTTTTTAGCGTTCTCGAACATGGTATTCAAATCATCTACAACCTCGACGGTGGAACGATAAAAGCGCATCTAATAAGATAATAATAAGGAAAATTAGTCAAATCAGTTAAGAGTTTTGAAAGTGATGAATATGATTTACCTTAATTTTAGATTTAATTTTAGAAAGAGACATTGGATGTTTAATTTCTTGATAATAATCAGGATAGAAACGGCGATTTGGTAGACGCATAAATGGATCTGAAAGGGCAATTCCTTGAGCACTTGTATGTGACCTGACAGTTAAGACAAAGGGAAAAAGAAAGGTAAAGAAGGGAATATACAAGAGAATGTAGAATATGATTATTGTTGAAAGAATATGATTAAAATTGTCAACTTGATAGCATGAAAGAATTTAATTGTAATGATGATTAATGTATTTGATACACAAGGATTTTTAATGTAAAAGAAAAAGTTAATTTTCGTTTTGTTTTGTTTCCACTTGTTGATTGATTGACAGTTGATTTCGATCAGCTGATGTTGGAACTTGATTCCAATGTATCCATCCTCTGATATAATAAAAGTAATTCACAATGTACAGTGTGAGGAAACATGTCGATTGGAATGGCACTTGTTGGCACAAAAGGTATTCCCTTGTAAGCATTGGATCGAGGTCGACTCAGGTCGATTAAATTTTTTCGAGCCAATTTGGGTTCGCAAGAGACATAGACCAGTTTTTTTATGTTCGGAGTTGATCTTATTGTTTTAATGACTGATGGATGTAAACCTGCTCGAGGAGGATCGATAATTGCAGTTAAATCAATTGTGTCACCAAATTTATCGAAAGCTCGTTTAAGAACAGAATCAATTTCATCTTCAGCTTTTCCCTCGATAAATTCAATGTTTGTGATCTTATTATGTTCAGCATTGTAACGAGCATCTTCCAGGGCATCATGGTTCAATTCTAATCCGATGACATGTTTAACTTTGTTAGCCAAATAGATTCCAATGGATCCGGTGCCACAGCAAATGTCAAGAACAATTGAATTCTCATTAAGTTGAGCCAATTGTTCAATTGTTGAATAGCAAATTTCAGCGGCAGCGGTATTGGTTTGCCAGAAAGCGAATGGACTTATTTTCATAATTAGTGTATTTTGACGTAATGATTCAAAGATAAAAGGTTCGCCATCAACTAATTGTAATTCGGATGAGTCGTGAACAGTTTTATCTCGAGTGACAAATGGGTGGAAAAATAAACTGGTGATTTCACATTTATCACGATTTGCTATGAAAAATTGTTTAATTTTTTCTTTCTCTTCATCCAATTCTTTGATTGTCCGATTCTGTGGGTGAACGGCAATCATAACCATCGCTCCAAGTTCAGTAGCTCGCACGGTAACTTGTCTCCAGAATCCTTCATGATTGACATTGTCAAACTCATTCTGATCGCTGGTCAATAAATAATCTTGAAATGTTGAGATTATCTTTCGCACTTTGGGTGATACAATTGGACAGTTTTCGGGTGGAAAGATCACTTGAACCGAACCTTCTTTATAAAGTCCAAGACGAAAACCGATAACTTTACCCGGTCCAATGCTGAATTCACACTTATTCCGATAGCCAATGGTCACTGGTGAAGGTTTGATCTCCCCTAAAGGGCAAATACAATCACTATTTACACTACCAATCTGATGAGCCCATTTAATGGTATTGAATTCGGGTTCACTTGGACTCTCCCCAAGTCCAGCGATATCTCGTCTCAGTGAGATCAAAAATTTACGATAATTATCAGATTTGATCTTCAATTGGTCTTCATAAGGTGTTTTCCAAAGTGGACACACCTTGTCATTCAATTTATCTCCAGAATTAATATTTTCTTCAGAATCGATTCCCGATTTACAGTTGGTTGATTCTTCTTCCATCCTTCTCTTAATAAACGGATCTTTGGCGGGATTCGCCCTTTTTGCGAAAAGAGTTTTATTCTTCCAGGTAGATCCATCCAATGATTCAATTGCTTTATCTCTTTCTTCAGCTGATTTGAAAGAGATGAAAGAATAATTCTTCTTACCATTTTTGATCATCTTCATCTTGTGAGGTTTTACTTGACTCTTTTTCTCAATGAATTTCTTCAAACAAGTGTAGCTGACAAATTTTGGTAAATTTCCCAATTCTATCTTGTAAATTTCACATGTAAATCCACCTGATTGAATGTATCCATATGGGTCAGGTAAAGATTTATCATCAGTCACAGTTTCTTCATTATTAGCTTCAAGTTTGATCTTTTTAGTATCACACAAAGAATCAGTTCCATTGGCACCGACACTTGATTCACTAACATCTTCATCAGCTTCACGTTTAACACTCACGTTTTCAGGTAATTTAGTCTCATTAACCGATTCGCTTTCCAATTTGACAGTTTGGTCACCTTCCATTCTATGTTAGAACTCACTAATGTGATTCGAACAATTTAAATAATAGTTTAAACAATGAAGTCGAAGTTAAGTTAATGTTGAGAATAAATGAAAACATTAACAGAAAGAGAAACGTGTTTGTTGCTATTAGTCATTGAATCATCTCTAGTTAGAAATCGATGGTTTCGATATATCGTTTTCTTGAAATTAAATTTATTTCGCAAGTTGATTAATCAATGGGAAACTTGAATCGGAAAATTACTGGATTCCTTTAATAGATATGACCTAAGATTAGTTCTCGTTCTGATCATTAATCGCTTTCTAAAGGAAGAGAAGAAAAAATAATCCAATTAATTTAGGAATAGAGTTAACGGTGCTGATGCTGTTCTTTGGGTTAGAAATAAAAACCAACTGATTGATTATTCAATCGGGACAATTGATTACCTTGAATTTCTCTTCGATATAAGAAATTTCCGCATTCAGATCACTTAGTGCGTTTTTCAGAGCATCTTGAGGAGTATAATCTCCGACTGTTTGCACTCTAAGGATGAATTTGTGTTCCAATGGATGAGGTACTTTGTAACCAGCGAATATAACATTTGGATCCTTCAACAATTGACATCTAATCAAATTACCCAAAGTGTGATCTTCCTTGTTGACAGTGAAAATGGCAGCATTTTGTACTTTAGTTTCCTTCTCAATGATGATTCTGTAATTACAAAGAAAAAGGAACAAACATCAAATTAATATCGAGAATGAAAATAGAAAAACATAAAAGTCAAAAGAAAAGAAAATTTCAAAAGAAAACAAATGGAACCAAAACAAAGTCACTTACTTTTTTTCTCCTTCAAAAAGAAGAAAAGATTCAAATGCTGGAGGCGCATTCATCTTGGTCTACAGTTAATCACGTTAATAGAAAATTCAAAATTAAATCAATTAGAATACCAAATGAACAACAACAATTAAGCAAATTCCTAAAATCATTGGGATGAAGAAAACCACTTGCTCTTTGTATTAACCGGGATTTTGGAAAAAAAGAGAACCGCCAACTTTGAATCTAATCTTCTATTCTCATCAATTTAATCAGTTAATTGTTACAATCATTTAAATTTGTTCGAATATTTTATGTACCGACCTATAGATTGACAATTTCTCTTAAATAATGTGATCAATGTGAATTTACCCGATAATTAAAGAAAGAGATCTGATAAAATTAGATTAATTGAATTTTAATCAAAGTCACAGGAAAAAGATGCAAAATAATACAAGATTAAAGGTTTGGAATAATTATTACAGAATAATACAAAAAAGAAAGATTTACAACTAGAGAGAAAAAGGATTGAGAGAGTTAAGAATGGAATGATTAGAGTTTAATTGTTGGATGGATTTAAAGTTGAACTCGATGAACTTCAGGATCCAAATAAATATGATTGGGACAATTCTCGTCGTAGCCATTGAACGGACATTCACAGTGTTCTGGCTCGCCCACTTCATGAGTTCGACCACATTCGAGACAAGGGTCGATGAATTTGATGTTAAAGTATCGAAGATGAGGGAATTGTTCTGGTGTCGAGAAAAGTTTTCTGATTTCATAAGAATCGATGACACTGGAACCGGAAATTAGTCGAAAATATTCCAAATTAGTTAATGGATTGTATTTGAGAATAGTTGACAAATATTCATCTACATCATTTCCATGATTGGACTCGATTTGAAGAGTAGTTAATTGGAGAGCACTTTTCAGGGCGAAAAAAAGATAATTTAGTAAATCGACTCCAGAACTTTTCAGGTGAAGTTTTCGCAATTTGGTGAAATTTTCTCTTTTTCGCTTTTTCGAAATTTTTAAGAGTTTAACTGGTGTCGGGTAACCATTGAGATCGAGTTCCAAATGAATCAGATTTGGACACAAAGCAGCGACTTTATTGAGATCAATGTCGTCAACATTCATTAAGGTAAGATGAGTAATATTGGGACCGCGTTGAGTTAGAGCAGGAATTAGACTTTGGAAATCGGCGATGATTGTTGGAAGTTCATCGTTGAAACTGCACAGGGGCTCGACTGAAAGTTCTTTAAGACATTCGAACTTTTCTATTACGAGAAGAGAAATTTGTCCAAGTGTTTTGATCTTTAGTTCTTTGATATTCGGAGCCATTTGAGCCAATCGGTACAAATTATAATTTTTGCATTCGATGAAATTCAAACCGATTCCGTTTAAATTTTCCAAAAAGTTTTCGAAATTGATGACGACACTTAAGTCGGTGAACGAATCATCGAGATTGAGTTCACTGCTTCTCCTCATGAAGTCAAGTATCGGCTCGAAGAAAGAGTTGAAGTTGAGAAATTGTAATTCTTTGAACAAAGTGATGAATTCACAAAGAACTTCCAATTCCATGATATCGTTTTCATATTCATCATCATCTTCGAATGGAATTTTATCAGAGTTAATGTCCAGATGAGTGAGCGAGCGCTGGATCTTAGTGAATTGATCTTCATGCAGTTGACTATTGACTAGTGATAATTGATCATAATCCAAAGTAATGTTCCGTATCTTGAGTTTATTCAAAGATGGACAATACTTAAGAATAGACATTATCTCAGTCGCTGTTTGGACACAACAGATCTCGAGACACTTGAGATTCACAGGAACGGCATTTTTATCCAACAAGTTGAGAAAGAATTCACTAATTGGACAATTCGGTGTACAGTATTGATATTTATGGTTAATGATGTTGAGTTTTTCCAAATGATTAAGAGCACGAGTAAGAACTTGAGAGAACTCAGCTGTTGATTCACTTTCGAAATGATGTTTCGACAAGTTTAACGATTTACATCCACCGCCACTCAACAGATGATCTAAAGCTTCAATGGAAATCGAAACATCATCGATGGTCAGAGCGTCCAAAATGGGCTGCTGAAGTTCATGAGGTATGAAAACACCTTCTAAATTGTTGGATCTACATCGCCTCACGAAATCATTGATTATTTGGCGATTCGAACCATTAATCGGTTCAAGAGAAAGATTTTCGTATTCAAAACCGGACATTTTATAAATCACGTTGAGAAACAACAATTTAAAAATTTAGAATCGAAATCAAATTGTTAGATGAAGAGAAAAGTTGGACAAGAATCGAGTAATTAACGATTAAGACTTAGAATTAATATTCAAGAATTTGAAAGAGGTCAATGAGAATCGAAATTCGAAATGATCAGTTAGTCTTCTGGCCTTTTTTATATACGGGAAATCTTCAGAAAAATGGACGAAAACCATTGGTCAGTCCTTACCTTTTCTAAAATTGGCCTAAGGGCATAGCGAACACATTTTAATCCTTTTCGTTTCTTTCAATCGGTTTATCGTCTTGATAAATTCATTTAATAAGTTAAATTGTTTAAGCTTAACTCACCATAATCTGTTTAGTAGATTAAATGAATTTAAGATTAAAAGATTAAATAATGTCAATTCAAGAATCAATATATGAAAGAAAGGGATGAGAATCAAATTAAACAATCAAGTGAATTTATTTATGATCAGTGTTTTTTAAATTTTCTGTCTCTCTCAAAATGATCTCGATCGATCTCTCGAATCTCTCGAATTTTGCTTTTATTCATATAAGATGAAGATGAATTGATCTTTTCCTTTTTTAAGGGGCTTCGATTGGAACTGGAGCTGGTTTGGATTCGATGAAATCTATTAAATCCGATTGTTAATTAAAGTAAAATAGCCAAATATTAAAATTAGAAATCGTAACAGTTATCGAAGTGGATTAAGTATCGCTCGAAGTAACAATTTAGAGACAATTCGTCTTGGAACTGGTTGTTTTTGAAACGTTGCTTCCAACTCTTTAAGAGCTTTGATATTTTCTCTGATTTTAACATTCACTTTAATTAGTGGATTCATTTTCTCGGCTCGAGTTTCATCAATTGTCTTCTCCTTATCGAAATTATCATTGGTCATTGTACCAGGAACGGGAGAACCAAAATGACGACGGGAACTGACCCTAGACTGATGATGACGATTAGATGATTGATCATTTTGATTGAAATAAATGGTTGATGATGGCGATGGTTGTGATAATTGATAACCAGAATTATTGATAATTGTATTTGGGAAAATAATTTTATCACGTTGATTGATTAAATTTGATTCCATTGGATTGATTGGTAATGTTATATGAGGCATAATGTTGGCAATCAATTGATTCGCTGGGAAATTAACATGTTCATGGTAATGGTTATTTAATTGTTTCGGTCTAATCAATGAAGGATTTAACCAGTTACCTGTTGTTGCTGTTGGTGAAATTAAAAGTCCTCCATGGTTAATTGTTGATGGAAGTTGATATTGATTAGAGTGAATTAAAAAGTAAGGTAACAATTCATTGATATAAAACCAATCAAGAAATGATGTTGTCTCCAAATCATTGATTGTTGATTGTTGATTTAATTCTTGTCCATTGGTAACTTTAAAGTTCAACGATAACAACCATAAACACACTGGGATTAGAGTTAATTGTGATTTAGTTGATTTAGTTGAATGATCCATGATTAGACTGATTTTTACATAACGTTCAACAAGTGAATTAAATTAAATGATGAAACAAACATTCAACGTGAAAATATTAATAGTAAACAATTTAACAGTGATTAAAGTGGTTGAGTCAAGAATCAGTGTTAAAGTGATAAACGTGATTTAAAAACTCAAATCAAACTTTGATAACAATCAAATATTGTAACTAAATTGTTCACAATCTAGTCAAGAATTAAGATCTGAGATGATAAGTAAATTGTTCACTAACAACAATTGGTCAATCTTTATATTAATAGAATCAAGTAAATCATATGAAAGGGATGAGAATCAAATTAAACAATCAAGTGAATTTATTTGATTTTAACACAATCTACAATTACAATTGAATTACGATATTAAATTGTTGATGATGATGATTATGATGTTGTCTGTCAGAAAGTTTAATTGTTGATTAGCTCGCAACGATTGATTTGACCTTCCATTACCCTGATTGGTGTTAAACTAAAATAATTAGGTGAAAATTTAGATTCCTTGATTGTCACTGATTAAATTATCAGCTATTTATTGATACTAAATAGGTGTCTGCGTGAGAAGAGGTCTGATTGTTAACCAACAATCAGATTTAATTGTGAACACGGATTTTACTTTTATCCTTCTTAGCTTGATTGTTAACTCATGCTGATGTTAATCATTACAATATATAAATTGTTATCACAATACAATTTATCATTTATTAATATTTATACAAATATTTACACTAAACTTTTTTTTTACAATGATTTACAAATTGTTTACCTCACAATTAGAAGTGACAAATTTCAATTGTTGATTAACGCCATGATAATACTTAATTGTTCAGTAGATTGGCCTAATTAGAAGATTAAATTTTGCTAATTATTTTTTAATCATCTTTTTGTCAATAAAAACTCAGTTGATCTTATTGTGTTTTTAATTTAATTGTTTATTTTATCATCAAGACAAACAGTTAATTCAATTAAACCGCGAATAGTTAACAATTTAATAAGCAATTAGATTAAATTTATTGGCAACAATTCAAATTGTCTTGAGATGTTTATTTTCATCTTCTTTGTTTAATTTCACTTGTTGGGTTAATCGTTGTGTCCAATTTTTTACTCTTGTTTTGCTCAACAATTAGTTAATTGTTTGCAGAAAAAAAATCTTCTTTTAAATTGTTATTCGTACATTTTAATTGTCAACCAGAAAATCAATTATGAACGATAATAGTAATTCAATTGAAGAGCAATTAACTTCATCGTCTCCTTCATCATCTTCATCATCTAATCAAAAACGATCAGCTGATTATTCAATCACCATGATTGTTGAAATGTCTAATTTACTTTTGTGTGATGTTGATTTAGAGGAATTAACAATTGCTTATCGATTAATTGAGAATCAAGTTAATTCCAAAATTTTGGCCTCTGCAATTAAATCAATGAAACGTCGCGAGTTGATCAACAATAATTACAAATTTGGATCCATTTGAAATCAATTGATTTGTCACTTTATCGAACTGCAAATTGTTGTTAAGATTTTTCCGTTAATCAGTTTTAATTTTGTTATTTATACAGATTATTGTTGTTACACAGCAATTAAAATTATGATTCATTGATTTGATAATATTTATAATATAAATATTTACATTTTGAATTTTTTTTTCATGTTTTATCAATTGCATGGTTAATATTATTATTATTATTGTTGTTGTTTTTGGTGACATCAACAAGTAATCAAGATAAATTGTTGATTATTGTTGTTTTTTGATATAACTCAATTGTTTTCAGCTAATTGTTGCTACAGTCATTACGATAATGTTTCTGCTTCATGGTGAACTCTTTGTCTAATATAACAATTAAGAATAGTATATAATATTTATATATAATTGTTTGAATCTTTTTTTGGTGCATCTAATTGATGCGTTTGATTAGTGGATGAGTGGGTTTTGGACCTTCAATGACTGGACATTGTTCCTCCATCTTTAATTGGTCATTCGGCCATTTTTTTTTGTTTCTTTTTCTCCTCCGTCATTTGTTTAAATCGAAAGGTATTGTTTTGGATTGATGAATTAACTTGTGGTCACATCTTCAAATCAGTGTATGCATATGTGTATTTACATTTAGACAGAGAGAATTATTTTTCCTTTGTTTTTCTTCATGTTCAACGGGTTAGATATTTGTATCAGTAAAAAATATAACTGATTTGTTTTTCTGTGTATTTATGTGCTTTTTGGTTAATTGTTGTCAAGGGATTTCTTTTTTTTTTAACCAAAGGTTTCTTGAGAAGCATAAACAACATAAAGGAAGCCATCTTCGTCTCTTTCTCGTTCATAGAGAAAACCAATTGGTGTTGAATTGGCGACCATGGATCGGCCATTAACGAGTAAAAAGAAAGCCTGGTTTGGATGTAAAGCCAATCTACGTCGGATTATTTTCACCAATTCAGAAACAGGAAGGTGATCAGGTACAAGGAAACGAGTTTTATCAATCATGGGTAGTTGCTTTTCATTACGAAATCTTTCAATGAGAACTGGAACCTTGTTAGCATAGGTTCGTCTTAAAGTCTCTGATTGTTTTTTTCGTTCAGCTGTTTGGAGAAACCAATTGGAAATGAGTGAAAGAATATAAAAAAAGATATTAGAAGGAGAACGAGAAGGATAAAAGAGAAAATTAATAAGAACATATCCATCAAAATGAATATAAAAATAAATGAAGGTAAAAAAGAGAATAAATAAAGACAATAATAGACAGTAAAAGGAGAAAGAAGAAAAAGGAAAGAGAGAAAAAAGAATTAGCGAAAGAGACAATTTTAGAAAAAAAGAAAGAGGATAAAAGGAGAAGAAAGAATAAATTTCATCAGAGAAAGTAGAATTTTGTTTTTTTCTGAAAATCCAAGAAAAGAATCAAAAATTATCAACATAATAATTCGAATGGTTATTGGAAATCAAAGGGAAATTAAAATTAATTGGAGTTAAGGTGAAATAGAGAACAAAGAATAAATAGAAAAATGGAAAGAAAGAGAAAGAGAAAAAGAAAGAGAATATGAAAGAAAAAGATGTAAACAAAAACATTTGAAAGGAGAAAAGAAAAAAAAAGCTTCTACTTACCAAATGATCGAGTTTGTTTAAATGAGAAAGATTGAACATCCATTTTGGATTCCAATCACTACCAAGTTAAACCAAAAGAATTAATTATTGAATTTAAATAATTAGAACAATCAAATTAACAATTAAAAGTAAATTTAAAGGTGAGAAAAACAATCAATGGTAACAAATCTTTTCCAAACACCACAGAGAAATTAACTGTTGTTGTTGTTCAATGTTATCCTTTTCTCTCTCTCTCTCTTTTCTTTCCCTCTCTTTCTCTTCTCTACTTTCCCCTCTCTTCTTCACCAGAAAACCAGATGACGTCACGGAGAAAATGTCACTTGGTTGACAATTAGTTTTTTCTTTAAATTATTCTAATTAATTTGCTTTTCTCGCTTTGTTGAAGGTTTAAAGGTTTGTTCTTAATGTTTATTAGAAATTTAATTTGTTCTCTTTGAGGAAAAAGAAACAGAACAGAAAATGGAATAGAATTTTTTTCTTTGTCTTAATTTTTGTTCTCTTCTCTTTTTCCTTTGTTTACATTTTGTCATCATCATGTGATTGTTTCTTCATGATTACTATTAATTAATTGTCATCATCATCCAGGTATTAATATATCATTACCTAAATTAACATGATATCAACGTGATGGAGGAACTATTGGTTTTATTGGTTTTTCTTTTAATTCTGAAAAGTGTTTAGTTTATTTTCTTCATCATCAGGATTTCTGATTAGATTGTATTTGCAATTAATGATGAGTTTATCTTCAGGTGAAGGAGATTGCAAATTTTGTTCTAGTTGATTTCGGTGAAACTTAGTTGGTTCAACTGGTAACAATTTTAGAAAACGTTGGAAAACCAATAGATTCACTCAAGTTCTATTATTGAATCAATGGTTAGTAACAGTTAAATCATCAGTTTCATAAGTTGAATGAAAATTTATAATCATGGTTAACATATTGTTCAGTTAATATACAAAATATCTCAACTTGGAAAATTAAAAGTTGATTTTAGTTTGATGAGGTTATTAGTGTTTGGCTGTCAATTAAGTGGGTAAAATCGACAAATGATTTAGTCAACTTTTTATCTTGATCAATGAATTCAATTGATTGGAGAATCGGAATGATGATTATATCAAAAAAGGATCATTTTTCTACACTGAAATTTCCCAAGGAGCTGGATCACGATTGAATTTCAATTTGAATAAACTTTTTTCCACTTGATTTAAAAGTGAACTGGCACCAATACGAAATAGATTAGGTGATAACCATTCATCGCCAAGTTGATTCTCCATTAATTTAATCCACTTGTAACAATCTTGTTCTGTTCGCAATCCACCCGCAGGTTTAAAACCAACTTTAACCCCGGTGGTTGAATAAAATTCACTAATTGCTCGAGTCATTACAAAGCCAACCGGAAGTGTAGCATTTACTGAAACCTTTCCAGTTGATGTTTTGATGAAATCAGCTCCAGCCATCATCGCGGCCCAACTTGCTTTGTAAACATTAGACAAAGAACCAAGTTCACCAACTTCAAGAATAACCTTTAGCCTGACATCTGACCCTTTAAGTCTCATCACTTTGATTTCTTTGTAAACTTTATCCCAATCACCATTAAGAGCCAGCGATCGGTCAATAACTGTGTCTATTTCATCGGCACCCGAATCACAGGCAAACTCAATCTCTTTCAAGCGAGACTCTAAACCATATTGACCAGAAGGAAATCCAGTAACAACCGAGGCCACTTTCAATGGTTCCCGAAGAGGTTTAATCATTTTGAAAGCATCATGACAATCCCTGATTCTTGAAGGGTAAACACAAATGGCACCAACAGTTAAATTAGAATCACAATAGTTATAGGAAACCAATTGATCCAACAAAGGTTTCACCAATGGATTGAGGCCTCGGTGACAAAGACGCTGGACATTGACATAAGTGTCGTCTCCTGATAGAGTTGTTAAATCAATCACACGAACTGTATTGAGAAGAGCTTTAATCTAACAATAGGAATAGGAAAACAATTTAGTTAATTTGGATATAGGAGATAAATTGAAAGTAACATGGATGAGATTGGAAAATAATTTTCTCTCACCTTCACATCTGAATCCAAACATTTGGTTTCTCTGTCCAAAGATTCACAGGCTCGGTGAATTGCATGGCTATTGATGGAAACATTGTCGAACAATGTTTCATCTAGTTAATTATGACAAGATTAAAGAGATTAAATGATTAAATTAAAAGAAATCTAAATTAATTACTTACCAAATTGAAGAGGTTTGTTAAACTGTTGAGACATTTGTTGAGCTCCTTTGTCATCCAAGGCACAGAAAAAGAGATGAGATGTTGACCTTGGGGGAGAATCAGTCACTTGGATCACAATTTAAGTAATTACCTTGATAGTGACGATAATTTGTTCAATCTCAAGATATAATTATGATTGCATCTCCATGATACATGGATTATATTGATGGAATCAAAGATTTAACTGATTAGATCGAGATTCAAATTTAGAATCACTGAAGAAACAGAAAGAGAGACATTGAAACTAAATTGTGAACGGAAAAAGGAAAATGCCGATCAACCAGTTAAATGGCATAATTAAGAAAAATCAATTTCGGTGATGATTTTTCTCGATTCCGTGGATTAAGTAAATTCTTAAATTCATTTATTTTATCTTTGAGTCATAAATCCATTAAATCTACTAAACGATTTGATCCAAATTCACCAATTTTTAAGTTTTCAAGTGAATATTGAAGTTAATTCTTTTGTCTTTGTTAATTTAACTAAAGAGAAGTTGTTGAGAACCCTTGCTGGGACTGTGGTTATTTCCAGCGACATAAAAAATGTAAATGCTCGTTCAATGACTACGACGAGAATTGTCCCAATCATGTTTACTTGGATCCTGGAGTTTATCGAGTTCATCTCTAAATCCATCCAACAATTAAACTAATCATCTCATTCTTAACTCTCTCAATCTTTTTCTTCTTATTAATTGTACTATCTTATTTTCATTTGTATCTTTTTCTTGTGACTTTGATTGAAATTCAATGATTGTTGATTAATTCTTGATAGAATATTGTTTGATTGTCTTGTATTGTCAATTAATTCTCAGCAATTAAGAAATAACGATTGAAAAGGTTCAACTTTTTTTCCTTTGGCGGGTCATTTGAATTGTTCTTTCATTTAGTCTTTTAAAGATTCACTTTTTTTTTGCTTCTCTTTCCTCATTGTTTACTTTCACTTCTCTGTCTCTGGTCAATTGTTTTTGTTTCTTTTTTTTAACTGTGATTTAAATTTTTTTAATTGTTTCATATTTTTCTTCTTTATTATCTCTTTATGGGTTCTTCAAGTGGTGTGGCTCGAGGACAATTAAGGCCACAATTTGCTGGTCGTAATCCTCCTTTTCTTGTTGCTGGTCTTTTCATTGCTTTGGGTCTTCTTGGTGTCAGTTATTTTTCACTTTCTTCACAATATAATTCCTTACACAATCAATTAGAAAATGTGATTAAAAATGAGGAACGAGGTAGAGGTGCTTATCAAGAGAAAAATAAAGAATATGAAGTTCTACAGAAATTGGTTGAACAATTAAGGGAAAGATTGGATAGAAAAACAAATGAGTTGAAAATAAAGCAAAGTGATTTGGAGAAGATCAGAAAATCTCAGGTAAGATTGATTATTTTTATTCCTTTTCTATTTCTATCAAATTTTTCGTTGATTAATCTTCTAAAAACATTAACTAATTGATTATTGATTTAATTCTCTTTGTGTAGCAATTGACTGAAACCAATATCGCCGCTGAGAAGAGCAGACTTGAGATTGAAAACAAAGGTTTATCTGAGAAAACTAGTCAACTTCAGAAATCTATTGATGTCTTGACCGAAGAGAATATTAAATTAAAAAGTCAATTAGTGGGATCGGATAAACAAATTAAAGAAAAGGAAAGCAAAATTGAACAATTAAATGTGAAAATTAACGAGCTTTCTGGTAAATTGTCACCAGATAAACAACAAGATGGTCAAGAGATCAAAAATATTGGTGAAGATAAAGATGCTGGTGAATTGAAGACTGAAGAAGCTGGTGATCTTGGAATGGCTGATGGAGATGCACCGAATGCCCCAGGGGAGATTTCCAATAAAGTGATCGATGGTCCAGTTGATGGTCAACGTGTAAAGGAAGATGTACCTGTGAATATCGATACAAATAACGTTAATCCAGAAAATCATGCGAAATCCTCATTATCCAAATTACCGAAGCCTTTGGGTGATGGCGAAGGAACTAATCTTTCATAAAGAATAAATTAATTAATTGATAAAAGGACAAAAATTTTGACGGAAATTTGCATTTATTTGGTTATTAAGATGATTCCTGGTGTAATATTGACCTCGCAATTTGAACAAAGACACTTACTTAACTCAAGATGACCATTTGACTTGACCAAGATTATCAACTACAAATTAATCATTACCCGTGAACAATAATTCTCATTTACCATTAAATTCTGGTCTAATCTACATAAATTTAAAAGAAACTCATTTTCTTGTTAAATTAAGTGACTCTTGACAATTATAAACCTCAACAACTATCACCACATGGAAACAATTAGCAAACCAGAAAAAAAAATCAACCAAGAAGGAGAATCACAATTCATACTTAATTGCTTCTTAAATTCCACAGAATAAACTATACTTTACATCATCAATTTTACAAACAGATTAACGACTTTTATGTTTTCAATCAAGTATTAATTATAATAAGTAATTAGTATTAGATGTAAGTTTCAATCAATAAATCATTTGATTAAGTTAACACAATGAGAAAAGAAATCGCTTCATCAATGACTTTGATTTAAATTCAATCAATCTTCTTTTGTGAGCTCTATTTCTAATTAGTTATCATGACAATTTAATTGTTCTAATTAATGATTATTGTAAATGCTTAGAAGGTGAAACTGATTAAATTGATGAGAATAGAAGATTAGATTCAAAGTTGGCGGTTCTCTTTTTTTCCAAAATCCCGGTTAATACAAAGAGCAAGTGGTTTTCTTCATCCCAATGAGTCTCAATGATTTTGGCAATTTGATTAATTGTTTTTGTTCATTTAGTATTCTAATTGATTTAATTTTGAATTTTCTATTAACGTGATTAACTGTAGACCAAGATGAATGCGCCTCCAGCATTTGAATCTTTTCTTCTTTTTGAAGGAGAAAAAGTAAGTGAATTTGTTTTGGTTCCATTTGTTTTCTTTTGAAATTTTGTTTTCTTTTCTTTTGACTTTTATGTTTTTCTATTTCCATTCTCGATATTAATTTGATGTTTATTCCTTTTTCTTTGTAATTACAGAATCATCATTGAGAAGGAAACTAAAGTACCGAATGCTGCCATTTTCACTGTCAATAAGGAAGATCACACTTTGGGTAATTTGATTAGATGTCAATTGTTGAAGGATCCAAATGTTATATTCGCTGGTTACAAAGTACCTCATCCATTGGAACACAAATTCATCCTTAGAGTGCAAACAGTTGGAGATTATACTCCTCAAGATGCTCTGAAAAACGCACTAAGTGATCTGAATGCGGAAATTTCTTATATCGAAGAAAGATTCAAGGTAATCAATTGTCCCGATTACATAATGAAACAGTTGGTTTTTATTTCTAACCCAAAGAACAGCATCAGCACCGTTAACTCTAATAGAGTTACTCTATTCCTAAATTAATTGGATTATTTTTTCTTCTCTTCCTTTAGAGAGCGATTACTGATCAAAATGAGAATTAATCTATTATTCAATCAACTATGAATCTTTGTTCATCAACCATCTCGTTAAAATGAATAACCGGCCTATGGTTAATTTGTTATGCCAGAACTAAGACTTGTCAATAATGTCATTAATTCACACTTTGCGATTCTTGTGTCATTTCCAGAAAAGGTTAAGGTATTAATACAAGTTTATTTTTTGCTCATTCGATTCTATCATGAAATTACTATCAACAGTTAATTGGAAATTAGTTAACTAACAATAAAACTGTAACGTTCAGAAGAATTCAATCATTTTATTATTGACTTGGTTCAAATATCAATTTCGGTGATAATTTTTTTCGATTTTGTAGACTAAACAAAATTTAATTAACTAATTGAATGAATTGGTCAAAGAGATCAACAAATGAAACGGATCAACTGGTTTCACAATACGCTTAGATCAATTTTAGAAAAGCGATTTTAGATTGAATTTACACCAAAATACAGCCACGAAAAATGAGGTGAGAACAAAAATTATACATACAGTCGACGCAAAAAGTAAGTTGAAATTGTGATTCTGAAAGAAAAATGATTATAGCTTTTTAATTAAACTTCATTTACACAATTTAACTATCAAACATGATTAACACAATCAATTGGAATAATTTTTAGCAATTTAAATTTAGATTCATTTGATTACGAGAGTTGTAGCTTCAAAATTAGGCGATCACAGGAAACAATAAGTAAGTTGAAATTTTGATTCTCAATGAGAATTTCCCACTTTTCTTTTGTTTCTTTTTCTTCAACCAGTCAGTGTCTTCGCTTTTAAGGTTCTGCAAGTTCGAAAATTAATCATTTGTTTACATCTAAACTACATTACATTAACACTGATCATTAAGAATAATTAACCAAATAAAAATATTAATACAATAATCAAATGAAATGTAATCAGATTTAATACTTGTGATGAATGAAGGAAATTCAATTGACCAAAGAAAAGATTTAAGAGTAACTATGGAAACAGAAAAAAAACGAATTCAAACTTACCGCTTTTCTTTTTGTTTCTCTTTTCAACCAATTGGTGTCTTCGTTTTTTGATTCTTTCGGTTTGAAAACAAAATCATTTGTTTACATCCAAAAGTCTAATTGTTTTTTTATTTCTTCTTGTTTTTGTTTTGATTAATTTGGTCGTTTTCATTAAATTTTGTTCTTTAAATTGTTTAATTATCATGGATAAAAGTATGGGTGGTGTATATTTGCCTCCTGCTAAGCTGAAAATGCTCCAGGATGCAATCAGTGATAAATCAAGTAAAGAGTTTCAACGATTATCATGGGAAGCGCTGAAAAAGTCCATCAATGGTTTGGTTAATAAAACCAATACCAGTAATTTACCTGTGATTGTGAGGGAATTGTTGAAGGAAAATTTAATCAGAGGACAAGGTGTTTTGTCCCAATCAATAATTACTGCTCAATCTTTTGGTCCAATCTTCTCTAATGTTTATGCTGCTTTGGTCGCTGTTATCAACACCAAGTTACCTCAAATTGGTAAATTGATTGTCACACGAGTTCTAAATAATTTTTGTAAAAGTTATCTTCGAAATGAGAAAAAATTATGTATAAACTCAGTCCGTTTCATTGCTCATCTTATTAATCAACAAGTGGTTAGTGATTTATTGGCGCTGGAAATTTTATTCATGCTTCTAGAAAATGCTACAAATGACAGTGTTGAAGTGGCTGTTGGCTTCCTCAAGGAATGTGGAGCAAAATTACAATCAACTTCTCCCAAAGGATTAATTATTATTTTCGATATGTTAAGGAACAATCTAAATGAAGGTAATCTCGATACTCGCGTTCAATATGCAGTTGAAGTGCTGATTGCCATCCGAAAAGATGGATTCAAAGATTATCCAATCATCATCCCGGAATTGGACCTGTTGGAAGAAGGAGATAAAATTACTCATCAATTTGAATTAGATGGTCAATACGAAACGAAAGATGAACTTAACGTGTTCCACTTTGATCCTGAATATTTAGAGAATGAAGAGAAATATAAAATTTTGAAAAAAGAAGTTCTCGATGACAGTGAATCTGAAGATGACGATGGTGATGGTGATGAAGATGAAGATGAGGACGAAGAGGAAGATGATTCAGATGAAGAAAAATCAACAAAAATAACTGATGAAACTGCCACCGATCTTGTTGCTCTTCGGAGAAAGTTATATCTTACCCTTCAATCATCTTTACAACCCGAAGAAGCGGCTCATAAACTAATGAAACTTGGATTGGAAGGTAAAGATCGGACTGAAATGTGCTTCACGATCATCGATTGTTGTGCCCAACAGCGTACTTACATTCGTTTTTATGGATTGATCGCCCAGAATTTCTGTTCGATTGCTCACGAATACGTGAACATATTTTCCACCGTGTTCGTGGATTGTTTTTCTAAAATTCATCGTTTTCTGGACTCAATCAAATTACGAAATGTTGCTGGATTTTTCAGCCACTTGTTGATAACCGATTCCATTCCATGGACAGTTTTATCTTGCATAAAGATAAACGAAGATGATACTACATCTGCTAGTCGGGTGTTCATCAAATATTTATTTCAAGAAATTTCTGATTTTCTCGGAGTGGAAAAAGTCAAAGGGAGAATTCGAGATCCAACTCTACAAGAAGCTTTCGCTGGTATTTTCCCTCGTGATAATCCAAGAGACACTCGATTCTCGATAATGTTCTTCCAAAACATTGGTCTTCATCCATTGGTCGAAGATTTAGTTGACTTTCTTAAATCTAAACCAGCTCCGGATCCAATTGAAGCCATCAAAGAGGAACCAGTCGATGAGAAACCAACTACGGATAAAAAGAGTAGCAAAAGAAAACATAAAGATTCAAGTTCTGATTCAAGTTCAGACTCTTCTTCAGATTCAGAAGATTCGTCCTCATCATCTTCTTCCGACTCTGATTCTGATTCTGACTCCGATTCGGACTCTGATTCTGACTCTACAGATTCATCATCCTCATCATCCTCATCATCATCTTCTACAGCTTCATCATCTCACAAAAAGAAAAGCAAAAGTCATTCTGGTTCCAAAGATCGATCGAGATCTAAAGAGATGCATCAAGTCTCAAGCTCTAAAAAACATCGGTCACATAAAAGATCAGAAAAAGAAACCAATGGATCGACTCGAGATGAAAGATTTAAAGCTGATAAAAACGAAAAACACGAAAAAAGTAGCCATGATCAACGATCATCACTCAAACGAGAACATTATCGAGAGAGAACAAGCAAAAGGTACAAAAAATCTTCCAGAGATGATGAAAAAAGAGATAACAATAACCGAAAATATCGCGAAATGAAAGATGAGAAATATCGACATGATACCAACAGATACAGAAAAGATGACCAAGAAAAAGATGATTCCAAGAGCCGTCGTCAAGATCGTTGAATAATCATCGGTTGTTAACTGCGAATGGACAAAATAAGATTCAAGTGAACATCAACCTTGATTATTAAATGGTCGCTGTTTTATTTAAATATTAATGTAAATTGAATTTCCACCAAAATATATCTAATCAACTTTTCCAATTACAATTGTATTTATAAAACTTAATTAGATGAAAACTTTTTCTCGATTTACAAGATTCATTTAATCTACTAAACAGATTATGATGATTGGAACATAAACAATTTAACTAATTAAATGAATTTATCAAGACGATAAACCGATTGAAAGAAACGAAAAGGATTAAAATGTGTTCGCTATGCCCTTAGGCCAATTTTAGAAAAGGTAAGGACTGACCAATGGTTTTCGTCCATTTTTCTGAAGATTTCCCGTATATAAAAAAAGGCCAGAAGACTAACTGATCATTTCGAATTTCGATTCTCATTGACCTATTTCAAATTCTTGAATATTAATTCCAAGTTTTAATTGTTAATTACTCGATTCTTGTTTCTCAACGTGATTTATAAAATGTCCGGTTTTGAATACGAAAATCTTTCTCTTGAACCGATTAATGGTTCGAATCGCCAAATAATCAATGATTTCGTGAGGCGATGTAGATCCAACAATTTAGAAGGTGTTGTCATACCTCGTGAACTTCAGCAGCCCATTTTGGACGCTCTGACCATCGATGATGCTTCGATATCCATTGAAGCTTTAGATCATCTGTTGAGTGGCGGTGGATGTAAATCGTTAAACTTGTCGAAACATCATTTCGAAAGTGAATCAACAGCTGAGTTCTCTCAAGTTCTTACTCGTGCTCTCGATCATTTGGAAAAACTCAACATCATAAACCATAAATATCAATATTGTACACCGAATTGTCCAATTAGTGAATTCTTTCTCAACTTGTTGGATAAAAATGCCGTTCCTGTGAATCTCAAGTGTCTCGAGATCTGTTGTGTCCAAACAGCGACTGAGATAATGTCTATTCTTAAGTATTGTCCATCTTTGAATAAGCTCAAGATCCGAAACATTACTTTGGATTATGATCAACTATCACTAGTCAATAGTCAACTGCATGAAGATCAATTCACCAAGATCCAACGCTCGCTCACTCATCTGGACATTAACTCTGATAAAATTCCATTCGAAGATGATGATGATTATGAAAACGATATCATGGAGTTGGAAGTTCTTTGTGAATTCATCACTTTGTTCAAAGAATTACAATTTCTCAACTTCAACTCTTTCTTCGAGCCGATACTTGACTTCATGAGGAGAAGCAGTGAACTCAATCTCGATGATTCGTTCACCGACTTAAGTGTCGTCATCAATTTCGAAAACTTTTTGGAAAATTTAAACGGAATCGGTTTGAATTTCATCGAATGTAAAAATTATAATTTGTACCGATTGGCTCAAATGGCTCCGAATATCAAAGAACTAAAGATCAAAACACTTGGACAAATTTCTCTTCTCGTAATAGAAAAGTTCGAATGTCTTAAAGAACTTTCAGTCGAGCCCCTGTGCAGTTTCAACGATGAACTTCCAACAATCATCGCCGATTTCCAAAGTCTAATTCCTGCTCTAACTCAACGCGGTCCCAATATTACTCATCTTACCTTAATGAATGTTGACGACATTGATCTCAATAAAGTCGCTGCTTTGTGTCCAAATCTGATTCATTTGGAACTCGATCTCAATGGTTACCCGGCACCAGTTAAACTCTTAAAAATTTCGAAAAAGCGAAAAAGAGAAAATTTCACCAAATTGCGGAAACTTCACCTGAAAAGTTCTGGAGTCGATTTACTAAATTATCTTTTTTTCGCCCTGAAAAATGCTTTCCAATTAACTACTCTTCAAATCGAGTCCAATCATGGAAATGATGTAGATGGATATTTGTCGACTATTCTCAAATACAATCCATTGACTAATTTGGAATATTTTCGACTAATTTCCGGTTCCAGTTGCATCGATTCTTATGAAATCAGAAAACTTTTCTCGACACCAGAACAATTCCCTCATCTTCGGTACTTTAACATCAAATTCATGGACCCTTGTCTCGAATGCGGTCGAACTCATGAAGTGGGTGAACCAGAACACTGTGAATGTCCGTTCAATGGTTACGACGAGAATTGTCCCAATCATATTTATTTGGATCCTGAAGTTCATCGAGTTCAACTTTAAATCCATCCAACAATTAAACTCTAATCATCTCATTTTTAACTCTCTCAATCCTTTTTCTCTCTAGTTGTAAATCTTTCTTTTTTGTGAAAATTATTCCAAACCTTTAATCTTGTATCATTTTGCATCTTTTCCCTGTGACTTTAATTAAAATTCAATCAATCTAATTTTATGAGATCTATTTCTTTAATTATCGGGCATATTCACTGATCACATTATCTAAGAGAAATTGTCAATCTGATAAAAGTCGCGAAAAATAAAATTCAATTAGTTATCATGACAATTTGTATTCTAATAGATGATTATTGCTTCTCAATTGTTGCAAATCTTTCTGATTTATCTGGCTATCAATGAAATTAGATCATTTCTCTTGATAATTTATATGATTGTTGACGAGCTATGGGAACATTAACTTTAAACCAAATCTATTGATTACATTTCATTATTTATTTTAAATATTTATAGTTGAAAATGATTGTTGATACAAAATTAAATCAACTACGAATTGATGATTAAATCGAGTTGGTTTATTTGTCCAAATAATAATAAGAGGCTCACATTGGACTAAGGAAAATTTAATTCAATTTCAGCAGGAATCTTGGTCATAACTTTTTAACTATCCATTGGTCAATGATGTGGATGATGATGATGGTGATGATGTGGAGGTGGTGGTGGATGGTGGGGATGATGAGGATGCCTTGGAACTGTAGTAGTTTTGGTAATTGAAATTGGAATAGGAAAAGGAATAGTTATCTTTTCAACATAAGTTTGAGGTGGAGGGTGAGGGTGATGGTGAGGAGGAAGATGATGAGGTGGTGGTGGGTGGTGAGGATGGTGATGGTGGTGTGGTGGTTGAGGTGGTAAAGGAGGTGGTGGGTAATGAGGGTGATGATGATGGTTAACCATAACTACTGATTGATTAGCACTTGATGAAAAACCAAAAGTTGACGATCAGCTGATTGTTAAACTCACAATTAGTAAATTATTTGTAAATGTTGTTTCCGATGAATTAACTTATCCTTTTAAATGAAAAAATACCAACCAACTGACGTAAATGTAATAATTAAAATCGTCATTTAATTGTTACTCATAAATGTTTAATCTTTTTAGTTTATTTACTTTTTCAGATTAACAATCAGACTTTCATTAGTAGATTGAAATTTACTAATCTATTAATTGTCAAGTGATTTAAATCAATGGTTGATTATTATTGTTTATGGTAAAGATTCATCTCTTCATTTAATACAATTGAAATTGTAACTGGATTAATTGTATCTTAATCAATCGTAAATCACTTACGAGTTGGATTAACTATTTTAATGACATTTGTAATTATTGTTTTCTGTTGATTAGTTTGAGGTTTTGGTCCTTTATTGTGATGATGATGATGATGAATTACAATCGGTTTATTATCGTTACTCTTGACGTGTTGATTAGCAGGACGATTAACGTGATGATGGTGATGATGAATTACAATTGGTTTACCATTGTTATTATTTACAACTTTAGGTTGACTATTGTGACTATGGACGTGCTGATTGTTGGTGGAATTGCTCCTGATTGTTGATGCATTGGGCTTTTCATTAGCAGGTTGCTGTTGATGATTGTGGTAGTGAGAGTGATAATGTAAAGGTTGCTGAGGGCGATGTTGTTTCTGTTGATTTTGAGGGTTATGATTGACCTTTGGTTGAGTTTTGTTAACGGACAAATTTACTTTAATGTTGGTTGACATTTTTTCACGAAAACAAAAACCCTCAACAATTAAAGGAAACAATTTACAAACCTTACGTTTACTCAAATTAGAACAAAGAAATGATTAAGATCTCAAGTGATTTTCTATCGTCTAATTGATAATTGTTGCTAAGCAATTAACGGGCGTTACTGATCGTTAATGATTACTCGTCATTATCTGATTATTGATTTTCATGAATATGCTCACTCGAGAGCGCAATTTGTCGTGCAATAGGTCGAGTTTATAATTGATCTCGACTTTTAAAATTCCATTCGAAGATGATGATGAAAACAATATCAACGAATTGGATGTTCTTTATGAATTCTTGTTTTTATCTAAAGAATTACAATATAAGAGTTGATGCAACTCGAAAAGAGATTTGGGTTAAAACCTCAAGACCAATGAACATTTGAATCGCCATTTTTATCTTCCATTTATTTCTTTGCGGCTACATGGTGATAGTGCTTCATTTTGCAGGGAAAATTCATAAATCTGAAAATAATTGAGACGATCCAATTGTTTTCATAAAATTCTAATAATGATTTCCATGAGCTCATTTTTAGTCCAAATTCTATGAGATTTGTATAGAAAGGAAGAAAAAACATCTCCTATTAAGTTCAGTTAAGCCCTGAAGGTAATGAAGTTTCATTTGTCTTGACCAGTTAGATAACGAAATATATCTTGATGTCCTTGTAATCCTAACATTTCCAAAAGGTAGATTTCAATTGATCGATAAAGGTGATAACGAACATCATCCAAATAATGATTACTATCAGGATAAATCTAGGAAATAAAATTGAATCAATTTGTCACTTTAATAAAAAATCTGAGAAAATATTAATTAAAACTTGAAAATCTTCCAAATTTAATGTTACCATAACGTTAGAAAACCTAATTAAATGAAATCTTTTTATCGATTTACAAGACTCATTAAATCTTCTAAACAGATTATGATCATTGGAACTCAAACAATGTAATCAATTAAATGGATTAACCGAAACGATAAACAGATTGAAAGAAACGAAAAGGATTAACATGAGTTCGCTTTACCCTTAATCCAATTTTAGAATAGATAAAAACTGACCAATGGTTTTCGTCCATTTGATCGGAGACTTTCTGTATATAATGAAGTAGAATTAAGATCACTGATCATTTCGAATTTTGATTCTCATCAACTTGTTTCTAGTTCTCGAATTTCAATTCTAAGTTTTAATTACTTGATTCTTGTCGAACTTTTCTCGTCATCTAATAATTACTTTCAATTCTAAATTTTTAAATTGTTGTTTCTCAACGTGATTCTAAAATGTCCAATTTCGACTACGAAAATCTTTCTCTTGAACCGATTAATGGTTCGAATCGCCAAATAATCAATGATTTCGTGAGGCGATGTAAATCAAACAATCTAGAAGGTGTTATCATACCTCGTGATCTCCAGCAGCCCGTTTTGGATAATTTAACTATTGAAGATGCTTCGGTTCCCCTTGGTGCTTTAGATCACCTGTTGAGTGGCGGTGGATGTAAATCGTTAGATTTGTCGAAACATTATTTCGAAAGTGAATCAACAACCGAGTTCTCTCAAGTTCTTACTCGTGCTCTTGATCATTTAGAAAATCTCAACATCATAAACGATCAAAACTACTTCTGTGAACCAAATTGTCCAATGAGTGAATTCTTCCTCAACTTATTGGATAAAAATTCCGTTCCAGTGAATCTCAAGTGCCTCGAGATCTGTTGTGTCCAAACAGCGACTGAAATAATGTCTATCCTTAAGTATTGCCCATCATTGAATAAACTCAAGATCCGGAACATTACTTTGGATTTCGATCAATTGTCAATCGTCAATAGTCAACTGCGTGAAGGTCAATTCACTGAAATTCAGCGTTCGCTCAATCATTTGGATATTGACTCTAGAAAGATTCGAGTCAATGGTTACCAATATATTGGTATCAGTTTCATATATGAAATTGATATCATGGAATTGGAAGTTCTTTGTGAATTCATTGCCTCATTCACTGAGTTACAGTATATCCACTTTAACTATTTGTACGAACCGATTTTAATGTTCATGAGAAGGAACAATCAACTGAACCCAAACGACACATTCAGTGAACCAAGTGTCATGGTAAATTTTGACAACACTTTGGAAAAGTTGACAGGAATCGCTGTAAACTTCATTAAAAGTAAAGGTGACAATTTACACCGTTTGGCTCAAATAGCTCCCAATGTGACCGAAGTAAAGATTAGAGCACATGGACAAATTTCTCTCTTCGGGATCGAAAAATTGGAATTTCTCAAGAAAATTTCCCTCGAGAACATGTGTTATTTAATCGATCATCCTCCCGATATCGTAGCAGATTTCCAAAGTCTATTACCCGTTCTAATCGAACGTGGTTCTAACATTACTCATCTTTCCCTGGTGAATGTTATTGGTATCGATCTGACTAAAATCGCCTCTTTGTGCCCGAATATTGTTCATCTGGAGCTCGATCTTAGTAATGATAAATTACCAGTTAAACTACAAAAAGTGAGAAAACGAGAAAAATCTTTCACCGAATTGCGAAAACTTCACATCAAAAGCTCAGGACGTGATTTATTCAGTTATCTACATTTCACCATGAAAATGCTCTCAAGTTAACTACTCTTCAAATCAACTCCAATCATGGAGCTAAAATAGATTCTTATCTATCATCTATTCTCAAACGGAATCCAATGAACAATTTGAAATATTTTCGACTAATTTCCGGTTCTGGATGTATTGATTTCTACAAGATCAACAAATTGTTCTCGAAACCAGAACAATTCCCTCATCTTCGGTACTTGAATATCGAATTCATGGACCCTTGTTCGGAATGTGGTCGATTTCATGAGTTTGGTGAACCAGAACCATGTGAATGTCCGTTCAATGGCTACGACGAGAATTGTCCCAATCATTTTTATTTGGATCCGCAAATTCATCTAGTACAACTTTAAATTCATTCAACAATCGAACATCAATCACCTCAATATTAACTGATAACTCCCGTGATTGTATACAAATGAATATTTATAATGATTAAAATGAATTAGTTTAAATGAACTTTTTGCAAATTTTAATTCACAATTAAATCTAATCAACCAGAGTGTAATCTCTTCTCGTTCTCTTCATCCCAAAGAGTCTCAATGATTTTGGGAATGTGCTTAATGTTGTTTATTTGGTATTTTATTTGATTCAATTTTCTATTAACGTGATTAACTGTAGACCAAGATGAATGCGCCTCCAGCATTTGAATCTTTTCTTCTTTTTGAAGGAGAAAAAAAGTAAGTGACTTTGTTTTGGTTCCATTTGTTTTCTTTTGAAATTTTCTTTTCTTTTGACTTTTATGTTTTTCTATTTCCATTCTCGATATTAATTTGATGTTTGAATCTTTTTCTTTGCAATTACAGAATCATCATTGAGAAGGAAACTAAAGTACCGAATGCTGCCATTTTCACTGTTAATAAGGAAGATCACACTTTGGGTAATTTGATTAGATGTCAATTGTTGAAGGATCCAAATGTTATATTCGCTGGTTACAAAGTACCTCATCCATTGGAACACAAATTCATCCTTAGAGTGCAAACAGTTGGAGATTATACTCCTCAAGATGCTCTGAAAAACGCACTAAGTGATCTGAATGCGGAAATTTCTTATATCGAAGAAAGATTCAAGGTAATCAATTGTCCCGATTGAATCAAACATTTGGTTCTAACCCAAAGAACAGCATCAGCACCGTTAACTCTATTCCTAAATTAATTGTATTATTTTTTCTTCTCTTCCTTTAGAGAGCGATTACTGATCAAAATGAGAATTAATCTATTATTCAATCAACTATGAATCTTTGTTCATCATCCATCTCGTTTAAATGAATAACAATAAAACTGTCGAACGAAATAGTTCAATCATTTTATTGGTTCAAATATCGATTTCGGTGATAATTTTTTTCGATTTTGTAGATAAAACAAAATTTAATTAACAAATTGAATGAATTGGTCAAAGAGATCAACAAATGAAACGGAACAACAGGTTTCACAATACCCTTAGGTCAGTTTTAGTTAAGATACGGTGTTTCCCGTTTGAAGAAACCAAACTTTCAAATAAGAAAACCTTTTTTTCAATTGAAGAAACCAAAAATAAAAATTCGCTTCTAATTTTCATTTGAAGAAACCAAAACGATTTTTAATTGTGGTTAATTAATTAATTCTAAGTCGAAATTAAATTAGGATCACATGTATGATGATTTTGAATATGAAACTTCATTTCTAAACAGATTTTCGCTCTAAAATTAATAATTAAAAAATGAAGGTCCGAAGTCTCGTATCATTGATCTCAATTGGTATACGAGTAAAAGCATTGGGGTTTCTTCAAATGAAAACTTGGAGCGAATTTTTATTTTTGGTTTTTTCAATTGAAAAAAAGGTTTTCTTATTTGAAATTTTGGTTTCTTCAAACGGGAAACACTGTAAATCTAAATAGATTATGATCATTGGAACTCAAACAATGTAATCAATTAAATGGATTAATCAAAACGATAAAACAGATTGAAAGAAACGAAAAGGATTAACATGAGTTCGCTTTACCCTTAATCCAATTTTAGAATAGATAAAAACTGACCAATGGTTTTCGTCCATTTCATCGGAGATTTTCCGTATATAATGAAGTAGAATTAAGATCGTTGATCATTTCAAATTTTGATTCTCATCAACTTGTTTCTAGTTCTCGAACTTCAATTCTAAGTTTTAATTACTCGATTCTTGTCGAACTTTTCTCATCATCTAATAATTTATTTCAATTCTAAACTTTTTAAATTGTTTTTTTCTCAACGTGATTCTAAAATGTCCAATTTCGACTACGAAAATCTTTCTCTTGAACCGATTAATGGTTCGAATCGCCAAATAATCAATGATTTCGTGAAAAAATGTAAATCAAACAATCTAGAAGGTGTTATCATACCCTGTGATCTTCAGCAGCCCATTTTGGATAATTTAACTATCGAAGATGCTTCGGTTCCCCTTGGTGCTTTAGATCACCTGTTGAGTGGCGGTGGATGTAAATCGTTAGATTTATCGAAACATTATTTCGAAAGTGAATCAACAACCGAGTTCTCTCAAGTTCTTACTCGTGCTCTTGATCATTTAGAAAATCTCAACATCATAAACGATCAAAACTACTTCTGTGAACCAAATTGTCCAATGAGTGAATTCTTCCTCAACTTATTGGATAAAAACGCTGTTCCTGTGAATCTCAAGTGTCTCGAGATCTGTTGTGTCCAAACAGCGACTGAAATAATGTCTATCCTTAAGTATTGCCCATCATTGAATAAACTCAAGATCCGGAACATTACTTTGGATTTCGATCAATTATCGATCGTCAATAGTCAACTGCGTGAAGGTCAATTCACTGAAATTCAGCGTTCGCTCAATCATTTGGATATTAATTCGAGAAAGATCCCAGTCAATGGTCATGAATATGAAATCGATATCATGGAATTGGAAGCTCTCTGTGAATTCATCACTTTGTTCAAAGAATTACAATTTCTCAACTTCAACTCTTTCTTCGAGCCGATACTTGACTTGATGAAGAGTATCAGTGAACTCAATCTCGATGATTCGTTTACCGGCTTAAGTGTTTTCATTAATTTAGAAAACTTTTTGGAAAATTTAAACGGAATCGGTTTGAATTTCATCGAATGCAAAAATTATAATTTGTACCGATTGGCTCAAATGGCTCCGAATATCAAAGAACTAAAGATCAAAACACTTGGACAAATTTCTCTTCTCGTAATAGAAAAGTTCGAATGTCTTAAAGAACTTTCAGTCGAACCCCTGTGTAGTTTCAACGATGAACTTTCCACTATCATCGCCGATTTCCAAAGTCTAATTCCTGCTCTAACTCAACGTGGTTCCAATATTACTCATCTTACCTTAATGAATGTTGACAACATTGATCTCTATAAAGTCGCCGCTTTGTGTCCAAATCTGATTCATTTGGAACTCGATCTCAATGGTTACCCGACACCGGTAAATTTCTTAAAAATTTCGAAAAAGCGAAAAAGAGAAAATTTCACCAAATTGCGAAAACTTCACCTGAAAAGTTCTGGAGTCGATTTACTAAATTATCTTTTTTTCGCCCTGGAAAGTGCTCTCCAATTAACTACTCTTCAAATCGAATCGAATCATGTAGATGAATATTTGTCAACTATTCTCCAATACAATCCATTGGCTAATTTGGAATATTTTCGACTAATTTCCGGTTCCAGTTGCATCGATTCTTATGAAATCAGAAAACTTTTCTCGACACCAGAACAATTCCCTCATCTTCGGTACTTTAACATCAAATTCATGGACCCTTGTCTCGAATGTGGTCGAACTCATGAAGTGGGTGAACCAGAACACTGTGAATGTCCGTTCAATGGTTACGACGAGAATTGTCCCAATCATATTTATTTGGATCCTGAAGTTCATCGAGTTCAACTTTAAATCCATCCAACAATTAAACTCTAATCCTCTCATTCTCAATATGTGTATGAATAGGATGAAATTGTTGTAATTAAAGTAATCACAATTAAAATGATTTGGAAAAATTTATTTGATTGTTGACCCATTGGAAGATTAGTTTTAATTGTTGTGAAAAATTGTGTGAATAAATTTCATGATGAATGAATGAGACTAATGAATTAGTTTAAATGAAACTTGAAAATTTTAATTCACAATTAAATCTAATCAACCAGAGTGTAATCTCTTCGCTGTATCATATCGCGATCCTCGAAGATTCATTCGAGATGAAATCTTACAGCATTTATGAAACATTCGGCCCTGACTCTCAATACATGATTCAAATTTTCTCATTGTCGATTTACCATAAAGTCCAATACGATGTTTACCTTGGAAATAAATCTTCTTATTATGAGCTCGATTTTCGTTACGATCCAATATTCGAGCTGCATAGAAATTAACGTGACAATGATAACCATGTTCACCCGCTAATCGACCCAATAGACAACATTGAACGGCCTCACTTTCATCTTGAAGAAACGAAATGAGAGAAAAAAAACAAACAATTAACTCAACAATTAACGCGAATAATTGACAATTAAGGTTGATGACAATAAGGAAATATTGACAATCAGCTAATCTCCAATTGACAATTGCAATCAAATCAAACAAGATTACAAGTTAATTGATATTATCTATTTTTCTATAAATATATTTATTCAAGTTAATTACTTTTCTTAATTGTAACAATTAAAATTATTTGCTTACCCTTTCTTTCTGGACTTTGAGTTGTACTCGATTCCTTGATTGTTGTTAATGAATTTTCATTAATTAATTCTGATTCCCGGTTATCATTATCAACTTCAACTATAACCACTCGCTCGGAATTGTTGATTAAATAATCTGTTATTGTAAAGAATTAAATTAATTAACAATCATACAATTAAATGTTTTCACAATCAACTTAATCAAAGTAATTACTTGAAATTAAACCAAACTGACAATTAGATCAACACCAATTTCAACAATCATAATTATCAATGTAATATTAAGTATCTTATCCAACTACTAACAATTAGTTGATTACAATTATGAACTAATTGAACTTTGATCGATTAACTTATTTAATTAGATGAACAAAACTTATGATAAATTTTTTTCATCACAATTAACTAATCTTAAGGTTCAATGTATTTACAAAAATTTAAATTACAACAGTTTAATAGATTAACTTTCCAACTGATTAGTAAATTGTAATCCAAAATCTTTAATCTCTTCCCAATGGATTAATCATTTTTTTTTGAAAATCTTTAATCTAATTAATGGATTAGCTTGACTTGATTAACTCTTAATTAGATTGTGGTTGAATTAATTGTAAAAATTAAATTAAACTTACCATCAAAATGTTGATACTGTTTTCTTGGTGTATTGTAAGTGTATGAATAGGATGAAATTGTTGTAATTAAAGTAATCACAATTAAAATGATTTGGAAAAATTTATTTGATTGTTGACCCATTGGAAGATTAGTTTTAATTGTTGTGAAAAATTGTGTGAATAAATTTCAATCAAGTGAAATTGATGTTAAATATTAACAAATAAATTAAAGTTTCTCTCAACAATTTAAGTTTAATACTTTGGATTAATTTGATTAATTAACAAGTAATTAAATTTTGAAAAGGAGAACCAAATTAACTTATTCATTCAAGTTTCAACTATTAACTAGTAAGTATTTAGCTCTGTTGCTAAATCAAAGTGTTTGACAATCAATTAACTATTTATCTTCCAATATGATTAAACATTTGTCGATTTAATTTCTGTTATCGTTAATTATAAATCTTAATCATTTGTTGACAAAAATCTAATCTAAACCACTTGATGCTCATCAGTTAATCACTCAACGATTCAACTCCATTGGTGTTGCTTGTGATGTAAAACAATTTTAATTCATTGATAATCAGTTAACTAATCATGATAATTAAGAAAGAAGCAACAAAATTGTACCGGAGAAATCAACTAATCAATAGGTCATTGAATTTATTTTATTGAATAAATCAATTGAATTTTTCTTCCTGTCACCAATCATTATAATTGTAATTGTCTTTTAATGAGCTTTTAATTTCAGAGATAAAAGTTTGTTTCGCTCGAAAAAGTTTTCGTTGAACCTTTGGCTCGAAATGAAGTGACGATCGATGATCTTGATTGATTTGAGTAGTTTCGGTGCTGGTCCTTGGAGCCGAATAATGCTGAGGAATGGCTCGAACTTGAACTGGGGCTAATGATCGATATTTGACAGATAATCCAGCGGAATTAGCATCTTCTTCATCTTGAGTGTTTTCATCGGCATTAATGGCCTACAATCTGGATGATGTTCGAGTTGGTTCAAAGGAAACTCGGAAAGATTTCTCAGATCATTTGTCGTGACGAAAAAAATAAAACTCGAGAAACTAGAATTCAAGAAAATTCAATTTCTTCACAAGTTTAATAACTAAAAGATAAATTGTCTTAATCAGTGATTTAAATCATCGATTATTATTCAATTTATTGATCATCGGCAAGAAAACCAATCTGACTTTTAAAACAATCAATATGTTTTCATTTGTGATCATTTGATCATAATCACAATCTAATCGTGAGATTAATAAATAGATTGAAAATTTTTGAAGATATTTAATTGATTTTGAGGAAATTGTTATTGGGTAGCATTTTACCAATTGATTAGATGGTTGATTATTTTAATGATTAATCAGCAATTAACAAATGTGTGACTACTTAATTTTTGCCATTCGTAAGCCCTTGATAACAAAATTAACTTGTTCTTGCTCACTGATTACTTGAGTTTATTATTAGTCTTTGTGAAAATCATAAAAGGTAAACTGTTATTGTCAAGTAATTAGAATGGTGAAAATTTTAATTATATTTCCATTGCTAATTGTTATTTATAAATCACTTTTGATTACATGTTTCCAGCAATGTCTTGAAAATGAATTTCAATGTCCATTAACAGGAGACTGTATTGATAAGTTAATGATTTGTGATGGATTCATTGATTGTCCAGGCTACCATGATGAATTTAATTGTTCATCATCATCATTAATTAACTCTCGTTCACTTAATAATCAAATAAATTGTCCTGGATTCTTATGTAAAGACTCAGATGATTGTCTACCTGAAAACAAAGTTTGTAACGGTTCACCTGATTGTCCAAATGGTGGCGATGAATTAAATTGTCCAGTAATTGGATCAATTTGTTTACCTAATTGTGATTATGATGAGAAACAAAATATAACAATTACTCGATGTTTAAATAGTACATCAATTTGCGATGGATTTAATAATTGTCACAATGGGATAGATGAAATTAATTGTGATCAACTGATTCCAGTTAAACGGAGTAACAACAATAACAAAAATCAACTAAACGAAACAAATTTCATAAATTGTGAGCAATTAAATTCATTTAATTGTGGTGATGGTAAATGTATCGAAAATCAATTATTGTGTAATGGTAAAGTTAATTGTCCAAATGGTTTAGACGAAGGTATTTCTTGTAATTCAAATTTGACCTGCGAAACCCGAACTTGTACCCAAAAGTGTTTACCTTTGACCAATGGTAGTAAATGTGATTGTCATGAGGGTTACGAGCTACTGGCCGATGGTCAAACTTGCGAGGATATCGATGAATGTTCAATGGGTCCACTCGAACGTCCTTGTTTCCAGGATTGTGTCAACACTTTGGGCAGTTATCGATGTGCTTGTTTTGAAGGTTGGACTTTGTCAGCTGATGATAAAACTTGTACTCAACGATCACGAACTGACCAATGTATCGTTAACACAAACGATCCTTACCTCCTAATGGTCAAGAATAATTTAATTTACAACAATTTCCTTAGATGTATAGCAATTAAATCACCAATAGCATTTGCTAATTTATCAACTCACATATCAACTTTTACCTATGATCAAGCTAATTGGAGGATTTATTATTATTCTGTCCCGTTAATGTCAATCAATGTCATCGATGTGGAGACAAAGGTCACTTCCAAGTTTGTTAAACGGGTAAATGTAACTCGTTCCCTAAGGTCATTGGTTTTTGACGATTTAACTGGTAATTTGTATTGGATTGAACCAGGAAAAGGTTCAATTGAAATTGTTTCAACTTATCGACCAAATGAAACGATTACATTGATTGATGGTTTAATCGATGCCAATCAATTGGTTCTTAATCAAGAGCGAAGTGAAATGTACATTAGTGTAACTGGATTCGAGCCCAAAATTTTGGTCGCAAGTTTACATGGGAAAGATATTCGTGAGATCGATTCAACGGGAAATCTATTGACCTATCCAACGGCACTTTTTGTTGATAAAATGGGTCAAAGGTTATACTGGAGTGATTCGGGTACTCATGAGATTTGTTTCGTTTCACTTTTAGGACGAAAAGGTGAATTTGGACCTAAACAAGTGATCTACAAGTTCGAGGAATCAGTTCAATCGATGATTGTTCATGATGATAGAATTTTCATCGCCACGAAAGAAGATAAATTAATCCAAGTGGACATTACTGCTCGAGATTCGGTAAATGACCGAAAAGATCTTAAAGTTCCTTCAGGTGGTGGATTACCTTTCAATTCAATTGATCTTTTCTTCGGGTTCAATTATCGCTATCGAAGTCCATGTTTAGGTGATTCTCGAGGTGGTTGTAGTCATATTTGTACCTTTATCGATTCAATTGTGACCTGTTTATGTCCAAAAGGAATGACACTCGACTCTAATGGCCGTACCTGTGTAGAGAAACGGACAATTTGCCCACCCGATAGTTTAATTTGTTCAGACGGTTCGAATTGTTTCAAATTATCAACCCAATGTGATGGTAATTTTGATTGTTCAGATAAATCTGATGAGCTTAATTGTACATCAATTAAAGTTGATTGTCCAGCTGATTATGATCACTGTCCAACTGGTACAAAGTGTATTCCTAAAATTTGGTTCTGTGATTCATTTTTTGATTGCCCCGAGGGATTAGATGAAAAAAGTTGTCATAAATCATGTAAATCGAGTGAATTTAATTGTGGTGATGAATCTAATCAATGTATTCCAAGTGATTGGGTCTGTGATGAGATCGTTGATTGTCCAAACAAATCCGATGAAGTAAATTGTCTTCCAAGATCTTGATAATGGAAATTAAATTATTATCACAATCAATGTAACAATTAATCTGATATTTAACTTTTTTTAACTTGTTATGAAAAACAATCAATAAAATTGGTAACAATTAACACTAGAAAAACAAATCTCTTTGATTTGTTAAACGATAATAAATAATTCAGTGTCTGATGATTAGTTAATTTTCCTAAACCTCGAACAACAATTAAATCGTGAATGGAAAAGTAATTTGAACAGTTCATCGAATTATGTATCGATTGAAGTTTTTTTTGTTATTGATTTTTTACCTAGTAACCGTTTGTTTCCAAGTGGATTGAAAATCAAAACAATTAGTATTCTTGTTTCGATAACAATTAACAACATCATGACTTCTTATGTTGAATTTAATATCGGTGGTGATCCAAGTTTAGTTAATTGTGAAATCGGCCGATGTGTTTGGTCAAATGTAATTCCAGTTTTAGCTGTTTCAGTTTACAGCAATGGTGGAACAGTTAAATTGTTCAATGAAAATGGTGTTTCTATTGAGACTCATGTCGATTCTGATTTATCTTCATCGATTCCAGTTAAATCTCAGTCTCATGTTTCTGATTTTCGATGGCATCCAAAGTTACCTGTTGTTGCGATTACCTGGGAAAACGGTGACCTCGGTTGTTTCCACGTTCACAAGTTCAGGTCAAAGTGGATCTATTCAACTAGTACTGAGGAGATTTTGCTCAATTCCAAGTGGATTGTTCATATGATTTGGATCGATCCTGGTGACAAATTAGTAACAGGTAAGTTTGGTTAATTGTTTTCTCTGAGTGATATTAGAATATTTTTTCATCTTCTTCTTTTGTTTACCGACAGTTAATAGTTCTGGTCTGATTGTTATTTGGGAGTTCAATTCGATAACCAATTTGCTGACTTCGACCTTCAGTCATCAGATGGTTGATCGACCCACCGATTTGGCCATTGTTAGTTCAAAGACTCGTTCCTCTAGGATATTGATTGCTTGTAGTTCGGGAATGATTCATCAATATTTAGTATCTTCGGGAACGATTTCTGATGTTGTCCAATTGGAAAATGGAATTCAAAGGATAATCTATTATTCTCGTAAAAATCGTATTATCCTTGTAACCGATAATCTATTTCTTTGTCAATATTCAATATCATCAACATCTCATGATGAATTTATTGAAATTTCCAAGGTAAAACTAAGTGGCCATATAAAGGGAACCAATTCTGATATGGTTGCTATTGCCATGGTCGATGAATCAATCGGTTTAATTGCAATTTGTACCTCAGGTGAAAGGGTAATTCGCTTATGGCAATTAGAGACAGGTCATAATGCAGCTCTCATGGTCATCGATTCAGCTGATTCAAATTGGGCTGGATTAAGTTGCCTTGATTGTAGTCAATCATTACTTGTCTCTGGAACCACTAATGGCCTGGTAATCATTTGGAAAAGAGCCTCAGGCTTGGATTTCAATAAAGTTGGTCAAGTCTCTGTGAAAGGAAGTGTTAAAACACTTTCGATTTCCAAATCAAATCAATTGTGTTGTTCAACTAATAACAATCAAATTTACTTGATTGAGGAACAATCAATTATTACCTGTTACAATTCAGATCTTGGATTAGTTCAGGTAAATTTTTCAATCGAATCAAAATGTTTTCCAATATCAATTAATCGTTAACGTTTGATTTTCCCTTCGATTCCAAATAGACTGGAGCTAAAGCACTGAAACTTTTTTGGATCAACGAAAATAAATGCTACGAGATTAACCTTGAAAGTCCAATTCGATTAGCGGTGATCAGTACCGAAGCAAATTACTTAGCAATCAAATCAACTGGAGTAAAAGATACTATGATTTACCGAATCTCATCTGAACCTGATCTAATTCGTGAAGCGGCCGTTCCATTGGCCTCAAATTGGATTGTCCTTCATCGTGATACAATTTGGTCTTTGATTAGTACCAATGACGATAGTTTGTCTCTCCATTGTTACAAAATTTCTGATCTCCCAACAGAGACTCCGTTCATCTATGACCTGGATATCAGTTTATTCAGAGAGAAACCGTTTGTTCATTCATTTGATCTTAATTGTGATTCTCTTCTCGTCCTCCTAAATCTTGATTCACTTTACGTTTATTACGTTTATCAAATCGACGGATCGAAATGTAATCTTATCGGTGGACCTAAAATCTTAGAGATACCAGTGGAAAATGATGCCGATGAATTTACACTTGATTTCGAAAAATTTTCCCCCAATCAATTATCTTCATCTTCATCGACAACCGGATTATCTTCCTCGAAATCATCTCAAGTTATTCTGAAAGAAGTGAAAATCAACAACAAAGGTGATCTATTTGTATTTACCCTTCATGGTATCGATATTTGTATTGTTCAAACTTCAACGAGTTTAATTTCAAGGGTTACCTGCGAATCAACTGATTCTAGTAAAGTGATCTGGTCAATCAATGAGAGTAGATTATTTTGTGTTCTCAATTCCGGTAAATTGAATATCTTCCTGTGTTCTGGAGACGATGAGATTATCGTTAAACTGTATTCGGCTAAACTTGTCGACCCTGGTTGTCGATTGATTGGTTTTAAGGTTCCCCATGTATTTCTCATGGATCCTCGGTCCAATGGAAGTATTGTCCAAGAGGTTCTCGAAGAGTTCGAAGATTTAACCCTGGAGACAACTCGAATCATGGTCGACTTTTTAACGAAAACCAATATTGATCTCAACAGTGTAATTAAAAAAATCGGTGAACGTGAAGGTAACAATTCACGAATTTGGTCAAATTTGGCTCGTATTGCAGTTAAATGTCGTGATATTAAAACTGGAATCTATTGTATGTCCAAGATGAAAAATGTTCGAGTTGTTCGAGATGCTAAAGAGAAACAATCGAGTCCACTTGAAGCTTTGGCTCTTCTAGCGATGAACCTTGAGCTTTACCGAGAGGCTGAAGATTTCCTCAAGGAATTGGGAGATGTCAATGTCTTAGCTCAATTCTATCAACAGCGAAATGAATGGAAAAAAGCAATTCAAATTGTAGATAAACTAAATTACAAAACTGTTTGTTACAATTATGCTAAAAATTTGGAACTCGAAGAGGGAAATCTTGATGAAGCAATTAAGTATTACGAACTATCGGGAAATCATATCTTCGAGGTACCAAGGATGTTATTTGATATCGAAGGTAATTCTTTATTGGAAAGTTATTGTCTTGGTCGAAATGGATTATCATCTAGATCAACAGTCACATCTGAGCCAACAATTAAAAGTAATTGTAGTTCACAGGACAGGATTCAATTGTATCGCTGGTGGGGTCAATATTGTGAATCTCTTGGTGACACTAATCAAGCTTTGGCCTCTTATGAAAAGGCTGATGATTATTATAATTTAGTCCGATTGTTGTGTTACTCTGGTCAAACGGAAAAGGCTAAATCATTAATGTCCAGTTTGAATAATTTGAAAACAATTAAAGTTGAAACAGAGTCAAATTCAAATGGTACCAATCAGATGGAGCAACTTGACGATAATATTGAGATGAGGTCGAAAAAAGAAGCGGCTTTACTTCATTTGGGTCGGCATCTTGAGGCCACTTTACCAACTGAATCGATTGGATATTATTTATCATGCGGAGCAATTAATCATGCAATTAGAGTTTGCAAGGCAAACAATTTACTCAATGAACTTGTTAAGATAATTGTTAACTATGGTAATCGGAAAGATGCTCTCAGTTTTCTCGGACGATTACCACCCAATGTAATTTCATCAGCTGATCGACACACAAATGAACATGATGATGAAACTCTTGAAACTAATTTACTAATTCAATTGTATCATAAAGCTGATTTAGTTGACGGAGCAATTAGACTTTGTCTTGAAACGGGCCGATGGAATGAACTTCGAGAGTTAATGACCAAAGTTCTGGAACAATATGAAACCTCAGTCTCTCGTAAAGATCTTACAATTAATGACAATCAAAATGAATCACAATCAGTTGATGGTGAAAATGAGATTTCAGAAGCTACAATAACCGCTGCCCTTGAGGCTTTGAAAAACAATTCCGACCTTATTGATATTGTAATTGATTTGATTCTGTTGACCAAAGGTGATAAATCATTGATTCAAGATCTTATCTTGGAGCATAATATTGAAATTAATGAGAAATTAATTGATAAAGTTGATCGGATTATGGCAAAGGAAGGAGATACTCGGTTAATTGTCGTTCTAGCGGAAACGGCACTTCAACAAGGTCAATATTTTGTCGCTGCGAGACTGTACAATTCAATTGGAGATCGAATGAGTTCACTGAAATCTTTAATTCGAACCGGATTAACTGATAAGATAATTAATTATGCAAACATTGCAAGAGATAAATCAGTTTACCGGATCGCTGCCAATTACTTACAAACAATTAACTACTCAGATGATCAGTTAATTGCTACTTTCTATAAAAAAGCTGGAGCCAAACAAGAGCTACGACGATTTATGTCCAGAGAAGGTCATTCTGTTGACGAATCGACAATCAGTTAATCATTGATAATTAACTTTCAATTCGCTTTGATATTTGTTACAATTTTTTCCCCGATCAGATTGTTAATTATTAATTAAAGATCATGAATCATCATATTTACCAAAACAAAAATCAATCAAATCAATCAAGGGTTTATTTGTGAGTTCCCATCAAACTATTAATAAGTTTTAATTGTAATTGATTTAGCAAATAGGAATAAATTGTGATCAACAATTTATCAATCATCTAAATTATCAATAGGAATTTGTTATCATTAACAACTCTGAATCTTTTAGTAAAAGTTAGTTAAGCTTAATCGTTACAATCAAGTGACTCGATTGATTGTTTACACGTTTAAATCAAGAGTTGATTAAGATGATTTGGTTAATTGTAGCTTTAATTTTGTTTATTAATCCAACATCAATTGAAACAATTAAATCAAAGTGTAACAATTATATTCCAAGTATAAGTTATTCATTATCATCAGATTTAAACACTTCATCATTAGTTAAACCAGTTAATTGTTTATTACAATCAGAAATCAGTATAATTGAACGAGATCATTTTAATGAGTATCTTAATTTTACTCTAATCAGTTATGCTATTGGTGAATCTGAGGTAAGATCAATTGGATTACAATTAACTAAACCAATTTCTTCAGCCAATCCAACATCATCAAGTATCCTTTACTCTTGTGCCAAATTAAATTCTGGACTGACCAGTGCAAAAGTGACCATTGAAACCTTTTCCCAACCAATCGGGTCTTCAATTTATCTTAACGGAAATTTGTATTGCTCTTGGATCGCCTCTCGAAATGATTTAATTTGGCCAATCGATGGTTCTAAACGAGCTGATTTAGTTAATGATAATAGTTACCAATTGTACTTACAATTAAATGGGTCAAAAGTTATGGTCGCTAATCAATCAACCAGTTTACCAATTTATCGACGACAATATGTTCAAAATCGTTGTCAATATAAAGCTCTTGGAGAATCAAATTATCAATTGATCACCAAACGGTCAACCAATGGACAGATAATTGATTTCATGTTACAATTTAGTGATTCAAATCCTGATGTTATCCAATTGATTTTAAATCAATCAAATGAAACCACTTTAATTGTCGAGTGCTCATTAAGTGATAATATTATCAAATTTTATGCAACAATTGGATTTGAAACGATTTATTTGTCCGGTAATTTGAAAGAGAGAAAAATTTTTGACAATCAATGCTCTTGGACTTTACCTGGTAAAATTTTGGTCAACAATAAGCTAACAATTAACATTGATTCAGTTAAATTCAAATCAATTCAAATTGTTGCCGATCGATTGACAGTTTTCAATCAATCTAATGTTAATCTAACAGGATTTTCTTGGCAATTAACATCCAATTTACTAATTGTTTTACTTTCAATCATTTTCTCCGTCAGTATTTAATCATCTCCTTTTTCAATGAACAATTTTTATTCAATTAATTAACTTTGACTTACTTACAATTTATTAATACCTTGATGACCCTGATACAGTTACAATGATTACAATTAACTGATGATCTTGCTGATCAATGACTTTGATTAATCAATTGACTGTCAACTTGTAATGACAATGCAACTTGTTAAAATTGTAAAAGAAAACTATTCTAACAATTAAATGAAACAATCAATCATAATCGAAAGGAAAAATTTTTCTCCAAATCAATTAATGAAAACAAAAAATTTTCTCCAAAAAATTCAATTCATTTGAATTTCGAGCTACTTTTTATTAAGTAAACATAAACATCTCAATAGATGGAGACAGTTGACCGACAACAGAGTTAATGTCACATTGGATAACCAATTGATCCCTTAATTGTTGTTTAATTTAAAGTTAATTATGTCTCGAATTTTTATCAATAAATTGTTACCTTCTATTAATTGTAGTTACCATGATTCTTTACAATCAAGTTTACGTTCATTTTCATCTATGAGAGCAACTGTTAAGCCTTTAACCAAAAGGAAATTTACTCCATCACGAGCAGCTTTGTCTCTTGTAAGTGAACAATTTATTTTCTGTAATTTAATTGTTGTTTATTCTAATTTTGTATTCTATTCTATTGTTATTCTCTTTTTCTTTATTTAAATACTTTCAGAGTCCCAATGCTGTTAATAAAATCAAACAAATTCTAAAAGAAGAGCCAAATGTTATCGGATTGCGAGTTACTGTTAAACAAAAGGGTTGCAATGGATTAACTTATCATTTGGATTATGCTAAAGAAAAAATTGATTTAGATGAAGAGGTTATTCAAGATGGAGTTAAATTGTTCCTTGATAGTAAAGCATTGTTAACTCTATTGGGAACACAAATGGATTATGTTGAGACTAAATTGTCATCGGAATTTGTTTTTGAAAATCCAAACATCAAAGGTACTTGTGGATGTGGTGAAAGCTTTACCATTTAATCAATAGCCAATTAACTTTATTTGTTTAATTTGTAATTAAGTTTTCCAATTGTAAATATTGTCTCATATCGACATAATAATGTGCATTAATTATATCTTGAAATTGTAGCTATTTTTTGGAAATTGTATTATAATGATCAGTTTTCCTTCAATTCAATTGTACCCATTGAGTTGATTATTTGTTTAAATTAAACATTTCAAGCTTAACTAAGCCGAGTAATTAATTTGAGGATAAAAATTTTACCTTTGTACATAAAATTGATTATGATCATTTAATGAGTAAAAAAACAAGATCACATAGCAAAGGGGTGAGGTGAACTCGTATTTTTCCTCTGTAATAGTTTTTCAATGGTAAAAATGAATGAGAAGAGCATTGAAAGAAATAGAGAGAAAGAGAGAGAGAGAGTGTTTGTGACAGTGAAAGAGAGAGAGAGAGAGAAAGGTCAGAAGAGAAATGAGAAAAGTGAATGTGAGTAGAAAGAAAAAGGTATTTAAAGCAGAAAAAAAGAATTTGTTGTCCGATTAATTGTATATGTTATACTTGATGAAGTGATCCGACTTTTCTGTAAGATGAAGAGACGAATTAGGAAAAAGAGGAAGGGGAAAAAGAAGCAACTTTTAACACAGTAGAAAATTAATTCCACTCGATTGAAGGTCGCAAAGGTGATGATTAAAGAGTAAGGAATGCCCTAACTCTTTGGTGATGATGGTAATTATGTTGATGCATAATGATGGTGACTTATAATGATCGAGTGAGGTAAAGGAGGATGCGAAAGATGTAATAGAAAACGACAATCACTCGGGTTCAGTGGTATTCATATGTTTCATGTCTCATAAAAAGTAATCTGGTTGAGGCTTTTTACAGGGAACTCCTCTTGTCTCCTGGAAAGAGATTAAAATAGATTAGAAATGTTTACAGTTAATTTTTTGATTTCTCAGTTATTTTGACTTACCTGAGGAGCAGCTTCAAATATAGTGAAATCTCTTTGCAAATTATCATCCAATTCTAGTATGGCTGCTACATTACCACATCGATAACAGTAATTTGGAGCTGACCAGACTGTCAATACTGTTTCATTAAAATGCCATTTATAACCTTCCATTACCAATTGATGAGCTCTACAAATAATATCTATATTATTTTTAGCATTAAACTGAGCGACTACATCACTTCCGAAAAGATAACCCGCTCCTCTAGGACTAACTCCCCACCCTTGGGTATCTTCTGGATCAGACCAGAGGAGATCACACATTGGACCGTCATGAGGAACTTCTTGTTTTCTATCGATTAATCTTATTTGGTCTAATGTTTGAATAGAAGGTGAAAGGCCTCCGTGCACACAAAATATCTATTAAGTAAATGACCGGACAGGAAGAAAGAGAGGAAAAAAACAATCAGTACGATGTATTAGCAAACAATTTAGATCAATAAATCATGAGAAATGGAAAAGACACCATTGGTTGATTAAAATTTTCTAGTACATTTAAAAAGGATTTACCTTTCCATCTATGATTGCGGATAAGCTTAAATAATCAAAGATTTCGGTACAATATCGCCACACTGTTATAGAACCATATTTTCTAAGGCATTCATCGTAAAAACCATATACTTGTGTGATTTGACGACTTTCATGATTTCCTCTAATCAAAGTAATTCTATCTGGATATCTGACCTTTAATTGAAAAGGGTAAAAAAACCAACGATTAATAAGTTAGCAAGAAATGATTATGACAGTTTTCTAATGACTTGATATTAATACATCAGAACGTCAAGTTGAGAGCAAATGAAAGAATTACAAATAATTACATGTATCCTTTAGAAAGAGTGTAATTATCAGTAATCCTGGAAATAGTCTTACTTTCAATGCTAAAAGGAGTAGAAATGTTTCCACCGAGTAGAAACCTCTGTCAACAAAATCACCCATAAACAAGTAGTTAGTGTCAGGTACATTTCCACCTTGTTTAAAAAGTTCCATAAGATCATAGAATTGGCCATGAATATCTCCACATACCTGTTGAAATGAAAAGCAAATCAGACGAATTACAATTAGTAAGAAAATAACATAAACAAGTGAAAAAGCTTAAAGAAAGACATTGAAAAAAATTACGTAAGAGAAAAATAGTTGACAATTGACAGTCAACATGCATGTTATCACATTATTATTATTGTTTTATAATGTAATGATAACATTACCAATCCTCCTCAAAAAATGTTCAACAGCATTCAGCCTACACTGAGAGTGAACATAAGCCAAGAAAGGAGCAAATACAATACAATACAAATGAGAGAAAAAAAAAGAACTACAAAAGAAAGACAGAGAAAGAGAAAGAAGAAAAGAATTGATAATGAGAGAATAAATTAAATGTCAACTTACTGTGACAGGAGCATCAACCCTTTGAACATTTGATTCTTCCACAAGTATTTCTCGAGCCTTAGCACACAAAGCCTTAACCTCGGACTCTTTGATAGTCTCACATCGTCTAAGTTGTTCAATCTGTTTATCCAATTCTGACGTAGACATGATGTGTTATTCAACCAAAAGCGGAAAAGAACAAAACAAAAGAATAGAATCCACTTTAGAAAAAAATGGCCGAAAAACAGTCACAATAATCTCGACGAATAATAACGCAAAAAGAAAAGAAAAAATTACATATAACAAATAAGATGAATAATTGTAATATAAATGGTACAAATTGATAGAGAAAAAAAAATAGAAAAAAAAGAGAGAAAAAGAAAGAGATACACCGAGTGGAAAGAAAGAGAAAAGAGATAGACTTAATAGAGAAAGAGAAAAAAGGAAAGAGAGAAGAAAAGAGAAAACCGGAGAAATGAAATATTTAGAATCAATCGATGGTCACTAAACAATGGTCACGTTTAACAGAATAAATTACAACGAAATAGTTATTACAATCAATTTAGATAAATAATAATTGAAATAATAAACAGAAATATAATTAACAATTAATTGTTTCTCTCATCAATTGTTTCAAAATCATCAACGGTAAACTCAGCGCCCTCTGGGTAACCTCCTTTTTCTCTTTCTCAGCCAATCAAATCGCTTCGAATCAGCGCCACCACCGGTTGGCGCCAAACAGAATAGTTGATTTCATTTTCTTTTTCCGAATTAATCAAAACAATTAACCAATTCTCTTACAATTATTTTCTCATTTCGCTTTAATTAATTATTATGACGACTATTTATTGAACACAATAATGTAAGAGAATCGCTTGTTAATTCTATTCTTTTCTGCCGATTTCTATTCTGTTACAAAAGAAAACACCGATTTCTTTTGGAAATTCAGATTAATCCTTTTTTTGTTTGTTCTTTTATGAATCATTTTCGTTTTGATTTCATTTTCTTTTCTAAATTTTTTTCTTTTTAATGTGAATTATAATTTAAACCCCTTTCTTGTCGATTTGATTACTAGATTGATTGGAATATTACAATTGGATTAGAAAATTAAACTGCGTCGGAGGAACAATTTTGGTGCTGATCTAAGCCAAGGATGAAAAATCTTTTCTTCCCTATCACCAGTTACTTGTTTCTTTTATGACGATCACCAAAATAAGAGTATTTAATTTCTTTTTTTTGCGATTATCTTAATTGTTACTCAAATTCTGATTAACTGTAAGTATAAATTTTCTATTATAAAAAAATATCAACTAAACAGGAAGAAATGAGACAAGGAAAAGAAATCAACCTTCTCTATCTTATGTTAGTTCACAAGAAAAAAAGGTTGGTTGATTTTAATTTTTTTTCTCCCTTTAAGTTGCTATTTGTTTCTGTTGATTTTTAATTAATTACTTTGATTTTTGTTTCAATTTAGCTATATTTCTATTCTGTGTAGTAGTAAAAAATATATTTACTAACTGATGAACATTTATTCGTGGAGGAGTTGACGACCATGGTTAACTTTCATTGAGAAATATTAATCAACTACATCGACTGAGCAAATATCCACCAACGCATCATAATATTGTTATGTTAAATGTTAATTGTTTCCACTTTCCAACAGTTTAATTTCTCAATTGTTAATGAAGAATTAACCTTGACCGGTAAATTTTAATTTTCATCTCCCTTCAAATTGCTTATCAATTAAGATGTTTGAACAGTAACAGTTACAGTCAATTAGCCTCATGTATTTGTTATTGGCTTCATTTCGTTAAGTTAAGTTAATTTATTTCAAACATATTGATTCGTATTATTATTTACCAAGTTAATTATTATTACCTTCGACTTTATTTATATAATTTCTTTTTTTAGTTGATTATCATCGTAAACAATCAGAATTCAATTTTTTACATTCTGTCTCTATTTCTCTGTTGATCAGTTTACTAATAGTTTTCTCAGGAAAAAACTATGCATTGTTCATCTACAATATTTAATTGTGACTAATTTATCTTAATAGGAAATTTGTAAATGTCCACAAAGTTTTCTTAAATAGTCTCTTAAATAGTTCCTTTGTAAAAATCTGAAGGTACATCAGCCCAAACTCTTGATGGATCAACACGAAATTTATCATTTATCTCAAATTTACCAGTAAATGGACACAATCGAGTAGCACCAATATCTTTTTCTGTAGGTAAACCATCAGGAAATGTAACTGGTGCCAATTTAATTAAATGTTTAACATCCCAAAGTAAAGCATTAAAATGAGGTGTATTTGGTATGAGAACTGGATAACCGATTTCTTTTCCATGAAGACCTACACAGAGAAACAACGAAATAAAGTATCATTATCATCATCATTTTTTACAGAACAATATTATTCATTAAATAAGCGACTTTAAACTTACCTAAATGTCGTAATTTAACTTTAATTGTCCAAGGAATTATTCCTTTTTTATATCTAAAGACAACATGAAATGGCGATGGTTCAGTTACTTCAGATTCCAATGTTTTCTTATAAAATCCAGCAGCTTCTTCAAGATCCTTTGGACCTTTACTTTTATGAGCCCAACCTTTATTCACATAGGGACCACCGTAAACAGGAATATTTAAAAAACGTCTACTAAAGTGAGTAATAAATGACATAATTAATCAAAATCAAAATTCAAAACAATCAAAAAAAAAATGTTCAAGAAAAAAAAAACATTTTGGTTAACAGATGATTCCAAGTAAGTGACTCCATCTAGCGAAAGACAATCGAACTGAAAAGAAATTAAAACGAGAAAAAAACTCAATTAAATTTACAAGTTTCCATCCAATTAATTAATCAATGATTATTCAGAGTATCTAATCCAATATTTGAATGTTTATGAAGAAAAAGAAGAAGAAAAACTCAACCAATTAACTGAACAATTAAAAGTAATTCAAGTTTTTTATGGAAAAAAAAATTAATCATTACACTTGGAATCTAATCAAAACAAATTAGAAACAATTAAAGAAGAAAATTTTTTTCATCCTCTAAACGTAACAAACAACAACAATTTAACCACAATAATCATCAGGTTAATTACAATTATCTTAATCACAATTGCGATAAAAAAAAGTGATTAAAAATTAGTATAATTAAACACCCACCTGAAAACAATTGGTTTCACTATGATAACAATATTATTAACATTGATAATGAAAATCAGGGTTTAGTTAATTCATTTGCTGTAAAATAATTAGTTAATTTTCAATTGTCAATCGATGATTTTAAAAACTAATTAAGTAAAAAGGAATTCATAGCATTTAAATTAACCGGTTCAAAGATATTCAGAGCTGCGCATGCGCAGTAAAACACCAATGGTTTTCTCTTCTCGGTTTATTTAATTGTCTCTTTGATTATTATTGTTTATTTGCAGGCGTTTATTTAATCACTTTTTGTTTTTGTTTTATTTACAATTTATAATTATTGTCTAATTGAGTTTAATCTTTGATTACACTTATTCTTTTCTTGTTATTGTCAATGTCACATTACCATTTGGATATGGTTTTTACGCAATTGTGTCACTTTATGGAATAGAAGAAGAAAAAAAAATAAGTGAGAAAAACAAATATGATTAATTCACCAACAATTAATAATATGGACTCTCGAGAATTGTCCAGTTTTCTGGTAACTAAACACTCTTGGAGAGGAAGGTGAGTTTTGCCTGTTTGTCTTTCAATTTCAATTAGTAATTAATATTCTTTAATCCATTTTGAATTCAAAATTCAATTAAAAATCTATCAATTGGTTTTAGATTTTGTTACCTTTTCTTTTTGCATAGGAGTTACTCCTCTCAGGCTACATTCTAATACTTTATCAGTGTTTCATATCATATTTTTCATTTCCCTTCTTGATTTGTCCATAATTTCAACATAACATTATTTCTGCACAATATCAATTTTCCATAACCCAAGAATAATAATATAATACAATCATCAGTTTTCTCTTTACTTTGAAGAGCTTTAAGGTTCATCTGTTTTCTTTTCTCGTCTCAAGTAAAATTAGTTTTCCATTTTTTAGAATTTCTCTCTCTCTCTCATTCTTGACCTTCTTTTTTTCTCCATGTTCATCTAATTTATCACTTAATTTTCTCCATTTTATTCTATATTTCTCTCTTTTTCTTTTACTTTTTTTCTCATCCATGATGACAGTTACAAACGTATACTAACGATTGGTACCCAAGGTATTACAACTTATAATCCAAGTAACATGGAAGCCACAAATGTCTGGTCTTTCTGTGATATTATCAATGTTAGTCCCATTAATGATAAAACTCAATATCAAGATGCAACCCTTAACATTGGAGGCAATGAGATGTTTAATTTAATTGTCATCACCAAGAAACGTAAAACAGATACAATGAAATTTTCCTCTGAATATCGAGGTGAAATAATCTGTTCAGCTTTAGCTCATCGATCAAAATTTTCCGATATGACACCAAGAATTGCTATACATCGATATGATTGTTTTAAATTCTCTTGGTCTGAGAAATTGGTTCCAGTTACCCTAGAAATTGATCTACATGGTATCAATCAAATACATCCAACCACTGGCCGTATACTTACCTCCTATTTTTATCGTGATATCGATGATTTAATTTTATTTTCTCAAAATATTGACAATAATCCAGCTTTTGCTATCTCAACCAGTGGTTTCTCCCGTTTACATCTATTCACTTCTACACCAGGAAGTCGAGATGATCTTTTGAAGAAAATATGTGAAATCTCTTGGCTTCACACTGGTTCACTTATTCGTATAAAAAAAGATCCAATAACCTTGGACCATTTTCTATTAAATCGTTTTGGTAAACATTCCACCGACGATGCGATTACATCTTTATACGAGTTTACTGTTCACAAGGTTACAGCTCGAAATGCTAGAGAACCTGTTCGTCGTATATTAGCTCTTACCGATTCCTGTTTAGTTGAACGTGATCCCAATTCTTACAGTATTGTTACTCTTAAACCTCTACACGAGATTTTTGCTCTCATTCGTAATCCAACAAATCCTCAACTTTTTTTCATTGAATTTATTCGTGGACAAGTTGCCGGTTACACGTCAACCGATAGAGATGCACTTTTAGCCTCTTTACTTGATGGAGTGAGAGCCTCTGGTAATATTGATATCCATGTAAAAATGACACCAACCTGCAGGGGACACAGGATAGGTCCTTATTCAGTGCCTGTTGATGAAGAAACGGAAAGCCGACATTTAAAGTTTCTCCATTCACCTCCAAGCGGTTGGTCTTTTAATGATGCAGTTATCAGATTCAACAGTAATTGTGCTTACAGTGGTTTACTTCATAGTGTCACCCAAGATGGACTTTTTTCCGAAAACAAAGAGAAACTAATCCAATTAGCTTTAGGTGCTTTTTGTGAAAAAGAAACTGAACAAAAGGATGTTAACCATGAAAATTTAGAGCAACATTTTCATGCTCTTCGACGATTAGTTGCTTCGAAAGCAGGTTTCGCTGCGTTCACCCTAAGTCCAAGATTCCGTGAGTATCTTGGTGTCAAAGTTGTGAATGCTTTGGATAGGAAAAACGATGCCGTCACTCATGCAGCTATTGATATACTTTGTGCTCTAATGCAGGTCAGTTTTATGTTTCTCGAACTTTTCTTCTCAAATTAATTTGACACTTTAATTGATGGAATTTTTTTCCCCATTTAAACTTTTTTCTTTATTAGCCTATGCATGATGATTACGATTTACGACAAGAACAGTTGAACAAAAGTTCTCTTCTCTCATCGAAAAAGTTTCTCGAAGATATTTTAAATGTTCTAAAATACCATGTTAACTGTGGAACGGGAGCCTTAGTTGTTGCTACGATGTTGGACTTTTTAACTTTCGCCTTATGTGCACCTTATAGTGAAACTACCGATGGAGGTCATTTTGATACTCTATTAACTATGGTTGCCTCTTATGGGCGACCTTTATTCAAATTATTTCAACATCCGTCTCTAGCAATTGTCAAAGGAGCTGGTCTTGTGATGAAAGCCATAATTGAAGAGGGTGACGCTAAAATCGCCCATCAAATGCAAGAATTGGCTTTAGCTGAAGGTTCACTTCCTAGACATTTACATATTGCTCTGTTCCCTCCTTCTAACGATTCCCGATATCTCGCTTTTCAACAACTTTCTCGTCATTTGGTTGCCTTGTGGATTGTTGATAATGAAATTGCAATGGACCTTTTACGTCGAATTTTTCCCCTTGGATTGTTAAATTATCTCGAAAGTACAAGTAAACCACCACGAAACGCCTTGGCCAAGCTCAATGAGCGAAATAATTTAAAAATAGCTTTAGACAGTGCTCAAAAATCTCGGACTATTTCGGACCAAATTCGTGATATTCATCCTTCAGTTCGAGTTATTGAAAGGCAAGTTGAAACTGCTTTAAAACATTGGAGGGAGAGAATTGGAATTCCAAAAAGAACCGACAATCGTCCTCAAGTTAAACCCGTTTTACTACGAAAACGAAGGGAACGTATTAAAAGTACTGCCAATTGGCCAATGTTTTATTTCCAATTTGAAAACGATCACGCAAAACCAGATCTCATCTGGAATTATAAAACTCGTGAAGAACTTAAAGAATCATTGGACAATGAGAATCGAGCTTTTAATCAGAACAAGGAATTAATTTCTAATACTGTTGCTATTTCATGGAATCATCGGGAATTTGAGGTTGGATATACTTCTTTAGGAGATGAAATTAGAATCGGTGATTACTATCTTCGCCTATTGTTGGAAGAAGGTGAAAAAGGTCAATCATTGATGTTAAGTGATAAATTACTGGTTAAAAAGCCTTATGAATTTTTCAACGATCTATATCATCGTTTCTTATTACCAACTAAAGCATCAATGAAAATCTGCTGCCTTCAGGCAATGTCAATAATTTACGATGCTTATCATGCTGATATTGGTCCATTCAATGATGTCAAATGGATTATCGCAATGTTGGAAAATTCAGTTGACCGTATTGAACGTGATCGTCTTCTCATCTTTGTATCAAAATTAGCACTTAATCAAGAAAATGTGAAACATTTAATTGATGCTGGTGGTGTTAAAGTTTTAGTTGATTTATTAACACTTGCCCATCTTCATGTTAATCGAGCAATGGTCAATGCTCAAACCAACCTTATTGAGGGAACAGCGGAAATGATGTCGTCTCATGAATCATGGCAAGAATGGTATTACATGGTGGATAAGGATAAGAAAGGACCCTTCAGTTTTAAAGAGATGAAAGAATTTGCCAAAATTGATCTAATAAGCGAATCAACTAAATGTTGGGCTGTTGGTATTGAAGGATGGAAAAAGTTATCTGATATACCACAATTAAAATGGTATCTTCTTTATCCTAATCCAGGAATTATGAATGAAACCGAAATGGCAACACTTATATTAGATATTTTTATTCACATTTGTGAATATTATCCAAGTCGAGATGGTGAAGGTGCAATTATCCGACCATTACCACGAATTAAACGTTTCCTCTCTGAAGATTCTTGCCTTCGTCATATTGTTCAACTTTTATTAACCTTTGACTCTGTTCTGGTGGCGAGAGTGGCGATCCTTTTGACCCATGTCATGCAAGACAATCCTTTAATGTCTCGTCTCTATTTAACTGGTCTCTTCTATTTCATTCTAATGTACACTGGGTCAAATCTTTTACCGATTGGTCGTTTACTTCACATTAGTCATTCTAACCAAGCCTTTAGATCTGAAGAACCAGGTCGTAAAAGTAACATTGTCCAGCGAAGTATTTTAGGTTCGTTACTTCCCGAAGCGATGATCTGTTACCTTGAAAACTATGGACCTGAGCGATTTGCTCAAATTTTCCTGGGTGAATTTGATACTCCAGAGGCCATTTGGAATGGTGAAATGAGACGTTTAATGATTGAAAAGATTGCTACTCACATTGCCGATTTCACTCCTCGATTACGATCAAATACCCGCGCTTTGTATCAATACTGTCCCATCCCAACAATTCAATATCCACAATTGGAGACCGAATTATTCTGCAATATTTATTACCTTAAAAATCTCTGTGATGCAATTCGATTCCCTAATTGGCCAATCAAAAATCCAGTTGATCTATTAAAAGATATTCTAGAAGCCTGGAAAGAAGAAGTAGAGAAAAAGCCAAACTCAATGTCGGCGGATGATGCTTATGATGTTCTAGAGTTAGGACCAGAAGCACGTGAAGGTGGACTAGAGGAAAATGCAATTCGTCGGGCTTACTTTAAATTAGCTCAAAAATATCATCCAGATAAAAATCCTGAAGGTCGAGATAAATTTGAAGAGATAAACAAAGCTTACGAATTTCTGGTCAGTAAAAATTTACGCAATAGAAGCCTTGAAGGTCCAGATCCAGTTAATATTACTCTTATTCTTCGAGCACAAAGTATTTTATTCAATCAATGTTCCGATGAACTTCATCCATACAAATATTCAGGATATCCAATGTTGGTAAAAACTCTTCGAATGGAAACCGAAGATGAACAATTATTTTCTAAACCTCATCCTTTATTACCTCATGCATGTGAGACCGCATTCCATACAGTTAAATGTTCTGCTCTTAATGCTGAAGAATTACGACGAGAAGGTGGCCTGGAGATTCTTAAAGAAGCATTTTCTCGATGTGTTTCAGTTTTATCTCAATCATCTGTTCCCGCTGATGTCGCGGTTCAGGTTAGCATTCACATTGTCCGATGTTTCACCGTTGCCGCTTCATTTTCCGCTTGCCGTTCACGAATTGTTGAACTTTCTTCAATCTCCAAAGATATTGGACGAATATTATATTATAATCGTCTAACCAAATTGTGTCTTTGTGCCGTTGAATGTATTTCCGCTTTCGCTGCAGATGATATTCTTCAACAACAGTTATTCGATTCGGGTGTACTTTTCTCTCTTCTCTTGTTTCTCTTTAAATATGATTACACCCTGGAAGAAGGTGGTGTCGAGGCAGATGAAGAAACAAATCAACAACAAGTTGCCAATCAATTGGCCAAAATGTCCATAATTGCCTGTGCTCGATTAGCTGGTGATTTAACTGATGAAGAAATTGCCTCTGGATCTCGATCCAATCCAACAATTGGTAATTGTCTTCAGGCTCTTTTAACACCCTACCTTTCCCGACAATTGGGAATCTCCAACGTGGCCCAATTGTTGAAAACATTAAATTCCAATATTGATAATCCTTACCTGATCTGGAATAATGCAACAAGAGCTGAATTAATTGATTACCTTGAAACTCAACAGCGAGAAATTATAAGAAGTGGTAAATGTCCTGATGAAACTTGGGGTGCAAGTTTCACCTTTTCTAGTCACAAGGATGAGCTAATTGTTGGTGAAATATTTGTTAGAGTTTACAATGATATGCCCTCCTTTCCTCTTACCAATGCCAAAGAATTTACAATTAGTTTATTGGATTATGTTGGAACTCAAGCTCAATATTTACATTCAGCTTTGGCCACTCAAACTCAATTAAATCCTGAACGAATCAAAAATGTTGAAATGTGTCTACTTGCTCTATTCAACGTGATTAAATACAATGCTGGTGTTGAAATTAATTGCATTGGTCACTTTAAATTATTGTTTAGTCTTCTACGTGCAGATCAAATGCCACAAATACAATTAACCGTTGTCAATGTGATCGCTTGTGTCAGTGGCAATCAAGATTGTGTCAATGACATTGCATCATCGGAAGTTTTAGTTTACCTCTTACTTGTTTTACATACACCACCTTCAGCTGATGCCATTGCACGACAAACAACCGTATTGGAAACTATGTTACCCTTAATGACCAACAGTAAATTGGTTAAAGAGTCGATGGTTAAAGGGGGTGTCCTTTATTTATTGGACATCTTTTGTAATTCGGGAAATCACAAGCTTCGTGAGAAAAGTGCTGAACTTTTAGCCAAAATGACCACCGACAAGTTAAATGGACCAAGAATACGTTTAATTTTATGTAAATTCCTGCCTGTCTCATTTATTGAATCAATGAAAGAATCACCTCAAGAAGCAGTTAATCTGTTTGATCGTAACCAAGAAAATCCTGAACTTATTTGGGCCGATGAAGCTCGAACCAAAGTATCAACAATCATCCGAACAATGTCTCAAACTTTATATTCAAGTCAATTGGAAAATCCAGCAACTAATTGGAGACTTGATGATGATTTTGAAATTAAAATCCCAGTGGCAGCCGATGAGATGGTTGTGGCTGGTGTTTTCTTAAGACTTTTCGTTCTTAATCCATCATGGACACCACAACGTCTTAAACAATTTTTAACTGAACTAATGGACACTGTGCAATCCCTCATGTCCAAATCTGAAATTGATGTAAGTTACTTTTTGTGTTGCTAATCAATTTCCCCTTTTAATGTATTTTTTTCCTCTTATTTTCAAATAGGAACCAAAATTAGAACTTTCAACCAAAGCTCTTGTTAGCTTATTACAGGCTCGACCTCCACTTCTCGATATGATTCCACCCATGGGATATATTAAAGGACTGATCGATCAACTTTCCAATAACAAACATTCAATGATACCTCAATCATCGTTATCAGTTCTTCATCAATTATCCTACAACAAACCTTGTGTTGACTCTATGATCCAATATGACAATATACTCGGTCAAATGATTAAAGCCATTTCTTGTGATACAACTATGGCAACTTTAGGCTGTCAAACTTTAAATAATATGTTTGTCGCTGATACCAACGATAAATTGGTTCCAATTGCACTGCAAGTAAAACTGGTTACTTTCCTGTTGAAACTTCTTGACTCTGGTCAATCAACATACGATTCAAGCACAAAAGCAATTATAGTTCAATTATTAAAATCAATGTCTCAAAGTCAATCATATGGACAACAAGTTGTTACCATTCTCGATAAAAATCCTGTTTGGTCCGAGTTCCGTGATCAAAAACATGATCTATTCATCACCAATTCTCATATTTCTGGTTACTTAACTGGTAAGTCTTAAAGATCATTCTTGGCCTTCTTTTTACTCTCTACTCTCCCATTCTCTCTCCCTCTCTCTCCTTCTCCCTTCAACTTGATTTATTTCCAAATAATCATTGATGAATTCGAAAAATGTCTCTCTTTTTTCAATTAAGTGCTCAATTAACTAAATAGTTGCCCTCTTTTCTTAATTTACTGTCTCTACCACCTAACAGGTAACACTAATGTCGCCGGATATTTAACTCAAGGAGGATCACTTCACATGGCATCAACACCACCCCCAATGAATGAATATTGATGATATCGAGTGAGACAGAAAGAGGAAAACCCGAAGAATCAAAATTTAGGATAAATTCAAAATTATTATCACTATTGGAGAAACAAAATAAACGAGATGAAGAAACAAAAAAAAGTGATTAGATTTAATAATAATGATAAATAAACGAAACTATTTTATGTTTAAAACAATCAAACCATATGATAAATTGATCGAGCAAAAATTATGAAAAAAAAGTCGAGTTAAACTTGGATTAACTTTATCCTTAATCCTAATGAATCGGAGAAGCTCAACAATTCAATACATTTGGTGTCATCTTGATTCTATTAAATGATTATCTTAATCATGATCAATAATTATCGCATTTTAATCATCAGCAAATGTATCAAAAGGGATCAGAAAAACAAAGTTAACATGTTTGCTTTCATTTCGAGGCAATTTCTTACCTTTTTGTTACTTTATTTTTGCTTTAATCTTCATCTTAATCTTCATCATCATCATCTTATCATAATATTCAGCAATCAACAGATAAAATACTCAACTAAATTAACTAACTAACAGATAATCAAAAGTCTGTCAAAGCCTTTAAGCTTAAATATAACCTTAAATTACCATTCAACATAATCAATTGAAATTGAGGCTTCTCATCAATTTTAATTGTAACCACTTTGTATAACAATTCAACCTTTGAACTCTAATCAAACTACTAAATATTTTGACAAATTGGTTATCAATTTATAACAAATTGTGATTAAATTGATTGTTAACTTTTATGTGTTGATTATATGATATTTTTAAATTGAAATAAGTTTTAATCTTCAATCACGATCACCAATCAATTGATATTCAATAGTTAACAATAACTTTCATGATTAATAACTAATCATGAATATTAACATGATGATGACCTTTTGATAAATGATTTCTGATGAAATTGATCAGTAATTAGTTAATCATTGTTAACAATTAACAATCGTGAAAAAGAAATTAAAATTTTTCTAATGTTAACGTTAAAATCAACAGCTAATTGTGAGCGAGAATTAATTTTAGCTTTGAAATTTGTTTGTGGAAACAATTAACTAATTAAAAGTTTAATTATTGACTGACAAAAATTAAGCTCTACTTGTAATATGTTTGTTTTAATTACCAAAATTGATGATTAATTGTTTTGATTGTAAATTGTGATTATTGATGATGAAAACCATTGATTGTATTTAATATATTTGAAGTTTTTTAAATTGTTTAGGTCAAAAATAATTAAACAAACAAACTAAATTAATTGATTTGTTTACGAGGCAAAACTAAATTTAGCTGAAAACTAATAAATAATTAACAAATTAATGGTAAATGTTGCAATCATTTGTTACCTGATTTCAGCGACAATTAAAACTGAATTAAAAGTAAAATCTAATTTATAACCTGAACGTTTAATTTTAAATCACCCAATTGAATCAATTTACTTTATCACCTCAACAGAATTAAGATAAACAATCAATTACGATTAACTAATAATCAGTAATAGATCACCAAATGATTATTATCAATATTAATTTAATAATGATAATCGTTAATTGTTAGGATGGTGATGAATTAAACAAAAATGATTTAACCTTAAATAGGAAAAGTGTTTCCAACTGAAACTTATGGGTGAACAGTTAATTGTCACTAATCAAGTTAATTGTGCCCTTGGCAGTTACAGTTTTAATGTTGTTTTTAGCTGATTATCATTTGGATTAAATTGTATTTAGTTAATCATAATCAGTTTTAATAACAATTTGCTGAAAGGCTTTTCTTGATTAAGAATAATTAAATTGATTATACTCATTATTAAATAATCATTTATGATTAACTTTTGGAGGAAAAAAAAAGTTGATTAAAATCATTGATTGGAATCATTTTAATTTCTTTCACTAATCCCAATGTAACATTTTTAATCAGATTAATCACAATCAATTTAAGTAATTCAATTGTCAGCTTAATTAGTAACAATTAAATTAGATTATTATATCAACCTTTTTGTTTTTTTTTAATTCATTTCAAGTTTTGAAAATTTTGTCAACACAATTGAAACATTTACATTCATTTGAGTTATTGTCATTAATTGTTCACCTTAATTGTTGATGTATATTGTTGCTTTTGATTACACTTGATTAACAACAGGATGTTTCAAATTATGGTCACTAATTTTAACTATGATTAGAAATAATTATTTCTCAAAGCAATTAAATCAATATTAAAAATCAGTTGAATCTTTTTTAAGGTCAGGTCAACATTAGATAACATTTACTTTTCCAATAGTATTTATTTTCTGATATTAAAATGTTCATTTCTGTTCATTAGTTTGTTTTAATTAACCAACAATTAATAATAATCTCTTTGATTAATTGTGTTATTTATAAATAATTGATCATTTAATCAAACTTGATTGTATCCTCATCGGCCTTAACAATTAGATGACTAATCAATTTGCCTTTTCTGTTTAATATTTACTTCAATCTTTCAATCAAAAGTTGATTAAGAATTGATTCTAATCCATTATAAAGTTTTACCCTCACGCAATTAAACAATTTAAATTGTTTGGCAAAAGGATAGAGAGAGAGAGAGAGAGAGAGAAAGTTAATTGTAAATAATTAAGAAGATCAATCAAGAGTTAATTAAGACACAATTAAGGCTTAATCATATTGAGAATACGAAATTTTTGTTTAATTATTTCAATTCTATAAAAGTATCAATTGATTTCACTTTGATTCTAATCAGTCAAGACAATTAGTTAAATCAATGAGATTAATTGTTGTGATTAGAAGTAAACAAGAAAAAGAAACAATTAAGCTAATCAAGTTAATTGAATCTAATTTGATTTTAGTTTGTTTCTTTTTTTTGCTTAATGATTAAGAATCTTAATTGTGATAGTTTATTAGATATCATTTGATTTAATCAAAAGTTTTAATCAGAAATTAATTATGATATAATCATATCCAAGTTCATTCATCATATTAAATAATCAAACACAATTTAATAAGCTTAATAATTGTTTGTTAAATTGAATGAATTTAAATTGTTTGCCTGTAATTTAATCACGATGTTGAAATTGTTACAATTAGCGAAACAGTTTATGGTTTTGTTAACTGATTGTTGATGATTTAAAAACAACAACAATCAACTGATTATAATGAAGTTTAATTTTTTCATATAATATAAGCGATACAACAATTGAATTAAATTAAAAGTCTGTAAATAATCAATATGATTAACTGATTGTCTCAAGGTTAATATATAATAAAAGTAGGAATCAATAACAATGATCGGTAATAATAGATTTAGATTGAAATTTGATTTGATTGTAAATAGTTAACATGGTTGATTGTTGATTCTGATTCGTGATTAAAATTAAATTGTTAACTTTTTTCATCTTCAACTCATTTAAATTTGATTACAATTGACACACAATTTATTGAGTATTGATTATAATCAACAACAACAGTACATTTGATTCATTGTTGTTACCGGTTAATTGTGATTTCATTTCAATCAATTTGATTGTTTTCACAATTTAAATCTCAATTATATTTATATATCGATGAAAGATTAAATTGTAATTGTAATCAAATTAATCCTCTTGCCCTTAATCCTAATCCTTAATTAACTTTTTGCCCTTTAAATTTTTCATCATCTGTAAACATCATTACAATTAATTGATTCGCATCTTTAATCATTATTTAATTGTTTCCATATTATTTCAATTCATTTAACTAATTACAATTAGATCATTTTCCTCAAATTAATCATACAACAATCAATTGATTTCATCTAAATTAATAGTCGGTTGAAAGTCCCAAAAAATAGTTAACCCAATGATCATTAATGTTAATTAACCGTAAATAATAATAGTTTATTAATTGATTGTTACCTGGAGGAGATTAATTAAAACCATGATAATTAGTAAATTATTCAATTGAAATTGAGCCAAATTAAAATATCACAAAATTTGGATAATTTTAGTTGACAATTTACACTTACAATCAAGTTTTAAACATTCGTAGCAATTAAAGACCAATAAAGTTAATTGAGTTAATAAAAAATTAGCAATCATGATAAGCAAAACGAAAAGTTAATCTAATTGATTAACTAATGTGAATAATTAAATTTAACTGAATTAAAATTGATTCGTTTGAAAATCAAGCTATCAAATAGACATTACAATTAACTCCTGCTGATCAATGACGAAACTAAATTAACATAAATATGAATATGATTAATTATCATGAACAAGGTAAGAAATAATTGTAATAATCAGGAAGCATTATTCAAATTAATTACAATTAAAATGTAATCATAATTGATTAAGAATAAGAAAAGCGATTGAAACATTCACAAGAAAATGAGAATCTCCTAATCTGATTATTAATCATTTGGAATCAATTAAAATGATTCACTAATCAATACAATACTTTCATTACCTTAAATTAATATCATCATCATCATCATGATTATGATTAACTGTTGATTATCATTTTTATTAAATCATATGAAAGGTAAATTAATATTTTTAGATGAATGAAAGACAATCATTGAAAAAGTTTTAATATTACCCTGAAAACCTGATTTATAAATGATGATTAAATTAATTGAATATATTTTTATCATATTAAACTGTTAAGTTAATCATTAGTAAAGTGCAAAGTATCAAAAATGATTAGGATGACAAGGATCAAGATGATTATGTTGATTGTGATTAAATTGATGAGAAAAGTTAACCAGTAATAATGAAAAAAAAAATGTTCATTTGTTTGTATTAAATTGTTGCCTTTAAGGAGTAAAAGTTAATTGTGATTAAGATTGATTCAGTTAATTGTTATATTGAATGGGAAATGAATGAGTCAATTTGTGTTTTGTTTTTATATCTGTGATCATCATTAACCATTTTCAGCAATTAACAATCAAAAATCGTGAGTTAATCATCAATTTAACAATCGTAATCAAGTTAATCACTGATTCACAATTAATATATTAATACAAATTGTTATTACCTCTTCACCATGAGAATGAGACAAATCAAACCATAAAATATAGTTAATTAACTAATTGTGATTAACTTTCCATCTTTTGTCAATTTGTTTAACTTTCTATCACAATTTAACTTAATTGTTGCCTTAATTCAATAGATATTAATAAAATAAAATGAACCTAAGGCTTATCAAATCAGATAGAAAAACTTTAATAACTTTGTTGATTAAAATGAAAAAGTGGAAACTTTTTCTAATTAAATTAAACTATCAAGTGCCAATCATAATCAACTAATTACATTAGCAATTTAAAGTTGGTTAATTAATTTTAATCGCGTTGAGTTAACACTTAACAACTGAGCGTTATACTTACACTTACATTGGAAGATTAGTTGATTGTTACGAAATCTGAATGAATTAATAGAAAGCAAAATAATGTAACAATTAAAACTTTAATTATCTTAATTAGTGTTAATTATTACAATAAGAATCCATTTCTACAATCATAACCATAACAAGTCATTGAATTGAAACATGTTGAAAGTGAAACTGTTAATTTAATACTTTCTTCCTGTTTAATTGTTATCATCATGTTAATATTATTATCCTGGTGATTACAACTAATAGTAAATTATAATTAATTTTATCATCAATTTAATCATTAACTCTAACAATTTCAAAGTTGCTGATAAACAACGAGAGAAAGAAAGAAAGAAAGACGAAAGAGAGAGAGAGAGAGAGAGAGTGAAAAGATAAAAATAATTACCGTTACTTTCTGAGCTCTGGTCAGTAAACAAACTGACCCATTTCAATCATTTACATAATAATTTGATATTAACATAAAAGGTTTTACTTTTTATTTCATCTCTAACATTTATCATCATCATCATAGTGATGAATAGCTTTCTTTTGACAGTTAATCAGTCTCTTGGTCAGTTCAGTCCAGTTAAATGGTAAGACAAGAATCTTTGATTCGGATTCAGTTGATATTATACAAAATCTCCCCTTGAGTGTTAATCATTGTAGGATGTGCTCTCTCTCTCTTTCCTGATGGTTCATTGATCTTACATGAAGATGATGAGTGAGAAAAATGAAGTTCGTAGTAACTGTAAATGGCGACCAAGGGTAAAAACAAAACAAGTTACATTCTAACACTCAAAATAGCGCATCAACTCAGTTCGGAATTAACCTTTTACAGTTATCTGAACAAAAAAGTTCTTATGTTCAGTTGATGATAAAAGATTAATTTCACTTAAGCTCACTTTTACTCTCTCATCTTCTTCCTTCTGGGCTAGTCCCAAGTTATCAAAAGTTATTACGTTTGAAAGAAAATTTAACTTTTCGATGCAAAGATTAACCTGAAGATGAGGATAAAAAGGTTACCTGTTAACTCCTCATCTTCTCTCTCACTCTCTCATCTTCTATTCTCTTCACATTCTTGCTTCTTCATATTTGATTGTTTATTCGTTGATTTTAATTCCGGTTCCGAAATGTTGAGCTTTTGATTATCATTAACATAATTTTAGCATTTTGATTAACTAAATCGCCTTTTTTTCCTGAAACTTGAAGATTAACTGGATTATTATTATTAGTTATAAGGATGGGAGATGATGAATGATGAGGAAAAAGAGAAAGTTGAAATAGTTATTTATAAGGGAAAAAGTGGATTAGGGATAATGAGAGGGATAAATTAATCCTTTTGTAGCCGAAATTAAAAAATAATAAATGAAATTAAGATTAGTTGTTTTTTCACTTGTTTTTTTTTAATAATAATATTTATAATCAATGATGTTGTTTTTTATTACTACTGATTGTTGTTGTTGTTTATCCAGGTAAATTGAAAATAATAATATATTTGATGACATGATGATAATGATTTTCTCTCATGAAAAAATAGTTTTGAATTTTCATTTCGCAAGGAGAGAGAGAGAGAGAGAGAGAGAGAGAGAGTCATGAAGAAACCGACAATATAATAGTAGAAATGGCAAAAAATTTAGATGATGAAGATGAAGAAGACGATAGATGAAGATGAATGATAGGAAAGACTGAATTATTAGTAAGGAGGGATTAGCCACATGATGAACAAAAAAAATCTTATCGAGTTCGTTACGTCGTAACGATAACTATTTAAAATGGTGATGGCTTAATGTGAGTGTGATTGACTATGTTGGTTAATTAGTTGATTGATTGAAAATCCTCCAGTTTGTGGTGGGCAAAAGAGTAAAAAGAAAGAGAAAGCCGGTATTTTAATGGCGTCTGATTGTAGGAATGTTGAGTATGTGGTTGATGAAATTGAGTAAAAAAAAAAGGTTAATAATTAGTTGATTGTTGGCGACGATGGAAAAAGTTTGTTGTATTTTTAAGGCCACTTTTCAGCTGATGAGACTGAAGGAAAGCAGAAAATTGATTTTTGTTGATTACTATTTCGTTATGATGATGATGATGGTGATGATGGTTTTTGATTTGAATGGATTCTGATGTTTAGATGATGATGATGAGGATGATGATGATGGTGGTAATGATATTGATGATTATGGTGGTGTTGATGATGATGATTAGTTTAGATGATTGTAAAGGTGAAAAATCTAGTTTAGTGAGCAATTTGATTCTAACCATTTAATGGATTATGATTAGCATTTGATCCCATAAGTGCTCTGTACATTGTTCGGAAAGGAGCTCGAATAACTTGTGGGATTAATTTAGATGCGGCAGTGCCATAATTACCTCCAATGTTACCGAAAGGTGCACCTAATCCGGATAAATTGTTATAAAAAGCTGCTAATGGTCCGCCAAGTCCACCTGATGATCCAGTGTGACCTGATGGTCCACCGGGATGAAGAGGTGAGACTCCGTTAGCGACTCCACCGGTTGAACCTAAACTTGCAGATAAACTAGAAGCAAAGTTTGATCCTAATCCAGATCCTAATCCTAAACCAGGACCGGTGACAGAGCTTAATCCTGATCCAAGAGTTGATGCAATGGCTTGATTAATGCTTCCCAAACCACCGGTGAGACTTGAACCAAAACCGGTGAATTTAATTCCACTTCCGGTTAATTTGATTGAAGGTAAGAAAGAAGCGGCTGAAGGTTTTCCTGAAGGTGAACCAGTTAAAACGGATGAGATACCAGAGAGATGTGATCCTGGTGAAGCGGGTGAAGGGATTGGATTAGAACCGGAAGCATAAGGATTTCCTTTTCCTGAGGTAACATCATAAGTTGGGAAGCCGAAAAGCGATGACATGTATGATGAATCTTCAGGGATTGAATAACCACCTGAGGAGTAACTTGCTCCCTGTGAATTGTAACCATTCATTGATGATGGTGGTGGTGGTGGTGGATAGTTTGATGGACCAGCAGAGTTTTCCAATGAGTCATATGATGAGGGTTGGTAATATTCATTTTCTGAGCCCATGTTTCCAGAATAACCTTCAATTGGTGCAGAAGCGGGAACGGAAGCGGTCAAAGGACTTGGACCATCTTTAATTGTACCATATGAAGGTCCAAGATTACCAGGATAACCAGAACTTTCAACGAAAGTTGTAGTTTGCTCGTAACCAGGTTTGTTTGGAGTTTGTTGATATTCATTGGGTCCAGTTTGTTCATAATTAACTGGAGCAGTTTGTTGGGGTGGTGGAGGTGGACCATAGTTGGGCTCTTGTTCATATTGAGGGGGACCAGCGGAAGGTGGACCAGAGATTGGACCTGGACCATTGGGTGGTCCATAACCGGGTGGAGTTTGTTGTACTTGTTGTTGTGGTGGTGGTGGTGGTTGATGTTGACCATGGGCTTGTGGAGGAGGATGAGCGCCTTGTGGATGCCCTTGAGGTGGTCCTTGTTGAGGTTGGGGAGGATGAGGTCCTTGAACGACAACTGATTGTTCATATCCTACTGGTGGGGATTGTTGACCATAAGATACAGTTGGACCTTGTTGTTGTGGTTGTTGTTGTTGGTGCTGTTGGTGTTGGTGTTGTTGTTGTGGAGGAGGTGGACCTTGATGATGGGGTTGTTGATGTTCATAATTAACGGGACCAGATTGTTGATCGTAAGCATCGGGTTGAGCATAACCAATGGGAGTTGCTTGGTAGGTAACAGGTTGACCATAACCTCCGGCTAATTGAGGTGGACCTTGTTGTTGACCTTGTTGGCCCTGTGGAGGAGGTGGACCTTGGGGTTGACGACCATAGTGTCCTTGGGGTGGTGGTGGACCTTGTTCATAGTTTTGTTGGGGTGGACCATGAGAAACAATATATTCTGATCCATGGTGGTGAGATGGTCTATGTGGAGCTCCAGCTGAATGGTATTGAGCAGCGGAGGGAGTTGGTGGTTTAACAAATTCATCATAACCAATGGTCATTGGGATATTTTTAACATTCCCATTTGGATCGGCTGAATAAGGTTTAACTGAAAGGTCACCACCATAAGGTTTACCTGAGGCATAATCTAAACCATAACCGGCATGAGAAGTTGGTACAACATGACCTTGAGGTTGATGTTCTCGAGGGGCACCTTGTCCATTACCACCATAGACTGGGAAACTTTTAGTATTGTAACTTCCGGTGTTTGCAGTATTTGATAAACCATCATAATTGTAAATTGATTTTGGTGATTCATAGTTGATTGAAACAGATCGATAAGGTTCACCGTTACCTAAACCATATGAAGGTCGTTGAGGGCCAGGAATTTGAGGAATTGGAATAGCTTGACTTTTAATTACAGGACGGAAACCACCGTAATCGGGAACTGGTCCACCAGATGAAAGGGTTGATGTTTTTCTGCCGCCTTGTTCAGCCGATGAAGGTGCTTGTTGTTGTACTTGAACCTGTTGATGGTGTTCAGGCCCAGAGCCATGAGCAGCTAAAGGAGCCGGTGAACCTTCAGGGTCCTGGGTGCGGTAGGCACTGCCCTCGTCCTCATTTGAATCTAGAGAAATGGGTTAAGAGTAAGTTGAAACAGTCAGACACACGAAAATCATTTTAAAGTCACTCGGCACTTGCAGGCCACTTGCCAAACCGCTCATCCGCTCTATTCCGTTAGCATCTCTCTCTCTCTCTCTCTCTCTCTTTACTCTCTTTATTATCTGGCCTAATTACAGGTCTAGCATTTATTAGAAGGGGAGCAAAAATAAGAAACGACTATAAGTTATATCTCTGAGGTCAAACGATAATAAACATAATAATATATCATTACAACTATTTTGAAAAAATATATTATTAACAAATGAGAACAGCTATTTGGTCATGATAAACAAGGATATATAATGATAATGTTTATACAGGTGAATTAGTTATCACAAATTTCATCATTTTACTTTGAACAATTTAAAAAGACACACAACTAAACACTTACGTACAACTAATGAATGAGGAGTGAAAAGTTATTTATTATACTTACTTGTATCTTCATAGGCACTTGTGTCTTGATTTAAACCATATCCGCCTTCATTGTTGACATTATTTTGAGATGAACTGTATTCACCTGAAGTAGCACCATTATCGTAACTGGGCTCAGGGTTTCGTTGAAGGTCAAAAGTTTGACCAGCAATTTCAAAAGATGAACCATATGGATGATGGGCAACATTTCGTGGTCCACTGTTTGGATAAAGGTTTCGGCCAAAATCAACCTCATTAAGATCAGGTCGTCCAAAGGCAACTGGTCCTGATGGTGATTGAGATGAAGGTCCTGATGATGTATCTTCACCTGATGAAGAGTAAACCTCAGGTGAACCTTGTTGTTGACCGGAAGGTTGTTGAGGTTGATGCTGTTGTGGTTGTTGTTGTTGTTGTTGTTGTTGTTGTTGGGGCTGTTGTTGTGGTTGATTTTGTTGAGATTGAACTTCACCACTTGAACCAGAAAAATTTTCACCAGAAACTTGATAGGAACCTGATGAAGCCGATTGTGAATTAACTGGACCTGGACCTCGACCACCACCTAATTCAGCAGATGAACCAGGAGAACCACCATGACCACCGGATGATTCAAATGAAGCCGATGAACTGTATGATTGTTCAGTGTGACTTGAGGTGATAAAATCATTTCCTGTTGGTCCTGGTCGAGTCTCGGCCGTTTTCAAAGGTTCACCAGAAACTGGAGCAATCGGTTTATTAGTCACCTTATTTAATTCAATATTAGAATTTAATTTAGACAATAAATTTCTATCCTCTTCAGCTGATCCAAATACTGTTAAGGTTAACAGTAAGGTAGCTGATAATATCTGCAAGAGTAAAAAAACAATTTGAAAAGAGAAACAAAAATTAATATCAATCAATTATCTTCAATGAAAACCAATTAAAACAATTGTAAGTTTAACCAACAAGAGAGATTAACAGTTAACAATTAAGAAATGCAAATAGAAAACTAATCAGAATAAACAAAAGACAATTGACTGATTGTAAATGAAGAAAATTTGATTTTCTATCAATAATTTTGATCCGATTTAAAGAAAACCATAAGAATCGATCAAAACTTATACTTTCGAACTGTCGATAATTTTATGAAGAATATCAATTTACTTGGGTATTCTTTTAATTGTAACAATCAATTGGTTTCTTGTTTACAATCTAATTGTTAATTAGTGACAATTAGATTAGAGAAAACAATTGAAATTGTTTGAATGAGAAAATGTGTTAACATGAAACTACAATTACGTGTCCATAAACTTGATTGTCTTTCTCATTCTATTATTATTGTTATGATAATTTGTGTTCTGTGATTATATATTAATATAATCGTTGTCTAAGTGAGAGTTACTATTAATATTATTGATAACTGATCAACAACAACAACAACAACAATCACCATTCATCTACATTGAGTTTTACATGAAAAACTTTTATTTCAATCGGACGTTAACATCGTGACCTGACATTTACAGTTAGACTGTTAAATTGGCCAAACGGAAATCGTGTCTATAAGATTATATTATTCACCTTTTAAGAGTAAAGAAATTATTAATAATAAAGGTAACAATCATTTTCGCGACTACGATATTATGAGAGAGAGATGATAGACCTTTAATACGAATTGATTAAAGAAGGATGGAGATAAAGGATGAAGAGAAATATTCAAAAGATGAAGGAAATGATTGAGACAATGAGAATTTATAAATAGTGATAAAGTTACAATTTCGAGAAAATGATTTGATTAACATTCAATTTCTCTTGTTGTTCAAACATCAATATTCACCTAATAATATACTTAATCCTTAATCTTGTCAATCGACTTAACCTTCATCATTATTGTGAACATTTTCGTTAATCCATCAAAGTGAATGGATTAACTTAGTTACCTTAATACAAAAGGATAATAATTTTTTTTCGCAATAAAAACAAAACTTACATTTAGATTGATAAACATTTTCGAAGATTCATTTTATTGATAATCTTTTTTTTTGATCATTTAACTTTTTACCTGATACTTACTCTCCATCATCATCATGCTCATCATCATCATCATCATCATCTACCTTCAGGCCTAACTGAATGTTCATCAATTGAAAATGGCCGAAAGATGAAGAGGAAGATATTTATACATCTAAAAAAAGGATGAAATTGTTTTCCAAACTTTTGCTAAATTGTTTCAGGCAATTTAATATCCAAACTATTCATTGACTATTAAAATTAATTACTAATTGAGCTGATTAGTTAACTAGTTAATTCTCTTAAATGTATGATTCAGTTTAATTCTTCATTTAGTCTCATTTCTTTTTCTGATACCTTTGATTAAACTTGGAAACAATTAACCTGATTAATTATCATCATTATTAAAACTTGACTTTTTTTCCCCGTAACTAAATTAATATTAACCATTTGGATCAATTTTTGATCGGAAAGCACAATTAACTTTGACAATCTGATATTTTGATTGTTTCACTGTCCAATTGATGATGAATATATATATTATATGAATTACAAAAGTGAAATTAACAATCAATAACAATTAACGGGAAGATATTTAATTACTAAAGAAATGAAACTTTCACAATGTTGTTGTTGATTAATGAATAACGGATTTGATTTCATGTAACAATTAATGATTGATTTCAATCCATTTGACAAAATGATTAGACTGAAAACCTCTTAGTATAATTATTATGCTAATTGTTACAATTTAAAATGAATGGGGAAAAATTAAAATTGCAAATCAATCATTATCATCTCAATCAATTGTTAATTCAACTATCAACAAGTTTGTTTCTTAAAACAGTTCAATCATTTCAATGTTAATCATTGATTTGTATTTGACAAATTAAACATGTCAGACTGATTGATTGTGATTAAGAAACACAAAAAAAAACCAATTACAAGTTACAATTAGATGACAATTAAAGTGTTGATTGTGACAAGGTTAAATTGTTACTCCTTGTGATCAATTGTACATCGTTTTGTTTCTGGATCATTGATAATTTATGGGTAAATTAAACAACCACAATCATAATGATGATTCAGTCTAATTAATTGTGATAATCCAACCCAATCAAACTACCCAATTGGTTGTTGATCATCAATTAACTGTCATTTAAGTAACAATCAATTGATTAGCAACATACAATTACAATTAATCAAGGTAATCTTTTTGGTCGGAAGCCAATGATTACAATTAACTTATTGACTACTTTTTAAGTGCAAATCATTTTAACTTTGACAATTAACATCAACTCAACAACAAGAAATCAAGCTGATTAAAAATAATATCATATCACAATTAGCTAAACCATTAAGCGAAATTAACAATTAAAGGGGGAAGGGAGAACAATTAATTTCACTTTCTAACAATTAAAGATTATGGTTAACAAGTTAAATCTCAACAATTTGATCACGAAAAATTGTAATCAAATTAAAGTGATATTAATAATCATAACTAAGAAAATGAAAGTTAATCACAAAAGATAAACAAATTAACCAAATCTAATTAAGCAAATGTAAATCAGGATAATCAGTTGAACAATTTAAACTAACCCAAAAATGATTATGCTATTGACCAGAGAGAGAATTGGGATAAATTGTCACCACAATTAACTAAATTGTTGTTTGATTGTGCAAACAATTTACTCTTTCTGATAACTATTTGTAATCATAGAGTAATAATAGTGAAACAATCGCGAAAAGTTAAAACAATTTGATTTGAAAAAGTGAACCGATTTGAGGCCAATATAATTTAAGGTCATTTCCCGTCGATAAACCATCAATTGAACTGATCTATTTTATCATTCATTTTGCTTTTTAAAGGTCAATCTTTTCCTATCGTTCATTTGCTTAATGTTAATCATCACTTTATTTTCATCATCATAATTGATTGATTTTCATTCATAATTTTTCATTGAGTTATAACTCAAATATAAACAAATCAGGAACCAGGATAATGAAGTTGATTTAATTTTCTTTGATCATCTTATCATCATCATCATCGAGATGTTTTCATCTCCATCCTCATCTTAATCTTAATCAACTTGATTATTTAGAAACTGAATCAATGGATTGAGTAAAAATTTTCTATTCCAAATCAACCTGACATTAAATCATCTTCTTCAACTGGATTATTATTATCATTGATTAATCATCATTGATTCATCACTTAATTAACTCAATATCAAGGCTCAATTGGTGGTTTAGAGTTAATTCCTTCATCATGTTTATATTATTTTCTAATATAAAAAAGTTTTCGCATCTTGATTAACTCAAAGTAATTTAGGTTAGTCTTTTTAAATTAGAAATCACAATTCAGGAGATAATCAATCGGGAAGAAATTAATTTTTTTTTTCTTTTCTTTTTGCTCAATTGGAATTTTAATTCTCTCTCTTTCTCTTCTTTTCGCCTTTAATTGTGATTAAAACTAAATTACGAATCAGTCTCATTCTGGTTATGATTAACCAGCAAATCAACATCATCACAATCAGTTAATCAGTTGAATTGATTGATCATTTTCATCAAAATCGGAAGCAGAAAATAAGATTTTCATTGGGGAAAAAAACTCAATTAAAATTAATTTTCTGCTGATTGTTTATCCTGATCAGTGATTAGTGTTGATAATTATGCTTAATCAACACTCTGACTATCTTATTAATAACAAGTGACCATAAAATTAGTTAATCAAGCTGATAATTGAGTTGATTGTTGATATAATAATTGTTTGATTGTTTAAATTGTTGCTGATTTGATTTGATTTGATTTTTTTTGTTACTTCATCAAGTCTATTGGTTTGTTTGTCTACCGGAAAAAGGAAGTTAATTGTTACTATTATTATTAAATTAGAAGAAGAAAAAAAAATTGTAACAATACTAATCATCGTCTTCCCGATTACAATCAGTTATAATTTATCAACAATTAGAAATCGTAATCAAAACTTTCTCACTTGATTAACTTGCACTTATCTTGAAACAATTAACAATTCATCATTAGATAATCATCAAATTGTTATTATCACTCATTTTGAAGATTAACAATTAATAATCCTGTTCAGTAATCTGAGTATAATCTTGATTATGAAGGTGATTAAAAAGAAACGTTAATGAATATTAATCTCATGTTATATTGTTGGAAAGATAAACTTAATTGTTATGGTGTTAAGATGTTAATCTAAATTAATTAAGATGTAGATTTACTTACGGAAAATGTTTTCAACATGTTGATATCCAATTTGATTTTATTCACACAGAAAGTTAATCAGTTGATTATTGGAGTTCACAATTAACTTAATGAAATTGGTTGTTTTCTTTTCCTCAATTGGATGAGGATAACAAGATGATGGTGATGGTCAAGTTAACGGTGATTATTTAATCCCAATGAGAATGAAAGGAAAACTTTTTTTCGATGGTGAAAAAAAAAGATAAGTTCTTCACTCGGTGATTACATTCATTCAAATGATGAGTATAATGAGAGTGATGGTGGTGATGATGAGGATGATGATGACGACGAAGATGAGAGATGATGAGGATGAGGATGAAAAATGAAGATGATGAACGAAATAAAATAAGTTTATTTAGTTTAGTGAGTGAGATGATGATGATGATAAATGTGTTATAGATACACAAAAATCATAGCCTTTTAGTGGGTCAGAAAGGGGAAGAGGATGATGATGATGATGATTAGAAAGATGATGAAGATGATAAAAAGGATAGAAAGAAAGAGATTCCATCATCTTCATCTTCGTCTTTCTCAAACTCGTCCTCTCTCTCATCATCATCTTAACCACCTCCTTCATCATCTCCGTTATTAGAATCCTTATCTTCATCACCTTCTCTCTCTCTCTCTCTCTCTCTCTCTTTCTCGATTTCGTTCTTTATCAAATTATTATCATCATCATCATCTCTCTCTCTCTCCTCTTTCTTTATCACCTTAATCACTTTCTTTAGCTTCCGTTTTCATCTCTTTCTTTTTTCACCTAATCATCTTCATCCACTTTCTCATTTTACTCTTAATCCTAATCTATCTTTAACTCTTTCTCTTTAATTTATTGACTTTAAGCATTTCTTTTCAGACCGGAAATAGCCGGAAGCGATTCATGTCTAAAATAATTATCATTATTAACATAATATCAATTAAAATCTTTCCCTTAATCAAAGTCAACGATAACAATAACACTTTAGGATCCCATTTAAATGATAATCTTGTACATTAATAATAATATTGTATTGGCCAGTTTAACTGGATTAAACTTGGTCAAATATAATCATTCAAACAATTAACTAATTTAATCATCCTTTTTTTGTCCTGAAAAGGGTTTCATATCAATGACCAAATCCAATTGATTATCAGCCGATTATAACATTATATCATAATTGAATTTGATTGATTGTTGTTGAGAGTAAATATTTTTTGATTACATGATTAAAGAAATTGTTTCAAAAATTAGCCGATTCATTGATTGATTAGATTATGTGTAACAATTAACTAACTCTCGATGTAATTACAATCTATTAAAAGTTAACAACCGATGAGAGAAATTAAAATCTCAATCTAAGTTAATCAGCTTTAAATCAAGTATCTAAATTAGATTAACAATTAATCCCAAACCGGACTAATGAGTTATGAATAATTAATCAGCTAAATTAAAATAATTCCAACTTTTGTCAATCGTTAAAAGAAAAACAAAACTTTTTAGAAAGTTTTTTTTTCTTCTTATTTTTTTTTATTTTTCGTCGAATTCATTGAAATAGTAAACACGTACTCGCTCAACTCGTGGTAAAATATTGATGAACTTTTTTTGCTCTTCTTCCCTTCTCATCCTTATCATTATAACGGTAAAATTTTTACCGTTAATCGGGTTCAAAGTGAATCTAGTCCATTAGTCCATTTGCTTACCTGTTATTATCTCAACGTTATCTCAATTTTTTAGGATCAAAAAGATTCAATCAAAAATCAGATTCACTATCCAATAAACAGTTGATACTGAGATGATGAGCATGATAAATATAATGATTATAAATAGTAACATTTACTTAAATTAAAACGCCTCAGGGTAAATTGAACACAACGAAGGAATGAAAATTAAAACGGTGATCATCATCATCATCATCATCATTATATATTAAAGAAGATGATTCCAGGTAAAATTGGATAATCAAACTAATCAACTAACTAATAATTTAAATCGAAACACTTTTTTTTCTGTTCGGGATTTCGTTTACTTATTCAATAGATTTTAATGATTTCCAATTAGAAATCATGATTTCGTTTCGCTTTTTACTCAATCATCTTCATGGGAACTTTTTTGTTTCACTTTTTTCCGTTTGAACAAAACGGAAAACTTGATTTTCGTCGATATTTTCTTCTTTCGTCCCCTGAACCCTTTTCTTTTTATTCATCTTCCGATAATTTGATTCATTCATTGGAATAAGAATATAATCAAATGTTAATCAATCTTCCAATTTCACTTTAATTATTTGGAGAAAAATATTATTATTTTTATCAGTTTACTGTTACTTTTTATTACTCTTTAATATTAAGAATAATATTAAAGAGTAATTAAGTTACTCATCTCTATCGATAGTTAATTGTTCACATTTTATTACTAGTTTATGATAATTAACTTTTTAGTCAAATATATTATTATACAAAAGAAGTGAGAATGTTATGAGATTAATTCAGAATAATTGATTAGATTATTTTTAGTAAATTGATTCAACAATCATTTTAATTGTATTGATAACATTGGAATACGATAGGTGTCACTCATTACTTAGTTCGAGAAACTTTCTCATTTTGTCAGAACTTTTTGTTTCCCTGTAATAATAACAAGACTCTTAGAATAACACTCAGAACTTTTTATCATCATGGAAAGAAATTTTTCTTCTACGCAAATGCTTAGCCTTTTACTTGGGAAAAAATTTACTTTTTCGAGGTTCATACCAAGGTTATAAGACGAATTGAACTTTTCATGTGATGAGCTGATACTTTCCCAAAGGTTTGCTTAATTGTTCAATCTTAATCGTGATTAATTTGTCATCGATTACTGAACTCTTTCAAATGTTTCAATTTCGAAATCGTCACTTTGAATGTTTTGTTGAAACGTTTGCAAGTTTCATCGTTAATCTGAACACTTTTTGTTTCCAATTGTAAACATTTGGATTAAGATAATTGTTTTCAGTGTTTGGTTAATTCTAATTGGGATTAACACGAAAAGTGATTTATTGGATTAATTGATTAATTCAGAATGAATTACAGTGGATCAAATGGATCAACTGGACCCAAAAAAGCAGCGAAACAGGAAAAGGTTGCGATCACTTCACAAGACCCATTCGAGGTAACGAAAACTTTTCATTGTCGATAAAATTTCCGAAGGATCAATGCTGAACATATGATTAATTTATTCACTAGTAAAGTTCAGTCTGAATAATAATCTCCGATGAAATAATGATCAGTTTCGATTTCTTTTCAAGATGAGAAAGAAAAACCTCCAAGGGTAAATTTAATAAGATATTCATAAGTTTAACCAGAATTATCATGGAATGAGCAATAATTTCGTGTTCAGTATGAGAAATATTGAATCAAAAACAGAATCTTATATGAATCAGGGGAAAACTGAAACACATGAAACTTACTCTTTCTCGAAACTTGAAATTATAACCATAATAACTCAGAACCAATGAACTTTTCGATAGATTATCTCATGATAATAATAGAAAATCTTACACATTATCAGAATTCTGGTAATATTTTCTCTCAGAACTTTTCCTTGAGGATTTTTTTTCCTCATTTTCTCCAGAAAATTAATCCACTGAATTTGTGATTACAAAATGAATAGAATTTGAAAATTTTCTCTCTATTAACTTATTAATATTAACTATTCATGAAACTTTTTTCACCCTTTCTCATGATACGAGTAAAGAAAATGTTATTAATACTAACAGCAAGTCAACCATAGTCAATATGTTTCAATAACAATTGAAACTAATTTTATTAATTCAGGTTCAATGTACTGATAAAGTTTTACATGATAGTTGATATAAATTCAGAAAGTTCTGAAGCGATAATTTTGCTCCAATGAAAGGCTAAGTTAATTTTCAACACCTCGATTTGTGGTTGATAGAGTTGAAGGAGAAAACAAAAAGTTCTGATGTAAGATAATCAGTGATAATAATCAGAGACTCAGGGAATTGTCAAGTCATCAATGATCTTATGATGATAAACATGATGAGGATAAAGAGAGAGAAAAGTTCATGACAATTTTCGAGGCTCAAATTTTTCATCTTCTTTCTCATGGTAGTTTCTATTATTTATTTTTCTCATGTCAGCATAATATTAAGTCGGTGTTTTCACTCATCTTCAAGATCAAATTCTGTCTCTTTTTTATTATCCTTTGACAAGAGTCATCATGTTCGTGATGGTTATCGTCTCAATCAATAGGATTCTCATCGTAATCATCTTCGTCATCCATGTGAATACCTTCAGGGTATATAGAAAATATAAGAATTCTTTCCGTTCAAATTCTGTATATGGATAGAACTTTTTTCCTAATCGACTTTTCCAATGTTCATCTTGAGTTTACTTTTCATTTTCTTTCTTATTCATCTTCAGTTGGAGATAAAATCATAGATGATAGATCCTTTTTCACCAGATTTGTGGACCTTCCCAACTGAAATTGAACAAATGATCATGAAGATTGAAACTGAACACTAACATGATAACTGAATTAACTTGAAATTCACTTCTAGGTAAAAGGTAAAACTATTTCCTTTTATCAATGACAATAAATTGAAAGTAAACATTTCCAAAATTATCCAATGATTTCATGTTTCTAATGAATCAAGGATATTATTTCCTGTCAAGAAATTCAATCTTTTAATCTGATTGTTTACCGATAATTAAAGTTGATTAACTTGAGAAAGAAAGAAAATGAAATCGTAGTTACAACACCAACGCCATCTTAACAATTCAAATGGAGATAAATGAAACTTTATTCAATCGTTTATCATGAAAAATTATTCAACCTCTTTATTGATGATTAATTGTTCTGATTCCTGTCGGTAACATGGTGATAAGAAAAAGTCTCAGATTGAACTTTTGTTGAACAAATACAAAGAGATTTCAACAATATTCATTTGATAATATTATCTGAATATCGATAAACAATCAATAAATTATATGAACTCCATGAATCTCTATCATGGATAAGCACCATCACCAGAATTTGAGATTGAAAAAAAGGCGAAAAATTATATAACAGATCAGAACTTTTTCTGTTTACTTTATATTCATGATGATGATGATCCAAAGGTAGAACTTGAAACATTAAGTTAACTTTTAGATCCATTAGCATGTCCATTGAATATTGATCATGAAGATTATCATGAACTTCATGAATTTTAAGTTAAATTTTTCCTGGAAAAGTTGAGTGAATGATGAAAATGGAAAATGACAAAAAATCAAAGACAAAATTCCCAGAACTTTATCAAAATAATTGAAATTAAATTTCTTCTTTAAACAAAAAAGTTATTCATGGTAAATTTCATGGTGATTCTGGAATATAATGAAGACAATATAATTGAAACGAATACAATGTCAGTTTAAAAAGTGAAATAATACCAAGATCATATTTCATCCTGACAGAATCAATGTCATCCTAGTAATTCTGAATTCCCCTGGAAACGATTTTCCTTCATGATGGTGATGAGGACCCAGAATTGTTTCAGTGAACACAATCAATATCTGAATGAATGAGTTTAGGTCATTCTCATGTCTCTGGTCAAGTTCTGATGGGAAAACTTTCCATCCAAAGCAAAAAAAAATTCCATTCCAACTTTTAGATATTCTAAATTCTCAGACTCGGATTCTGGAACATGGAACATGTTTAGTTAATGGAGAAAATCTGATTCAGTAAGGAAAAAATACCAAGAACAGGATCATGATTCTGAAAGAAAAAATTTCTCAAGAAAGAAAAGTAAAAGCTCAGGAAATTGAGAGATGATAAAGATCATGGAAGTTACCCTGAAATAAACAGAAAAAAAACTATGAATACAAGTTTTATGGTCCATTCAGGTTGACCACACGATTTGATGTCTCATTTTCAGGGTAGCATGAGAAAAGGAAATCAGATCAATAAATTCAACATCTAAGTGGAATAACATTAGCAGCCTCTGAATTCTGATTCCAAAATCATTCAATCCCAAGATTCAAATAAAGCAAAAGGTTGAAAAAAGTTTATTTACAAAAAACGAGAAAAACTTTCAAGAACATGAGAAATTATCATATTTGCATGAACGATGGTCATCATCAGCATGATGATTCTCCTCTGATCTTCCAAAATGTTCAGTAAGCATTCAACTCAATAGGAAAACTCTGCAGGTTTCATATAATACTAATCGTCTACAACTTAATGCTTTCTATCATGAGACAGTTTTGATTCATTGGAATACAGTTCATGGGGATAACTTTTCATGATAAAATTCGGTTCTCTTATTTTCTATCTCTATCAAAGCTTCATCGCCCTTATAATCTAATGGGTTAGTATGACTTTTAGTTCATCTTCAAATCACACACATACAATACACCCTCATATTCAGTAGATAATAACTGAATCTTCATCATAATGATCATTTCGTGGCGAGTTTTCCGTTTTCCATGATGATTCAGATGAACAGTTAGATTCTATTCTTATTGTAATTATAATATTACTCGAGAGATTGTTTTTGATTGGATAAGATTTTTATCAGAATAATTAAGAATAATGTTCCACAGCTCTTTGAACGTTTTTCTGTTTCCTGAATATTTACCTTTCCAATTTTATCCTAAACAATTTGAGCATTTTTTTATCTGTTTGTTTTCAAGATGATTTGAAACTTGGTTCCAGTAAACATTATCTATCTCCATTTATATTATCATATACTCTCATTTTCACTCTTTCCCCTTTGGCTCCATGGTGGGCAATTTCAAAGTGTTACACATCCTTTACTGGGAATGATATTAACAGAACATTGAATCATGAAACTTGGAAAATTGTTAAAGTAAAATCATCTCATGAGATTTAAACATCTTCCACCAAGGAAAAACATTAGCAACTTTTCAGATGAACCAGAACTTTAATATGCACTCACATGTATTGTCATGGAAAAGAAAAAAGAAAAAGAGCAAAAATAATAATGATAATGTCAAGTTCGAGTCAACAATTAATCAAGATGATCTTTCAAGTATTAAAATGGAGTTTAATACAAGAAGAATGAGCGGACACCTGAGGTTGTGACCTGAGGTCAAAGGATGGGCTTGAAACTTATTGTTGCTCACGTTGAGGTCACTAATTATCTCAAGCAAATTAATTCTTCCACCATCAGAATCTCGGTATTGATTAAATTATTTATGTTTCTTTGGTGCACCAAGAAAAACATCATCACTTTTTCAGACGAACCAGAATTTGAATAAACTCTTATGCTAATATGCTATTCTTATTTTCATTTATTATTCTCATTCTCATTCTCATCATCATTATCATTTACACTTAATTGTTTAGAATCAAATTGATGAAGTAATATTTTCAGATTTCTACAGGGAGAAATTTTTACTCAATATCATGTTCTTACAACTCATTAATCCATTTACCAGTTAATTTAACTTTTTGCTGCTCGTTTGTTAGTAAATTGTTCACCTATCATGGGAAACTCAGTTACCTGGAAGTTTTAAATATTCCAACATGATATTAACCTGAATTTTTTACATTTATTTTACTAAAATTCATCAAGAATACTATTCAGTTTAATACTAATTGGTTCATCTTTTCCCTCCAATCCCATGAATAAATATAATTACATGATAACCCTGAACTCTAATAATAAATTCAAGTCACATGTTAGACCCAAAATTAGTGATGTAACTTTTATCCTTGACAGATAATAATAATAATATCAACATTTGAACCCAAGTAAACTAATTAATCTTGTTAACTAACATTTATCATGAAATTTGTGTGACTTATGATTACCTTGATGATGATAAACTCAATCAAAGTAAATATAAATGATGAAGATAACAGATGATCTGCTGTGATGATTTGCTGGGATTTGCCTTGAGGTGATCTACTTTTTATGACCAATTATCATAACTGTAATCATATTTTTATTAATATAAATCTGACATGAACCATAATGATAACAAACTAATTTGTTTTACATGTAATCGTAATGGTGAATTAAATGAATGAAATGTGATATTAATCACGATGATAAACAGATGATGATGATGATATGTCAACATGAGAGTCTTGTTATTTTTGGCTTATCGTTTTTATCTTCATATGTTGACATTGATATTGAATTAACTACTTGAAGGATTCATGAGATTATCATTCAGATATTGTTAATGATTACAGAATTCACCAGAATTATCAAGTCACAACATGATTATCAATGAACTTTCTGCATTTTTCTTGTTTATCCGAAGGAAATTTTCATCATTATCGACATTTTCAGTGATCATATCAATTGATTTTCAATAGATTTCGATATTGAACAAATGGAAACTTTTCTTCGGTTCATCTTTTGTTTAGAACTTTTTTCTTTCGTTATTTTCGTCTAGCAATCGATAGATCATCGATATTAAAGGTAAACTTTCATTTTCTATTGTTGTGATTAACTGAATCATGATGAATGTGAATTCAATTGCTTGTAGGTCAATGAAACAGTTCCAGTCATGGTATTTACTCAAGTATAAACAGAAATTATCGGACAATTAGAATCACAAGATGATGAATCGATATCATTCAATTAGATCAATAGAAATTTTAATTATTAGAGCAAAAAATTAGTACCTTAAAGGTGAATTTCAATATTTTCTGTTAAGACAATTAGCTGAGATTCAGTATCTTGAATAACAAATGCTCAAAGTTTTAGTAATAGATAATTAAAATTAGAATCAAAAAAGTAAAGGAAACATAATTAATTGTTATTCTAGCAAATAAAGTGTTGACCCCTATTTCTGGGTCAGTTGAGGTATCAACTTTTGCTGCTCTTATCATCTACCTTTACCTGTAGATATAAATTAGATTAGATCATCAGAATAATCATCATCATGGAGATGATCATTTTCTGAAATGGCTCAATGAAACTCTCGAGATGAGAACTTGTAAAGAAAGTGAGAGACAGAGAGACAGAGAGATAGAAAACGCCAAGATAATCATCTCATCTCATTCATCTTCATCTTCTCACTCTATCTCTCTCATCATCCGTCTCTTCCGCCATTTCTTTCATTATCAGAGGAATAACTATCCTCTCATAATCATCTTTATCTTCATCATCATTTCTGACTGGCAAAAAAAAGTAACTTCTTCTTACCTTAGTATCCATGTATAAGATTTTCAGTCTATTGGTATTCTAACTCTTATATTATATTACATATCCTTTGGTATAGATGAAGATAATGCCTCTCTTTTCATCATCATCATCATCATCATCCTTTTCCATGCTACAATCATTTTCTCTTGAGAAAACATCAACATCCAACTCTTTGCTAACGTCTCTCTCTCTCTCTCTCTTCTAACATTCTGGGAATGAAAAGCCACCGTCGATCAATATTTTCCCTCTCAACTTAGCAAAAAGTTCTGAACAGAAAATTGTTCCTTTCGAATCTATTCTGAGTTCTGAGCTACAGCTGGATAACAATTCCATGATACCATGATGGAGATAATCATCATTATAAAACATTTACCAGTAATAATAATAACAGTCACTCAGACAATCGATAAATTATCATAATAACTTATGACACCACCAATTATTATACTGACAATCAATTCCAATCTTATTATTAATAATATCAACAATCAAACTGTTACCAAGAAAAAAAAATCAAGATCCCCAATTAACTATCAAGACAATGATGATAATTCAATCAAACTCAATTGAATTAAACAGCAACCAACTTATTGTGCAAATTTGTGAACAAAAACTTTTCTCACTCTGATTATAATGCGAAATTAAAACAAAATCTTCAACTTCGAATCTAATTAACTCAATTTAATCAATCAAATATATCGAATTGGTATAATTGCAATGATAAAGTCAAAATTTAAAGCTCTTTCCCTCAGAATAACCTTTATAACCTTGACCTTTGAGTACGAAGAGTATATCTGTTTACAGTTATTACACAAATTAAAAGTGCTGGAAATGTCTGCTAATCGTAAATAAATAATAATTATTATATAATAAATCATCATGAACAATATCATTTACTTGTCAAAATGATTTACTTTGAGTTGATTCAATTTGTTTCCATGAAACTGAATCCTGAAATTCAATCAATCATTGTAACTTTTACCTGAGGAAGGCAGAAAAATTTTTCCAGAAAATTTCATTTTCCTTCAGACAGAAAGTAAATAAACAATGATATTGAAATTGTTCATGGATGTTAATTGTTCATTCACCAGGCAGAGTCAACTGATTCAAATGAAATTAATATTCTTGAATAAAATTTAACATGTAATATAATAAATTTGATAAACACTGGACATTATCAAATTAATTTAAACATGAAATTGTTTCTTGTCTGTGAATAGTTTATTTTATTATTTACATTCAAAGCATTAGTTTCATGATTATCATGATGATATAAGCATAATAACACATGATACAATCAACTCATAAAATAAAACTCATGATGTTCATTGTAAAGATGAATCTTTTCATATTATTACCTTCATCATCATCTGTATAATAATATAACTGAAGAAGATGACAATAATAATGATAACGATGATGGCCATGTTTGTATTTACCTATTAGATTCAATATTATTCAGTTCATGATTACCTCATGGTAATTCATGAAGGTGATGAACAAAATGAAGAGGGAAGGACAAAAATAACAACAAACGATTGTAAATAAAATGAGATAAACATTTGCTGAATCTTCAATGTTAGATCAATGATAATCAACGATATAATATATTATCAATCCAGGGAATAAGTTGAATAAACATAATATTGTTACTCATGGAATTAGATTGAAATAATCATTGGTGGTGAAATTTTGTTCAGATTGAAATCTGATAATCAGATTCTGATCGTTGAGATTATCTGGTAACCGGAAGTTATTGTTGAATTCAATCAACTCTCAGTTGTATTACTTTGAGACTAGAAAATGAACTTGAAACGAGATTGATTTTCATTTGAAATTTTCTTTCAGATTCTTATCTCATTAGGATTAGTTTTATCCCAAAATTGATATCAGATTAACTGAGAACGGATAATCCGATGAGTTATGATTTGGAAATTAAATTTAGTCACTTTCGTTTGGGCATCATAATCATTAGGAAATTGATTAAATATTATTATCTCACTTTTGTCAATTCTATTGGTCAACTAATGTCCGTTTTACTTTTGGATTTAGGAACCACCGGCTGAAGAGGAGGAACGTAATTGGAAGGGGATCTGTATCGCTTTCTTTGTGATTGCGTCAATTTTTTCGTTAATTGTGATCGCAATTATAATTGTAACTCCAAGTAAGCTTATCGATCAATAGATTTCAAGGTTAATACTAAATGTTTCCATTAATTAAAACTTAGATGATCATGGTAATCGAGTTAAACATCCTCGATTGATTCTTGAAGATATTGTATCATCTCATTTTCAGCCTAAAAAATTTGATGGATCTTGGATCTCAGGTAAGTGCTAACAATCAAATGATTAATTCATCAACTTAATCATGGATAATTTATTTTAATTGTTTAATTTGATTATTAGAAACCGAAGTGGCTTATAGGAATCACGAGGGAAACCTCATTGTTTTTGATTGTGTTGACAATTCAACCAACTTACTCATTCCAAATACAACTTTTGTAAGTGTAAACTTTTGATTGCAATTGGAAAAAGCTGATTAACTTGATTAATTAATTTTTCTTTTTACTATTTTATCGTCCAGTTAAGAGAGCAAGTTGACCATTATTCTATATCACCCGATAAACGATATGTACTATTCGTAAATAAAATAAAAAAGGTAAGAAAGTTCGATTCGAATTTGTCCAAAAAAAAGTTCTAATCGAAGTGAAAAATTCAATTTTCTCGAACTTTTTTGTTTCATCTCAAAGGTTTTTCAATACTCTTATATTGGTGAATATAAAATATATAATATTAGCAATGAACAAATCATTAACCTCGAGGTTCCTGATAGTTTTGAAGGTGATCAATTACAATATGCTGAATGGGGACCAAGTGCTAATCAGTTGGTGAGTTTTGGTCAATCAAATTAACTCTAACTGTAAACTAATTTATCCCTTTTCCCTGTTGGAAATGTCCACTCAATTGGTTTCCTGATTATCTTACCTTATAAGGTTTTCATTCATCGGAACAACATTTATTATTATCCAAGTGTGGGTTCCAATTTGAAAATAATAACATCCTCAGGTAGAGATAGTGTTTACAATGGGATTCCCGATTGGCTTTATGGTGAAAAGATATTGAAATCATCTAAAGCACTTTGGTGGTCACCTTCAGGTGATAAGTTAGCTTATGCCTCTTTCGATGACACTGGAGTGGACACTATCAACTATCCCAAGTATGGATCATTTAGTGATTTGAATAACATTTTCCCTCAAATTGTTACAATTAAATATCCTCGAGCGGGAAGGATCAATCCAACAGTTTCCATTTGGATTGTTGATCTGAAAACACTTCCATATTCCAGTTTACTACCTGAGTCTAAACGTATCTTACCTCCAAGTGAAATACAGGACAGGTAAAGTGACCAGTGGTCAACTTTGGTTCCAACTTTTTGTTTGTTCAACAAAATTACAATATTTATTTATATGTTAATCTACACAGAGAATATTATTTTACCGCAATCTCTTGGATTGATAATCAACGATTAGCACTGATCTGGATGAGACGTGAACAAAATTATTCAGTGGTCAGTCTTTGTAGCGCTCAAACTGATTGGACCTGCAATAAGGTGAGTAAATGTTGAAAGGGTAAGAGTGAAAATGATTCCGAAAGGGTCAATATTTAGCACTTCGGAATGGAGATGAGCCCATTTCCGGAATAATTTGCCTTCGATCTTGAAATTAACTTGATCATCAAATCAATGGTTCAGTTTTATTGACTTTTCAATGAAAACTTTAGCATCTCAATTGATTTATAATTTAATCTTGATTATCATCATCTCATATTTAATTAGCATAATTTGTCAATTATTTCAAAGTTAAATCAATGGTTAACAGTTGACTATTGGGTGTGTTAGTTTCATCCATTAAATTGATTAACTCATACAATTCTTGGTGCAAAAATAAATCATGATAACAATTTATCTGTCACTAAATCATTTAATTACCAAATGAAAAGTTCTGAATGCTAATCAGAATTCAGTTTAATATTAGCATTGAAATTAGCATTAGAATTGAGCTGATCATTGTTAATGTTGAACTTGACTTTTGAATCAATCACAAAGTCTATTTATGAGCTAATGTAATATTAATAATATTGAACAATCAAAAATCAGTGGATTTTGTTTCCTGAAACCATAATCCTATTTTTCATCATGAAATGAGATTCACTAATTAATAATACGATTATTACTTTATACTGTTTATTAATCCAGATCTTCACTCGAAATTTTTATTTAATTTAATTGTATTTCTCTGGTGGTTAATTGTCAGGTTGTTAATCAGCTCTAATTGGACTGTCAATGGAAAACAATTGCTAGTACTGTGTATTGAGTTAATTATTCAACGATTGGAAATTAGCTCATTAGGGCTTTTATATTTAAGAATTTATCGAAAATGTTTTTCTTCCTATTCTTGTCTTTTTTGTCTTTCCATTAGATTTTTATCTAAATCTTTATTCCAAATGAACTTTGAGTTTGTTAGAACTGATCGTTATTCTTAATGTACAAAAATCGAACATCGAAAGTTTTCCTCTTCTTCATCAACTTTTTCTTCTTTGTTATTATCTTAGTTCATCTTTATCTTCATTCTCAGTTCATGAGTGAAAATTACTTGAGATTAACTTGGAATCCCAATTGAATAAACAATTGATTCTAATTCAAGAAATTCAATTCTTTTTCAGCAAAGACTAGATAATGATAAGTTCGAAATTCTTAATACACCGACTCTCTCTCTCTCTCTCTCTCTAAACTCATAAAATATTAAATCTACAAAATTCATAGTTGAATTTACTAAATCATTGATTTAACTTTTCCTTCTCAGTGGTTACTTTTGTTTCACTAATCAATTAATTGTCACCCATGTGAAATGACAGTTAATAATTAATTTAATTTATGCGATAGTTGACATTTTGACTTAACTTTCCCGGTTAATTAATTGATATTTGTAAAAATGAAGTAAAAAAAAATTGTCAAGCAACAAAATTAACTAATTAACACGACAGCAAATCTGAGTTTGAAACATTAATTTAATCATCATAATCATGAGACAAACATGAATAATAATAGATGGAAATGAGAATTTTTTTCCCTCAATTCTCATGATAATTACATAGGGTGAAGGGAGTGAAATCGTAAGTGATGATAAAATGATCAACTGTAAGAAAGTATTATATAATTTTAACCCTCCCTGTAAAAATCATAAGAATATCCAATTGAAATAAGAACTTTTTTTTACCGTTATAGTAACAATTTGTTAATTGCGTGATCTATTTGAGGAAATCATAGTGTTGATTAAGGTTAAACTATTGTTAACGTGAGGTGAAACTTTGATCAATTTCGTAACAATAAACATGATTAAGATTCATGATTAACTTGATTGTCTATTGAATCACAAAAAAAAACTTTCATTTACCTGAAACTCAATTAACCTGATTGAAATTATCTTTGCTCTTTCTCTTGTCATAATCTCACCATTATCGTTAATCCTTGGATGGTTTATCTGGATTAATCCTTAGCATTTGGAGGAAAAGGTTGACAGTCAATCTAAAGGCGGTTGGGTTGAGCTGTTTGAATCTCCGCTGATAACAAAGGATAAGAGACATTACCTAATAACGTTACCATTGAGTGAACCAGAAAATGGTTCATTTCGTCAAATTGTCATGATAACAATTAACGTAAGCAATTGATTAATTAATTAGTTTTCGTCTCTCATTATTATTATCCAATTATTTTTATCCTTTATAGATGATAAATTATTCCAGCTAATCATTATTATACATTCAGTATTTTGATCGTTAAAGTTGAAACAATTTACCATTTTATCAATTTGATACTTTGGTTTACCAACAACAAATTATAATCAGTATCATAATAATTTTGCTTTGATTATGATTATAATTATCATCCACTGTTAATGATGATGATGGAAAAATAATAATACGCTTGAGGAAAGAGTTAATTAGCTGGATCGAAACAAAGTTCTGTTGTAAGATGTATATTCCAATTACAGAATCAACTATAATATTCCAATATTAACCATTGAGAATGTTGAGAATTTCTTTCAATTCTAAATCATATCATCTTCATCTGATTCTGGGAAAATTATCAACAAGACAAAGTTAATGATTAAATAAAACAAAAGGAGAAAAAAAAAATTTACCAAAGTTTCATTTTCTCTATGAAAGTTTCTTGCTTGTTTTCTGGTTAAACGGGTCACCGCCTTTACGTCTTAACATTTTCCGTATATCATCAGTCTTCATCTCTCTCTCACCACCATCATCATCATCACTCCCTCCTCATCTTAATCCTTTCTCCATCATTGAGAGATCCTCCTTTTCGCCATGTGAGTCTCTCCTTTAATAATAACTCGACAATGGCAAAGGTTATTAAAAGGTTTTTCTGGATAAAAAAGAGAAAAAAACAAATTGATTATCACAATCAATGAATGAATTGATCATCATGATAATCCTGATCTTGTAATGAATTCACATGAATCAATGTACTATCTTATTCATAGAATCAACTCTTTTATTGTTAAATTACTTTCACCTTACAAACTATTATAATCATCACAATCTCATTCTCACATTGATTATTTTTAGTTTTCTTTATTTTCAATTAAATTAACAGCAATCAACTTTTTAAAAAGTGATCCAATTAACCTTGATTATTGTTGAGATTGAGAAAAAAATTATTCATTATCTTTGTTCATATCGATAGTCAAATTGTCAGTTGTCAATATTTGAATCGGAAATATTAGTTCAAAACTTTGCTTTAGCTTTGAGATTATTGATTAACTAATTACTTATTGTATTAACAGTTTAATTAAAAAAATAAACAGTTGATTTCTTTAACCATTGAACATAATATTGATTAGACTTGAAGAGATTAACTAGCATTTAATTGTTTCAACTAAATTAAACGAAATAATTTGTTTTCTCATTATTAGTTCTAATTAATTAGATTAAATTAGTCCGATTATTTTGTGTTTACATTAATAAGATTAGTAGAGTTTGATTAAATCGTCAGTTGATCATTTAAATTATTCAATTTGATTAAAACGAAATTCGATCGTTTCAATTAACTTTCATTATTCGTAACTTTATATAAAGTTTATGAAAGTAATTGAGTGAGATGAGATGATCGTAAGGTGAGATCAAGTTAAGATTATTTAAAAAAGGAAGTGAAAAGGAAGACGAAGACAAAAGAGGATAGATTAACTTTATCCGGAAGCTGTGATAATGCATTTCTCCTTTCATCATCTTCATCATCATCATCATCATCATCTTCCTCTGAATATTGACTTTAACCATCCACAGAATTGTTTCTCTATCAATCCTGACAAGAGAGAGAGAGAGAGAGAGATGGGAGTAATGATGATATGATGCAATAAAAGAAAAATCAAAGAAAAGGATGAAATTGGAAGATGTAAACAGATCGTAGGGATGATAAAGATTTTGCAATTGCGAGTGATGATATAAAGAGTAAAACTAATAAGGTTTACCATTGAAAAGTAATATCGAAATATCAATAACATGTATAAGTTAAAGTTTAGTGTCTTTTGTCCTCTTTCCCTTCATCGATCCTAAAGAGTTGGTGATAACTGTTTGTGTGTCTCTGTAACTCACTATTAAGCTTGAATAATCATGGGAGATGATAAAACGTAAGCGAGGTAATCATGTTACTCCAAATAATAGATTATCTTGAGACAGAATTATAACAGCATTTAATAAATTGTTGTAAACCATTAATTCCAATCCTCGAATTTGTCCATTGAACATCTTAAAAACTTTTCTTTCTCTTGTTGTTTTCCTTTTCTTTTAATGTACTTTCTTTGTTTTTTATTGTTTCTCTCTCGATTCCTATTGTTTGTTGTCTTTTCCTTGATTCCATTTTCCCATAATGATTGTATTTATCTTTTGATTCCATCATCTTCCAGCCTAATTTGTCTCTTCTTCTTCTCTCACTATTTCACCGTTAATATCATATTCTTTTCAGGGTCGAGTGAAAAATTTTCTAACTCAAGGTCAACAGGATGTTACCAAAATATTGGCCCATAGACATGATACTCGAACCGTTTTCTATGCAGCCACTTTAGAGGATAATCCAGGAGAAAGGCATATATTCAGTATACCTGATATTCATTCATCTTCACCTCGAAATCCTTATTGTTTAACATGTAACCAAACAGAAAGAAATTGCTCCTTTAACGATGCGATTTTCAATCCAACAGCGAGATATTATATTCTTCAATGTCTGGGTGCTGGAATCCCTTGGACAGAAATTCGAGATGTTGATCAAAATGATATATGTAAGAAAAACGAACGATGGTTGAGAGAAAGAAAAAGTATTAGAAGAGAATAGAAATAATGAAGTAAAAGGAATAAAATAGTGAATTATAATCAGAATCAATTGATCATCATCTATGTATCCTTTTTCCCTTTTATTCTTCTCTCTCTCTCTCTCTTGTAGAATTTCTCATTCATCCTCCTCTACCATCATCATTATCATCCTATTCTTTCATTTGTTCCATCCTTTGAATTCCTTTTTTTTCCATGTTAAACTCATTATTTGCATCTTTATCCCAGAATTTTCCAAGGATTTCCATCTTCATCGTCTGGAATATCAGCCTTTTTCTCTTTGCGTCATTATCAATCTTTTCCTTGTTTTTTTTCTTTCCATGAACATAACCATTTCAGCCAAAAATCTCCCCTGAAAAAGACAGAAATCGAGGTGAAAACATGAACATTTGAATGAAAAGTAAATGCATCAAACTTTTACTTGAGATTAAACCTTTCGTGTGATTTTTTGTCTCTCATCTTCCTTATCCTTCTTGTTTATCGGATCCCTTGAAATCTAAATAATCAAAGTAAATGAATGAAGATGAATGATCATAAATCTTTCGTAATCAAAGATTCACCTTAATGTTCATGTTGATTAAATATTCAAGATTGAGCTTTTAACCTTTAAATGATCATTGATTAAATGAGATGAAATGAGATTTCAGTTTTCATCATGATGATCATCATCAACAAACCTAATTAAATACAGTAGTTTATGTCCTTTGGTTTAACCTCAGACAGTAATTGGATAACATTATTCAACTTTTCATCTCATTTGATCAATTTAACATTGGTACTTACGTTAAATCAACTCTGATTTGCATAATAATCATCAAAACTTCATTCTCTCAACCAACAATTTACGATAATTGGCACCATTGTTAACCATTTGTACCATTTAAATTTCAATTACAGTGCTACAAACGCCGACGGATAAAAGGTTGAGAGAGATTGTCGAGGAAAGAGCATTTCCTCAGATGAGATCGTTCCGAGTTCCTATTTCTCCGGATTATGGTGAGTGAAATGAACGAAAGTCCATTGGAAAACTTAGATTGTTAATATCGTCAAGTTCCATTGATTGTTGATCAGCCTATTGATGTACATGTGAAAATGGAAGAAATTAGTTTATGATAATTCTGATTGATTAACATAAGAAACCACTCGATGATGTTAACTATACGATATTATCTCGCTAATGATAAAAGATAATCTAAGCTGTTAATTCAATATTCGAATGATTTGTATTGATTGTTTTTCTATTCTTTTCTTTTCGTAATCATATTGATCCAATTTATTATCCATTACCATTGAAATCCAAACATCAGCGGCTGAAGTGAGACTTATATTGCCTCCGGCTTTGAGAGAAGCAGAAGAAATCAAATTCCCATTGATTATCGAAGTGTAAGTGAGATTTTTTCTTCTTCCAATCGGAAACAATTCAACATAAACAAAAAAGAATCTGTAACAAAAAAAGAGAATCAATTAAAACCTCCATTTGTATTTAGAGTTAATTTTCTTGATCCGACATAAGAACCTTTTATCTTGAGAGATTTAAATTGTTGTGTAAATTAAATTCTAGTGGACCTGAGCCAGGAAATCAAGATGTTAACCGGAAATTCAACATTGACTTTGGCCTTTACTTGGCCAGTAATCGGAGTTTCATTTACGCTCGGATTGATGTTCGAGGTACACGATTCCAGGGGAATAAAGTTCTACACGAGATGTACCACAAATTGGGTTCCATTGAGGTTGATGATTATATTCGGGTTGTTAATCACTTGAAGAATCATTATCACTTCATTGATCCTGATCGAATTGCGATTTGGGGTTGGGCTTATGGTGGATACGTTGCAGCTTCGGCTCTGATCCATGGACGAGAAAGTTTATTCAATTGTAGCATAGCTGTAGCACCGATAACTAATTGGCTTTATGTTGGTAAGTAAACTAATTAACAACAACAACAACAAACAAACGATTAGCTCAAAAAATCAAAATTAAAAGTGCAATTGAAAAGAGCAGAAATTTAATTCGTTGCCAGGTTACCATAACCCGCTCTTTGTTTGATTAACAGAATTTTAAATTTAAATGTTTAATTTTCTCTCGATTATTTCAAATAATTTATTTGGAACCTTTTTCAATGTAATTGTGGTTTTATCTCATTGATTTATTAATTGTTTAATTTTCTTTTTCTTTTACGCTACTTTAGATTCATTTACTGCTGAGCGATACTTTGGCGGTCCTTGGATCGATGGGAATTATGCTCGATACCAACGAGCTGATTTATCTGAAAAAGCTCATTTGTTTAGAGGAAAAAATTTATTTCTACTTCATGGAACAGCCGATGGTAAGTTAATTGTAACATTTACTTTTTGCCTGATTTTCAATTGCATTTATTTTCTTTACAATTTAGATGCTGTTCATCTTCAACATTCGTTTAGCTTCATGAAATCGCTCAATAGTAAAGGCGCTTATTATCGTACTCAGGTTTGTTTACATCTCATTGTGAATATTATTTTCTCAGATTTTTCATTAAAGTGACAAATTCATTCAATTTTATTTTCTAGATTTATCCTGATAGTAATCATTATTTGGATGATGTTCGTTATCACCTTTATCGATCAATTGAAATCTACCTTTTGGAAATGTTAGGATTACAAGGACATCAAGATATATTTCGTTATCTAACTGGTCAAGACAAATGAAACTTCATTACCTTCAGGGCTTAACTGAACTTAACAGGAGATGTTTTTTCTTCCTTTCTATACAAATCTCATAGAATTTGGACTGGAAATGAACTCATGGAAATCATTAAGTTGAATTTTGGGAATCACTGAAACTCTTAACATCCGAATCTCTCCAACACGAGGTCCATTCCTAAACAAATTTTCCATAACCAAAGAATTTTATGAAAACAATTGGATCGTCTCAGTTATTTTCAGATTTTCTGAATTTCTCCTGAAAAACCAAGCACTATCACCATCTAGTCACGGAGAATCAAATGGAAGATAAAAATGACAATTCAAATTTTCATTGGTCTTTTGGTTTTAACCCAAATCTCTTTTCGAGTTGCATCAACTCTTATATTGTATTGAGATATTGTAATTCTTTAAATAAAAAGAATAATTCACAAAGAACTTCCAATTCCATGATATCGTTTTCATATTCATCATCTTCGAATGGGATTTTATCAGAGTTAATGTCCAGATGAGTGAGCGAGCGCTGGATCTTAGTGAATTGATCTTCATGCAGTTGACTATTGACTAGTGACAATTGATCATAATCCAAAGTAATGTTTCGGATCTTGAGTTTGTTCAAAGATGGACAGTACTTAAGAATAGACATTATCTCAGTCGCTGTTTGGACACAACAGATCTCGAGACACTTGAGATTCACTGGAACGGCGTTTTATCCAACAAGTTGAGGAAGAATTCACTAATTGGACAATTCGGTGTACAGTATTGATATTTATGGTTAATGATGTTGAGTTTTCCAAATGATTAAGAGCTCGAGTGAGAACTTGAGAGAACTCAGCTGTTGATTCACTTTCGAAATGATGTTTGGACAAGTTTAACGATTTACATCCACCGCCACTCAACAGGTGGTCTAAAGCTTCAATGGAAATCGAAGCATCATCGACTGTCCAAAATGGGCTGCTGAAGTTCACGAGGTATGACATCACCTTCTAGATTGTTGGATTTACATTACCTCACGAAATCATTAATCATTAGACGATTCGAACCATTAATTGGTTCAAGAGAAAGATTTTCGTATTCAAAACCGGACATTTTAGAATCACGTTGAGAAACAAGAATCGAGTAATTAACAATTAAAACTTGGAATTAATATTCAAGAATTTGAAATAGGTCAATGAGAATCGAAATTCGAAATGATCAGTTAGTCTTCTGGCCTTTTTTTATATACGGGAAATCTTCAGAAAAATGGACGAAAACCATTGGTCAGTCCTTACCTTTTCTAAAATTGGCCTAAGGGCATAGCGAACACATTTTAACTTTTCGTTTCTTTCAATCGGTTTATCGTCTTGATAAATTCATTTAATTAGTTAAATTGTTTATGTTCCAATCATCATAATCTGTTTAGTAGATTAAATGAATCTTGTAAATCGAGAAAAAGTTTTCATCTAATTAAGTTTTCTAAATACAATTGTAATTGGAAAAGTTGATTAGATATATTTTGGTGGAAATTCAATTTACATTAATATTTAAATAAAACAGCGACCATTTAATAATCAAGGTTGATGTTCACTTGAATCTTATTTTGTCCATTCGCAGTTAACAACCGATGATTATTCAACGATCTTGACGACGGCTCTTGGAATCATCTTTTTCTTGGTCATCTTTTCTGTATCTGTTGGTATCATGTCGATATTTCTCATCTTTCATTTCGCGATATTTTCGGTCATTGTTATCTCTTTTTTCATCATCTCTGGAAGATTTTTTGTACCTTTTGCTTGTTTTCTCTCGATAATGTTCTCGTTTGAGTGATGATCGTTGATCATGGCTACTTTTTTCGTGTTTTTCGTTTTTATCAGCTTTAAATCTTTCATCTCGAGTCGATCCATTGGTTTCTTTTTCTGATCTTTTATGTGCCGATGTTTTTTAGAGCCTGAGACTTGATACATCTCTTTAGATCTCGATCGATCTTTGGAACCAGAATGACTTTTGCTTTTCTTTTTGTGAGATGATGAAGCTGTAGAGTCAGAATCAGAGTCTGAATCGGAATCAGAATCAGAGTCGGAAGAAGATGATGAGGATGAATCTGAAGAATCTGAAGAAGAGTCTGAACTTGAATCAGATCTTGAATCTTTATGTTTTCTTTTGCTACTCTTTTTATCCGTAGTTGGTTCCTCTTTTATGGCTTCAATTGAATCTGGAGCTGGTTTAGATTTGAGAAAGTCAACTAAATCTTCGACCAATGGATGAAGACCAATGTTTTGGAAGAACATTATCGAGAATCGAGTGTCTCTTGGATTATCACGAGGGAAAATACCAGCGAAAGCTTCTTGCAGGGTTGGATCTCGAATTCTTCTTTGACTTTTTCCACTCCAAGAAAATCAGAAATTTCTTGGAATAAATATTTGATGAACACCCGACTAGCGGATGTAGTGTCATCTTCGTTTATCTTTACACAAGATAAAACTGTCCATGGAATAGAACCTGTGATCAACAGGTGACTGAAAAATCCAGCAATATTCCGCAGTTTGATTGAATCCAGAAAACGATGGATTTTAGAAAAACAATCAACGAACACAGAGGAGAAAATATTCGAATATTCATGGGAAATTGAGCTGAAATTCTGGGCGATCAGTCCATAAAATTGAATGAATGTTCTCTGTTGGGCACAACAATCGATGATCGTGAAGCACATTTCGGTACGATCACCACCTGTTAATCCAAGTTTCATTAGTTTATGAGCCGCTTCTTCGGGTTGCAAAGATGATTGAAGGATAAGATATATTTTTCTCCGAAGAGCAACAAGATCGATGGAAGATTCATCAGTTATTTTTGATCTTTCTTCATTCGAATCAATTTCCTTTTCATCTTCATCTTCATCACCATCGTCATCTTCAGATTCACTGTCATCGAGAACTTCTTTTTTCAAAATTTTGTATTTTTCTTCGTTCTCCAAATATTCAGGATCAAAGTGGAACACGTTAAGTTCATCTTTCGTTTCGTATTGACCATCCAATTCAAATTGATGAGTAATTTTATCTCCCTCTTCCAATAGGTCCAATTCCGGGATGATGATGGGATGATCTTTGAATCCATCTTTGCGGATGGCAATCAGCACTTCAACTGCATATTGAACTCGAGTGTTTAAATTTCTTTCATTGAGATTGTTCCTCAACGCATCAAAAATTGTGATTAATCCTTTGGGAGAAGTTGATTGTAGTTTTGCTCCACATTCTTTCAGGAAGCAAACAGCCACCTCTATACTATCATTTGTAGCATTTTCTAGAAGCATGAACAAAATTTCCAGCGCTAATATATCACCAACCACTTGTTGATTCACAAGATGAGCAAGGAAACGAGCAGAGTTGATACACAAGCTTTTTTCGCTGCGTAAATAACTCTTACAAAAATTGTTTATAACTCGAGTGACAATTAATTTACCAATTTGAGGTAACTTGGAGTTGATCACAGCGACCAGGGCAGCATAAACATTAGAGAAGATTGGACCAAAAGATTGAGCAGTAATTATTGATTGGCACAAAACACCTTGTCCTCTGATTAAATTTTCCTTCAACAATTCTCTGACAATCACAGGTAAATTACTGGCATTGGTTTTATTAACCAAACCATTGATGGACTTTTTCAGCGCTTCCCATGATAATTTTTGGAAATTTAAATTTTGTTTATCACTTGCATCCTGAAGCTTTTTCCATTTGGCAGGAGGTAAGTAAACACTTTTCTCCATAGTCACTGAAAAGAAAATAGAAAAAAATCACCAAAAAAAGAATAAATAACAAATGATTTTATGTAAACAAATGATATTTTCAGCTTAAAGAATCTTAAAACGAAGACACCAATTGATAGAAACAAAAAAGTGAGAAATTTGAAGAACTAGAAACAAGTTGATGAGAATCAAAATTCGAAATGATCAATGAATTTTCATTCCCCTTCCTTATATACGGAAAATCTCCAGAAAAATGGAAGAAAACCATTGGTAAGTTTTTACCTTTTCTAAAATTGGCCTAAGGGTACAGCGAACACATTTTAATCATTTTCGTTTCTTTCAATCTTTTTATCGTCTTGATAAATTCATTTAATTAGTTAAATTGTTTATGTTTCAATCATCATAATCTGTGCAGTAAAATAAATGAATCTTGTAAATCGAGAAAAAGTTTTCATCTAATTAAGTTTTCTAAATAATGGAAAATGATTCCATTGGATTGATTGGTGATCTTTTCTAAACTTACCTAAGGGCATTGTCAACACCTGTTGATCCGTTTCATTTGTTGGTTTAATTTTTTTCTAAAGGAAGAGAAGAAAAAATAATCCAATTAATTTAGTAATAGAGTTCTAAACTCTACGGTGCTGATGCTGTTCTTTGGGTTAGAAATAAAAACCAACTGTTTCATTATTCAATCGGGACAATTGATTACCTTGAATCTTTCTTCGATATAAGAAATTTCCGCATTCAGATCACTTAGTGCGTTTTTCAGAGCATCTTGAGGAGTATAATCTCCAACTGTTTGCACTCTAAGGATGAATTTGTGTTCCAATGGATGAGGTACTTTGTAACCAGCGAATATAACATTTGGATCCTTCAACAATTGACATCTAATCAAATTACCCAAAGTGTGATTTTTATTGTTGACAGTGAAAATGGCAGCATTTGGTACTTTAGTTTCCTTCTCAATGATGATTCTGTAATTACAAAGAAAAAGGAACAAACATCAAATTAATATCGAGAATGAAAATAGAAAAACATAAAACTCAAAAGAAAAAAAAATTTCAAAACAAAACAAATGGAATCAAAACAAATTCACTTACTTTTTTTCTCCTTCAAAAAGAAGAAAAGATTCAAATGCTGGAGGCGCATTCACCTTAGTCTACAGTTAATCACGTTAATAGAAAATTAAATCAATTAAATCAATTAAAATACCAAATGAACAACAACAATTAAGCAAATTCCCCAAAATCATTGAGACTCATTGGGATGAAGAAAACCACTTGCTCTTTGTATTAACCGGGATTTTGGAAAAAAAGAGAACCGCCAACTTTGAATCTAATCTTCTATTCTCATCAATTTAATCAGTTAATTGTTACAATCATTTAAAATTGTTCAAATATTTTATGTACCGACCTGTAGATTGACTATTTCTCTCAAATGATGTGATCAGTTTGAATGTGCCTGAGAATTAAAGAAAAAGATCTCATAAAATTAGATTGTTGGATTTACATCGCACAAGAGGTGGTCTAAAGCTTCAATGGAAATCGAAGCATCATCGATGGTTAGACTGTCCAAAATAATTGGTTTAAAAGAGAAACAAATAGAAAAGCGGAAAGTTTGAATTCGTTTTTTTCTGTTTCCATAGTTACTCTTAAATCTTTTCTTTGGTCAATTGAATTTCCTTCATTCATCACAAGTATTAAATCTGATTACATTTCATTTGATTATTGTATTAATATTTTTATTCAGTTAATTATTCTTAATGATCAGTGTTAATTATTAGAATAGATATTATGTTAAATTCTCCATGTGATGGTAAAATAATCTTAGATGAATTCATCTCAAGTCAAAATATTTTCTTAAATGAGAAAAAAGAGAAAATCAAATTTTTAAATGTGCTTTAAATGCTCTTGATTTAAATTATTGTTCAATTCCACTGCCACTATCAACCCTCAGCAACAATCAGGTATGTTAATCTATATTAATCTAAATTTAATCCCGAAAAAAAGGAACCACCAGTTAATCTTAAACCATTTTCTAGCCGCAAGCAACAACAACAACTTCAATCTCTTAAACTGTTTGGTTTTTTTTCTTAATTTTCTTCCAATTTTAATGTTTTGACAACAATTCCAGTTAATAGACAAGCTAGAAATTAATTTATCCTTTACTATTCTAGTAAAAGTTAAATTATCTAATTACAACCATAAGAATTAACCATAAATCTAGCGGACAAAGAACAACAATTTTCCCTCTAAAACTGAAGGTTAACAATTTGTCTCTTCGCAAGTGAATCATCATTTTAATCTCGACACATTTGGGATAATATTATTTTTTGGCCTTCGAATATGAAAAAGTTTATAGAAATAGATTCTCAGCCCCTTTGTATGAATCATTGTTTTGAATATTACCTGAGTTCACCACAGTAACATGTATGTTTTTGTCACATCAAATAGATACAATTGACAAAAGGGCAGGGACACACCTTAGAATCACAATTAACAAAGGTAATCCAATTTACCAATCGTAACCAAGCTTTGCATTAATCATGGAATTGATTAATTGTTGTTTCCGTTTCAAACGAAAACAAAACATAACATTTACCTGATTGAACATCTCTGTCAATCAATTAGATTAATAATTCGTATCAAAATTTACCTTAGTTCAAGTCTAATTGTACTGACCATTAACTTAACAATCTAGTTTAATCATAGATTTGCAATCTAATTGTTAACTAATATCTAGCTCATGGTCAATCACTTGACCACTCAATCAATTGTTAATATTATCCAATCTCTACATTTACAATTAAGTACTTAATTAATCATGAATGTGAATTTCAAATTTCAAATCAATCAAACAAATTTACCTTAATTTAGATTTCCACTAATTATTAATAATCCAACTCTCTCTCTTCTGAACCTTCATAATTAATCATAAACCCTTTGTTTTCAATCAATCTAAAAATAGTTAACAATTAGACGATATAAATCTTAACCAATATCAACAATCATTTATAGTTGAAATTAATCATTGATTAAGTAAATTACTTAAATTGATGATTTGTTTAAATCCATGATAGTTATACTTTGATCGTCAATCAAAAAGCTTCAACATTATCATTAATTTTGTTTTTATTTGCACCACAATCACAACAAGGAAAGGTAATAGTGACCATCGACTGACCAAACAACCTTCTATGTAAATAATCAATCCTATTAATTTAACCAAAGCAAAAAACTGACCAATCGATTAAAGTTTAATCAATTGTAACCTTTTTTTGCTTCTATTTACCTTAAATCTGATAAATAAGCCTAAGAATCAATTGTTAACCTCAACAAATTGTTCTCATTTCCATAAAATTACCTGACCATTATCATTGAATTTCTATGTAAACTGTTATTATGATTAGTTAATCATTACTGATTCCAATGGAAATACAACCCAATTCTTATGTAATATTGATTTAAAAATTACTCTTTTCATCTCAATCTGCTTTTTCTCACTTTGATCACTTCCTTTCTTGTCAATCATAATCGTTGATCATTTACCAATAATGATCTGTTCACTAAAGTAGTTCCAACAATCAACTAACTTCAACTTATCGTTGATTCTTAATAGTTAACTTTAACTTATACTTCATTTCGTTCGTTAGTTAATCTTTTATTTGGTGTTTATTATAAATCAATTTGATTGTTAAAAATTTCATCATTTTCGCAAGTTTCGTCTTTTTTCATTCGCAAGTATTAATGGTAAAATCATCTTTTAAATTGTTGTTTTATTAATTTCCAAGGATCAAAATTCTAAGTGATTTATTTTATATGTTTATTTAAAGTTTGATCTGTTATATATTAATATTTTCTTTCTATTTTGATTAATTAGACTTCCACAGAGCCGATTGAAACAAATGAAGATGAGGAAAACTCATCAGATACTAAAAAACCATTGAAGGTAAACATTCAAAGTGAATTGTATTGTTTCCTAATAGAATTTAAATTTAATTACATTTCCTGTTTACTTTTATTTTCATTTCACAGGCTCCAACACCGGATTACGATGAAACTTACAACTTTTTAAGTAAATTAGGCGAACACGATGAGCTAAGGCGAAAATACGCTGAAGAGAGACGAAAAGAGTACAACGAATATCTAAAAGAGGTACAATTAATATCTATTTCTATTCAAAATCGAGTCGAAGTGTCACAAAATCTTCACAGAATAATAAGAAGCGAAAACAATTATTGATATTGGATTATAATAATATTTGCTTTTTCGCATCTAAAAAAAACTTGTTTGTCTTTAATACATCTCTTTGTTGAATCTATTATTAGGCGAAATTTGCTACCTCAAGGATTAAAGCTTTAGAAATGAAATCGGAAGCTCTTCGATTACAATCACCAATTCGTAGTTACGCTGAATTACTGGAAGAGAAACGCGCGAGCGAAAAAGCCTATCGACACGTTAACGATCACCATATTACCGGTGATTTACCTTCACTTGAACCCGATTTCTATGGTTACAATGCTAAATACCATCGAGATTCTGGTTTCGATATACTCAATTGGCAATCAAAATATCCTGGATCTCATGGTGAACATCTCGTACCAAAGTACTGTGCTTAACCCTCTAACAATTAACTCGCTTTCAAATTCAATTGCAATCATTAAATTATAATCTAATCTCTCAAATGCCATTAAAACAATAATGTATCACTAACAATCAAATACTAACAAAAATCTTTCATCTTTTTGCTGTGATTATTTACTTTTTATTTCTTATTTTGTTTCTTCTTGTTTATATTTAAGGAATCGGTTATTTGAAAGTCAATCAAATCGAGTTCGGGCTTCCAATTACAAGGAAGAATTGAGAAAACAAATTGAAGAAAAACATCATCTCGATGAAGAGAAAAGGAGACAAGAAGAAGAGGAGGAGAGACTAATTGAGAAACGATTACACGAGCAACGATTAAGGATGTTAAAAGAGTTCGAAGAAGAGCAAAATCGCCAACGGATTAAAGCGGATTCACTTGCAAAGAAACAAGAGATAATCAAAGAGATGATCAAAGATTCGGAGAGTAAAAGTAAACGAGAAGGAACCAAAGATCATAATGAAACAATTAACTTGACCAAAGATCAAGACTCTACCAATATACTCACCACAACACCTACTTCAATGCTCAATCGACTTGCTCGAAGTCCAAGTTATCTTCATATTCGTCGGCCAAAATCACCTCGTAAATCTCGTGCATCATTGGAATCACGATTTGGAGAGATCGCAAGTAATTCGACACCAAAGAAAACGGCATCTAGTCCTTTATCACTTCGATCGAAAAGATTTGTTCCAAGTCCAATTCGAAATGAAATGAATTCTCATAACGGTGATCATTTCAGTCCACAACAATATTCTGAACCTGCCAAATATAAACCACCTGATGAAAGTGAAATCAATAAATCAACACCAATCAATAAGAATCAAAGTTCAACTCAAAGTGTTAATTCTGGTGATCGAGTTCTAACTCGATTATCTGAAGTTCGTCAAAAAATGCAACAAGATCATGAACGAATGCTACAACAATTAAAAGAGAAAATATAATTCCCAATGATAATTATTCTAATTCTAAGAATTGCTCAGATTTCAAAGTTCCAATTTTTTGTTAATTGATTTAATTTTCCATCTTTAAAATAATTTTTCTTTCCACTAATTCATAAGAAATTTGTGTTGAATAAATATTTAAATTACTAACTGATTGTTCATTGTTTCAATCGTTTTTTTGTTGTGATTTGAATACATTGAAACATTTGTTTTAATTATTGTTTGTGAATTTGATTTCTTTAATTATTGGGCTGCAATTACAATTAGTACATCGGATTTAACATCAACATCTAACAGAGAGATTGTTATGAAAGTTACGAAAAATAAAATGACTACAATTTAGACATGGAAAGAGTATAACAAGAAAACAGAGTTGATTAATTTGATTGTAATTGGATTAGTTGATTAGTCTTTTAAGCTCGAGCTAAACGGACTTGTTCAATTTGAGAAAATTGATCGGGAGCTGATGATACTTTTTCACGAATTTGTACTAATTGTTGTTGGTCAGATTGACTCAAACCACTTTGAACGGAAAGTGGGGCAACTGGGACAACCGGGGCTACGGGACGTTGTCGTTGGACAATCAATGGACTGGGCTGAGGTTGAGAGAGGACGATTGTTGGTCTTTGTTGTTGTTGTTGGACTAAAACATTTGGTTGAGATACACGATTTTGGACAGTAATTGGTTGACCAAGTGATTGAGATTCGCGTCCTGGTTGAGGTAAGGGAAGTGGGGCAATTAATCTGGGGAATGAGGGTCCGGTTTGTCTGACCAATGGTTGAATGAATTGACCATTGGTGACTGGAGCAACAGGGACGGCATTAGCTTGGACTTGTTGGATTGATGGGAATGATACGATTCGTTGTTGTTGTGGTGCTTGTGGTTGAATTAAAACTGGAGTTGGTGCCAATGGTTGATTGAGAGCAATGGGTTCTCTTTGCTGAGAAACTTGAACTAAATTTGGTCGAGCAACGGGAAGATTTGATTGAACAGATTGGACTGGAAGTGCCGCTGGAACGAGTCGAGGTCTAACTTGAACGAGAGGCTGTGGTTGTCTTGGTGCTAGTGGGAATTGAGGGAGACTTGGCTCTCGAAGTCTCAAGATTTCAAATGATTGAGGTGCTGGAGCTGGTGCTTGTTCTTGGGAGGATGTGAAAACATTTTGGACTGGTTGAGGTCGTGATGGTCTTTGACCACCTAAGTTACTTTGAGAAGAAGTGATTGGAATCGCTGATTCTTTAAGTTGAACTGTATCGGCGATTGATGGTTGTTGGACTCGATTTTCTTGGACAAATTGTTGTTGTTGAGGTTGAATTACTTGTACAGGTCGAACGGGTTGTCGTGGAAAGGTTTCTCTTGGAGCGACTGATTCTTGAGCTTGGTTTGTAAATTGAATAGAGGGAATAGCAGGACGAAGGGCTGGGTCAAGGGGTTGGAAAAATGGTAAACCTGAATCCCGAACTTGAGTGAAGGGTCGAGCTGGTTCAGAGATTTGGACAACTTGTTGCTGGGAAACGGGAGAAACTGGAACTAATCGTGGTTGCGAGATTTGAACTGGTTGAACACTTGGAAGTGCTGATTCTCGATCTTGATTTATTTGAGTGATTGGTCGGGATGTGGGTGCTGGGGTCACTCGAACGATTTGAATTGGTCGAGGAGGAGATGGAGTGGTAATTCAACACCAGAAGCACCGTCTCGTAATTGGACAATTGGTTGGACTGTAGGTCGTGAAACGACTTGGCCACTGACTGATGGTAGTGCTTTTGCTTGGCCTTGGAAAGTTGTAAGTGGTCGAGCAGCAGGTTGGGTTCGAATAAGATCAATTTGTTGGAAAGTTGGAAGAGGTTCTTCTCGGATTTGAACCAAAGGTCGAGTTGTTGGGGCCGGAGTTCGAACAAGAACTGGTCGAACAACGGATGGTCGAGATCCACTTGCGACTCCTGATCCTTTGACTCCAGAAACATCAGAGGCAAGACTGTCTGAGATTTGAGGACGACGTAACTGTGATTGTGATTGGGCAGTTGGTTGTGAGCCAAATGCTGAACCAGAGTTAATCAAAACTGGAGCTGGATTTGGTTGAACGGGAGCAACAGGTACCAAAGTTGGAGCTACAGGAACTGGTTGAGGTCGAACATTGAAATTTGATCTGAATCCGTTGGTTTTACCACTTGGTACGAGTGTTGGTCGAGCTGAAGGTTGAAAGAAAACGCCATTGGGTGTTGGTTGAAGTGGTCGGGGTCCTTGGAGGCCAATTGGAGCCAAATAAGGCTGGGGAACAGCTCGAACTGGGATTGGGGCTAATGGACGATTAAATTTAACGATATTTGACTGAGACAATCCAGCGGCATTTGCATCTTCTTCATCTTCATCTTCATCTTGAGTGTTTAATTTTTCATCGGCATAAATGACCTCTAATCTAGATGGTTGTCGAGCTGGTTGAACAAAAGGTCGACCTGGTCCGAATTGAGAAAGTGGTACCAAAGGAACTAGAAAAAAATTCGAAATTCATATCAAAATTCTCATAAACATTTGAACTTTCGTCTAATTTTACCTGGATTAGCAGAAGCGATGGTTTTAACTCCAGAGATTTGACCTGGAGCTGGACGAGAATCGGCTGAAGCATCTTCATCATTATCTTCTGGTGCGATTGGAGTTGTTGGTCTTCGAGTTGTGACTACTCGAAGTCGAGGAGGTTGAACTTTAGAATTAGCGAGAACTGGGACGCTCTTAACTCCCCCAGAAACGATAACATTTGGACCATTGGATCCTGAAGTGATTGGTGTAGCAACGGAAACGGGTCCTGGAGCAACTGGTTGGAGTACAGGTTGGAAAACGGGAGTGGGAACGAAAGCGGGTTGTCTTGATACTAGAACAGGACGAATCACTCGAGTTACTGTTGGATTAACTTGCGCTGATTTTGTTTGACCATCGAGTCCTGATGGAAGGGAAGCTGATTGATCAACGGCAATTGGACCAGGTCGAACAACTCGAGTAACAACTCGGACGCTTTTGGTTGGATCATTTGGTCGGATAAATCGAGGGAATGAAATAGGACTCTGAGAACCTGCACCGAGATTTGTCTTACCGACAACAGTGATTGGAGTCGATGGAGAAGAAATCGAGACAGGGACAACAGTAGGTCGAACTGGGGCAACAACAACAGGCTGAACGGGTTGAACGGGAAGTGGAGCTACAAATGAATTAATCTGTTGACCAGGGAATCGAGGTAATCCCAATCTACCTGAAGATGAAGGTGAAACTTGACCTTTTACCGAACCAGGTCCAGAATTGGAACCAACATTAGCCGCTGGTGATCCATTATCTTCTCGTTGAGGTGCTTGATTTTCATCGAAATCGTCCTCATTACTATCGTCATTTCGACCTGTTCGTGCGGGCAATGGATTGACTGGACCACGGGAAGAACCGTCATCGTCATCGTATTCAAAATCTTCTTTATTATTATTATCGTTTAAAGCTGATTGTCGTCGTGCTTCAAATCTTGGTAGAGATTCAATCGAACCTTCAAAAAAAAGTTCCAAGTAAAAAAAGAAAAATTCAAAGTTAATCACAATTAAAATTGACAATCAATCAGAACCTTTCAATCAACAATTAACAGGTAATGTTTTGTCAAAAGAGGCACAAAATTAATGTAAACATTTTGGTAAAATATTTACTAATTATTTCTTGATTTTTGTTCACAATTTAAATTAAAATATTAATAGTCTATTATTAACTATTGATGAAATTTGTTTATCTGTTTTGTTTACATTTCATTTTGCAACAATTAACTTTAATTTCAATAAACATTTTTATTCAGTGTTTTCCCAAATTCAATCAACAATTAACCGGATTTTCAATGAATGATTTTGTCTTCAATACAATAAAATATTAAAGAGAGCAAGTGAATCTTCAATGGAAACCCGAATGGGCTAAACATCCGCCGCGGGAAAAAAAGTAACTCCCAAAATCGACAAGGACTCATGAAGGTTAAACTCTAATTCCTACAGAAAGAATTTCAATTCTGATATATTCCTGGTATTCTCATATATATATAGCTGAGTATTCATCGTGACAAGATTAAACAACCAACGAAAGTTCAGTTTTCTAAGAATTGGAAAAGTTTTCAAAACTCGAAATGTACTTCACTTTGGTTTCTTCTCTCGATTTTTGTCTAATTTCGAGTTTATTTTTTAACTTCTATTGTATGACTGCTCATGTTTCTCCGCCTAAGGTTCGTTATCCAATTAAAACAATCAACGGAGTTCCACCGTCATCATCATCAGCCCAAGTACAACAACAATCGATTTCTGGTCAGCAATTAAATGACGTTCAAAATGTTCAAAGTGATTGGATCAAAGTCGTTGGACCCAATGGTTATCCGTTCAAAGGGAATCGATTAACATCAAATTACCTTCCCAATTCACAGTTACCTCCGTTTCCACCGCCACCACCAGCATCTCCCACCTCGGCTGGTCTATTACCTGGATCTTACTTTTTATCATCAGCTTCCCAACAAAGTTCACCAATCTACTCACCAAGTGATAACAAGGATAATCTTAATCCATCTGACCTTAAGCCACCGCCACAAGCATCATTATCATCATCTTCATCATCTGCATGGTCAAAGGTTTATCCCTCAGGTCAATCAGGTTCAGTACTTTGGCCTAATCAAGTTAAATCGTTGGCTTGATTTGATAACTTTGTTAATTGTTTTCCTTTACCAATGGAAAACATTTCAATTATTTTTTGTTTCCAAACCCAATTGATTTTTTTTCCTCTTTTTAATTGTTACTTTTTTTTCATATACTCTTTTCTTAATTGTTTTAATTACTTCATTTGAATATGATTAGAAACTAATTGTGAAGCTAAATAATAAAACTTGATCGCAAAGACAAAGCTAACTATTCAATCAAATTGATTCTCATAAGCATCAAACATCAAAATCAAATCAGTTGATCAATTGGTGATTTTTATTACAACAATCATCATGAATTGAATTAAAATAAATTGTTGTTAATCATTAAACTTACCTAAATCATCATCCTGTTGAGCAAAAGTTAATTGTAATGATTGAATTAACAAAAGGGTAACAAAAATCTGTATCCAAATAAATCAATAGGCAATTAGATAATTAAACAATTAACATGATAGAAACAAGCAGCAAACAATTAAATCAACTCACCTTAATGGTGAACATTTTCCTGTGACAATTAAACAAACAATTCACAATAATCCCTTTGGTGTAAATTAATCAACAACAATTTAAAAAGTCAAAAAAAAAAGTAAATCCAACTTGGATTTAGTGAATTTAAATCTAATTAAATACACAAATCAATCAATTTTAATCCAATATGATTTCACTTTTATTGTTTCACAATTTAACAAACTGTAATCATCAAACTGATTACCTGAATAGTCAGATTGTAATCAGAAAATTAAATTAAATTGTTGGAGTTGGGGCACATTTTATTAACTTAATTGCTACCACCCAAAATATTAAACCTCCTCTTTCCAGGTAAATCAAGATGATACAATTAAGAAGATTGTTAATTGACCTTGATTGTGATTAACTAAATCATCATCAAATTCACTTTCGCTTTTCCTTATTTTTCATCATCATAATTAAATTTTAACTTACAAACCTGAAGACACCATGATGAGTTTGATTAAATTCAATGGCTCACAATTAATGACAAAGGAGGAGTTTCTTATATTATGATAACTAATTAAACTCCCTAAGTATCATCATTATCATTATCATCCTGATCATCATCATCATCATCATCATCATCATCGTCTTCATAGTCTCTTTCAATTTCTCTTTCTTTCTTGATTGTCATCTTTTGTTACTTTCATGGAACTTAATTAACTGGGTCGCCATGTTGGTTAATTTTCTCTTTCTTTTTCTCTTTCGAATAATATTTTTAATCTTAATCATTTAATCATGAATCAATCATATTCCTCCTTGGATCTTGATTAAATCGCAATTACAATTTAAACTCGTGCAATATGAGATTTGATTTTTTTCTTCTTCTTTTTTCACTTACAATTCATCTCATTTGATATGCTTAATTGTGATCATCTTGAAGAGTAAAATCTAATTAATCACATTGTATATTTACCTTTCCTCTTAATTACCATAACTAATTAGTGGATTAATGGTTAATCCTTGGATTGGACAGTAATCATTTGTAAAGACAATTTAAATTCAAATTAATACCATTAAGATTAGAAGCTAATTGTGAACAATTTAATTCTACAATCAAATCCTACTCTTGAATTATGATCAACAGGAATTAATATCTCACTGATTAAGTTTATGATTAATTGTATTACAATCAATGGTAATGTTAATTGTGATGATGAGATTTTGATTTAACAATGGGCTTGATTCTGTAACAACAATTATTTAGTCCTTCTGGTTAATTAGTTGATTACAATTAGTTGTGGGTAGTAAATGACCACTACAACAATTATAAATTGGTGATGAGTTAATTTAGTTAATCAAATATTAACAATGACCAAGGTGAATGGAGGTTTAATCAAGGAGAAAGAGGAATTAAATTAAACCTCAGACTGATTAAACATTGACGATCAATTGTTGCAATCATCATTAAATCACTAATTGGTTAAACATTTTCAATGAAAATCAACCAACAATCAAGGTAAATATGAGAGCTCATCATCAAAAATTATTCATTGGTAACAATTTAAACTGGATTTAAATTGTATCTCGTACTTTTCAATAACTAACTAACTGTAATTAAGATTATGTATAAAAAAAAACAATTTACCCTCAGGGGGTTTAATTAATTTGATTTGTAAGAGAAAAAAACTTTTACCTGTTTTTGGTTTTGTTTGTCAATTAATTGTGATTAAAATCAAGTAAATGATCAAAGTTAAATTGTTATCAAATTGTGATCAGGCCTCAACTGTCTGGATCAAAATAATCAAAGTTTCATTGTGATTAATAAATCATTTTAATCTTGATCATCGAGATTAACTAATATTATATTATTTCTGATTTAATTTAATTCCGATACAGAATATGATTAAAAATATGATATCATTAATTAAATCCCGTTGATTGTAACAATTGCCTTGATAGGTTAATTGTGATCACACACATTGATTCAGATACAATGTTAATTGCAATCAATTATTTGTTTTAATTATCAACAAAAACAAATTTAAATGTTTTGAGTCAATTGATATCAATTTATTGTGTTAATTGTGGTGATAATTGATTAATTATTAGTCTAATGGTTAGTAATTAGTTAAATAAATGTAAATTCATTTGCTACAATCAATTAATTTACAAACTTTCCATTTAATTGTGATTAACATTATCATGATAGTTTTAATTTTCCACCTAATCAACAATTTTAAACACGTTTTTTACTACTACTACTACTTAATTATTATCGTTAATTGTTGGAATCTTAAGTAAATCATCATCATTATGGTAAATTTAATGATTCTATTTACATCTAATTAAATTTACTCTAAATCTAATTGTCCTTCAATGAGAGATAAAAATTGAACATAGAGACTAAAATGGTTAATCACAATTACGAGAAAAATTAAAATAAAAATCATATTTAAATTTGATGAATAAATTGATTAGATAATCAATCTTGATTATAATTAGTGATTTAATGATGATCTCATTGAGGAGCAAAAAATTGTTTCCTAATTTTCTGGTCAATTGTTTCATTGACAATTCACATTGATTGTTGAAGAGAAATTTTTAATTCTTCTAAAATCAAGTTTTCCACTGAGTTTTGTCCATAATATTAATCGTAATCCCGATGATAGTAATTGTCTTTATACTGATTAAAGTACAAATCTTTAATTTGGTTGATTGCAATCCAAGAACTTGATTAAAGAAGAAAAAAAAACAAACTCTGCATGTAACAATTAACTTCGCGATTACCGATCGTTGTTTGATTAATTTGTCCTGTCAAGATGAACTAAGGTGATCCAAGGTTAACGTTTAAATTAGAATAAATTGTTTCTGTGATTTACCACAATTCGAAACTGATCCTGTCAACCTTTTTATATTTAATAGTTTCGAATTTGTTTTTTCTTTTCCAAGTTTGTTGTTAGATTTTTAAACTCGTCAGCAGCTCTCGTAATACTTTCACTTTATCTTTACGATCGTAATCGTTATATTGATCATCAGCTTAATGTTGGAAGATGGTGAAGAAGAAGAAGAACCAAAAAGATATCAAGATTAGACCCTTAGGGCATCTTAGTTTTTCGAGTAATCAAAAAAACCTCGTAAATCTTTTATCATCTTTCATTTAATTATTATTTTTTTCTTCGCCTTGTTTTCCGTCATCGTAGACGCTTTTCTTTAACCACTAACTGGCTCATCTTTGTGGGTAATTTAAATAATCAGTACTTTTGAACTTGACTTGGTAGATTTATGGTTAATCAAGATGATGAGATGGTAACAGTAATTAGCTTGAAGGAAAGGGAAACACATTGAAACAAAAAAGCTTAGCAATTGAGAATCAAAGTTTTACAATACATGAGAAATTATACTAAAGAATTAACAATATCCATTGAAATTAATCACTAAATTGTAGATTGTCCAGTAGATTGGTTCTAAAAAATCATATAATTAGAAAAGAGAATGAAATAAAAAAATTTAATTAGTATTTCTAATCTATTGTTGATGAATGAAGGAAATGACTTTTAACAAGGTGAAATACTTACTTTATTCCCTATTAATCCATCGATAACTAATGGTTCAGCTTTGTATAGATTATTGATAATCACTTGTCTTCTTAACATTTCCAAATTTTTCTCACCTTCACCAATTAATTGTGATATTTTAATCGGATCAGAACAATTTATATTCTCTCGAAATGAATCTCGTATTCGTCTTAATGAATATTCTCTTAGATTGTAATTTGGAAATTTAATCGACTCTTTTAGTAACAATTTATAAAGAGACAATACTTTAGATGATGTTGAAGACATTTTATCAAAGAATAATTATAACAATCAATTAATTGGAATCAATTAAAGCACAATAACAAAATGGATAACAATCAAAAATTAACAACAAAAAATTAGAAAATAAAAAAACATGTGATCGAAAATAGTTACTCTTAAATCCAATAGATGGCGCGTAGAATTGGATTAAACTGATTAACTGAAGGACAATTAGATTTAGAGTAAATTTAATTAGATGTAAATAGAATCATTAAATTTACCATAATGATGATGATTTATTTAAGATTTCAACAATTAACGATAATAATTAAGTAGTAGTAGTAGTAAAAAACGTGTTTAAAATTGTTGATTAGGTGGAAAATTAAAACTATCATGATAATGTTAATCACAATTAAATGGAAAGTTTTGTATATTAATTGATTGTAGAAAATGAATTTACATTTATTTAACTAATCACTAACCATTAGACTGATAATTAATCAATTATCACCACACTAAATTGCTATCAATTTAAATTTGTTTTCATGGTTATGATTAAAATGGTTTTTTGATCACAATCAAAGTTTCATTATTTTCATTCAAAGTTTAGATCTAATTACAATTATATAACAATCTTCCTTTCATCATTATCCTTTTCAACTTTTACACGAAATTTAAAACAAACTAATCAATTAATAAATCTAAGTAATTTAATCTCCAATCTGACTAATTAATTTAATCCAATTCTACGCGCCATCTATTGAATAAAAGAGTAACTATTTTTGATCAGATGTTTTTCATTTTCTAATTTTTTGTTGATCCTTTTAAATTGTTTGTCTTTTTGTTATTGTGCTTTAATTGATTCCAATTAATTGATTGTTATAATTATTCTTTGATAAAATGTCTTCAACATCATCTAAAGTATTGTCTCTTTATAAATTGTTACTAAAAGAGTCGATTAAATTTCCAAATTACAATCTAAGAGAATATTCATTAAGACGAATACGAGATTCATTTCGAGAGAATATAAATTGTTCTGATCCGATTAAAATATCACAATTAATTGGCGAAGGTGAGAAAAATTTGGAAATGTTAAGAAGACAAGTGATTATCAATAATCTATACAAAACTGAACCATTAGTTATCGATGGATTCAAATGATAATCTTTCTAGAGGTTGGATGGGGAACCGAAATGTAATCAAATTACTTAAATGAAATTGGAAACAATTTTCCTATTGATTAAACCCAAGTTTTGTGAATTTATTATTATTTTGTTTTCAACGTATTTGTTTCATCACATGCAAAAGATAAATTATATTAATTAATTGATTAATTAAATAGTTTGTTATACATTATTTTTTTTTGTGAGGTGAAAGGAGTTACGATGAAAGGGAAAATTCAAAGTACGCTTTTAGTTTTATCGTAACGAGAGAGATAATTTATATTGACACACGTTTAGAATAAATTTTTTGTTGTTTTCCTTTGATACTGTAGTTTGCTGGTTGTTGGAAATTGATGATGTTGATTGTTGATAATCTCAGTCGATATGGTAAATCAACAATAAAAGAGGTGCAGAGAAGGAAGAATAAATCAATAACTTTTTCACTGTTTTTAAAATTAAATATAAATAACCATTTTTTGAGATAATCTCCTTGTTTTTTTTTGTTGCTTTAGTTTTTCAATCCAAGTGTATAGAGAATTAGACTATTAATCAGCTAATAGTTAATAATTAAAACTTGCAATGTTGAATCCATCAAGAATCTTCAATTTGATATTTTTTTCGTTCTTCTTTGGATTGAACAATTGTGTATATGTGGTGTGTTTGTGTTTTAGGTTAATATGTGCAAGTGTTTTTTAAGAGAGCGATTTCTCTTCAGGTATGGTGGGTGTAGTAGCGGGTGTAGCTGTTTGAGAGTTTCGTCGTTCACTGTTGAGAGCATCTTCGAAACTGTTGGTACTGTTACTTCTTGAGCCAGTCATTCGATCTTTTAGATTTCCGGTTGCTGAGACAACTCGCTCTTCGAATGATTTAAATGCATTGGAATTTTTCACTTCTCCTAATTTTCGGGCCATACTACCACCAAGACTTCCTAAAACGGATGTTGTCCTTTCACCGACAGTTTTAACAGTCTCGGTGGTTTTTTGATAACTATTTGCACATATGCAAGGGTTAAGGGGGAGAGTGTTTTGATATTTGTTGTAAGTAATGGAGAGAGAAAAATTATTTGAATTAGTTGAAATATAAAATTTGTAAAAAAAAGGAAGATAATTAAAATGAGAAATAATAAAAGAATAGAAAACAAATCGGAAAAGAAAACAAAAAGCTCACTAATGAGGTGATTAAAGTGATTAAATAAGAGATAGAAATGGAGATGGTGTTAAAAAAATAAAAATAATAAGCTTAATCATTTAGGAGTTGAAATACATGCAGAATCGTTAAACAAATTAGTTAATGAACATACGCAGAGGTTGGAGCTGCTAGTATTCCAAACCCAGAGCTGATGAATTGATAAGAAGAGAAAAGCATGAGAAAGGAAATAATTATTAATTAGCTGATGGTGATGATGACGATTGATGATAATGAGTTATAAAGACTGACAGTTGATAAAACAAAAGTTTTTGTTGGATGAAAAAAGACAGAGAGATTATGGCTGAAGAGAGAGTCAATTAGTCACAATTGTGTTAATCATCAAAGATACACACGAAAATAAAACAAATACCAATTGGTGTTAATTTCATTAATTGATTGTAAGTAATTTCATTTCAATTATATACTTAGTGTAACATCACAAATGAATTGTGTGAGTTAATTGTCAGGATTTGAAGAGATGGTGATGACGATGAGAAGAAAATAGATTTTGATGACTTGGATTGGATTTTACTTACGCTGTGGATTCTTGGATACTTTTAACTCCTTGACCAATGTCATCTCGAAATTCTTTCCATACAGAGATGCCGAGTTTCTTTTTCAATTCAGATGAATGGCGTAATTTCGATGAAAGAACTTGTCGCAAGGTTTGAATCTCCTCTTCAGTCTAAAAAGAACAAGAAAGATAAAAAACAAAATTAATTCAAAAGAATAGAAAAACAAAAAGAAACAAGAGCAAAAAGAGAGAGAAAAAATGAAAGAGAAAAGAATAACAAAATCCAAGTTTTTATTAATAGTTAATAGAGAAATACTTGGAAAGGTGTTGGAGAAAGGTAATAGAATGAGCAAGACAGAAAGGAAAACAAAACAAAAAAGATAAACAAATGAAAATGATATCAGAAACAAAAGAGACCAAATTGATTAGAAAATGAGAGAGAGAGAAAAGGAGAAAGAGAAAGGATAATTGTACGATATTAAGACGGCAGAAAAAGATGCGATGAAGGATGAGGATGGAGAAGAGAAAAAAATTGAAGGATTGAAGCAAAAGAAAAAGAAAAAGAAAAAAAATCAGAGAAAAAGGAATAATGAATGAAAAAGAACAAAAATGGTAAAAAAGAGAATAAATTGAAAATTCTAAACTAACCCTTGCCAGTTCTGTTCGCCATTCCTCTTCTAAAGCAGCTTTTTGCTCAGGATCCATGTTGGCAAAATTTGATTCTGTTGTAACGTCAAATGCCTCATCGGAAGCATTGTAAAAGATTTTATCAGATTGATTGTTATCCTTGGATAAAGACATTATTATATTTCTATCACAACAAAATGATTTTTACTAATCACAAGAGAGAGAGAGAGAGAGAGAGAAAGAGAGAGAGAGAGAGAGAGAGAGAGAGAGAGAGAGACAAGATCAACGAAAAGAAAACCTAACGAGAGAAGAAAATTATAATAATAATAATCAGCTCAATATAATAAATAGATAAACAAAAAACACAAACACACGAAGAGACGAAGATGAGAGAGAAATGAAACTAAAATCAACTGGACAAGAGAATAGAAAATATCGATCACATAGGTAACATCGATTTAGAATATCGATTGAGGTATCGATATATCGAAATTTTGTTCTCTTTCAAACTGAGTTTCAATTTAGTTCTTATTTCATTTTCTCTGCTTGTTTGTTGATTTTATTTTCTCTTTTTGTTCATGATTATTATTCAATTAATTATCTCTCTCAAGTAACAGTAAATTCTAATTTAATATCATGTCCTCATCAAAGAGTAATAATCAAACGGGTAAGTAAACTGTTACCTTTTTGTCAATTATCTTCTTCAACTCTGATTATTCAACAACAATATTTTCTTTTCTTTCTCTTTTTCTCTTTTACTCATTTGTGTGTTTTTCTTTTCTTTCTTGTTTTTCTTGGTCTTGTTTCTTTCTCTTTCTTTGAATATTTTTTCCTTTCTATTTTCTCTTTCTTTTTTCTTCCTTCATCTATTATGTATGTGTAGAATTTAAAAAAAACATTCTCTCTTGTTATATATGTTTGCATCTTTTTTTCACCTTCATCATGTACTGTCATTTTTTAATTATACCTTTGTTACTTTACTTTTTTCCCGAAGATTCGTTAGATTCATTTGATTTTCTTTGTCTTCCCTTCGTTTGTTAACTTTTACTCACTTTTTCTTTCATCTCTTTCTCTTGCTCTTTCTTTTTCTCTTTTTCTCTTTTTCACTCTTAATACTTCTTTCACTATTTCGTAATTTTAACATCTTTTTGTGTAAATGGTCATGATTTACGAACTTTACGTGTCAATTTATCTCAATTGATCTTTTATTTCCTCAAATGTCACCTTACAACCTTGGCTCGGTGACGTTTCTTTCTTAAGTTACTCTCTCAGCTTTTCTAACTCTAGTTCGGTATTTGAAACAATTGGTCATTGACCTTTTTACTAATCACTTTTTTTTATTCTTTTTCTTTCTCTCCTTTTATTATTGGACATTATCTGTTCTTTTTCTTTGTGATTTCCTGCTGTTGAACATAAAAAACATCTTTTTTTCTCCAATGGCAGAAGCCAAGGATGATGCCACTAAAAAATGGACTCTGAATCCGGAGGCAGCTGAATTTGTTCCAAGATTTGCTTCAAATGTACCAACACAATCCCCAGGTATGGGATCTTTTAAACCCATGGGATCAGGCAATTCTGGAACCGGTTCATCCATGGCTGGTACAACAGGTCCTCCTTCCAGAGCTTCTAAAGCCTATCATAATGGGAATGATTGGTCTGAGAATGATAATGAATTTGTTGATCCGATTAGGCGAGAAAGTGATACTGAAGTTGAAGATTACGTGGCTCTAAGTGAATTGAAAGAATTTATTGACGCAATATCATCTAATCCAGCCCAGTATGATGCTGAAATTAACTACATCACGGAAGTCCTTAACAACTGGATTACAGAGGATCCTGACATAATTATGCAGTGCATTGTTAACACTATTGTCGACCAGGTAATGATCAATTATATCTCTTTTTATTGAGTATTTTCTATCCTCTGTTATATCACCATTTCCCTCTCTTTTTAAATGTCTTCGTTTTTCTATATTTAACTGATTGCAATTTTTTCTCCTCTTTTCTCTAAAGGGAATTATTGATACAAATTTTCGTTACAATGGAGTTCGTCTGTGTGTCCACCTCATTGCAAATCTCAAAGCTATTACCAGTAAAGGTTCATTCAAAGATATACTTTTACAGAGGTAATTTTATCAATATTGAAAACTATTGAAGTTAGAAAATGTCATCGTTTATCTGGGATTTCAGATGTCAGCGGGAAATTTCAAGGCGTGATTCGATGGCCAAGGCATCTGATGGTGGACAATATTCTAGAGGTGTCGCTCTTTTTATTGCTGATTTATCAACTCGTGTTGATGATCCAGACCTTGTCGAAGCCCTTCCAGAACTTATCGAAACCCTATTGTCTCATACGACCACTGACAATGTTAAATGCGCATGTAATATCTTAAAGGTAATTTTGTTACATTATTACTTTTGCTTAAATTTTCTCAGACTCTCAGTTCAGTTTAAAGTTAATTTTTATCTTTTAACTTATTTTCTTTCTCAAATTCTCCTTTAGCTCTGTGGTACCCACCTTGAAGATTACCTTAAGAAGAAGAACAGCGACACAATGGATACTATATTCGACCGTCTCAAAGGAATCAGTAGTCGTAGTCAAGTTTCCGATTCTTTGAAAAATGTAATTAATAATGTTGTCGAGTTTAGGGCAAACAACTGGAAAACTCCATCACTGCCTAGTAATATTGTTAACCCATACGCAACAGGAGCTAACAACCCTTACAATGACTACAATCCACAATCCAACAACCACCATCATTACCAGAATTATGGTCACAATCCAAGGTCAGGATCAAGGCAAATATAACTTTTTAATTTAACACTCTTATATTGATCATTTTTGCTCCCTCAATTAAATCATATTTTCTTTTGCATCTTTTTAGCTATGATTTTGGTCCATGTGGTGATGAGGGTGATCAAGATGTTTGCGATGCCTTCGAAGAATTCCTTAGAGACTCAGGACAACTCCAATAAAGAATCATAAAAACTACATTTAACAATTAACAACAAAAAAAACCATGTCAACTGGGAAGTGCTGAAAAAAAAACAATCTAACACCATTTTCATTTATACATATAAATCTACATCATCATTTTGTGATCATGGTTTGGTCAGAAAACAAGAAAGTATCAGAATAAGACGAAAACAGTATTTAAAGAGCACGAAAAACAAGAACCACGATTAATAAACAAAACCAAACCGAATGAGAAAAAATAACTAAACCACCAAACAACTATGAAAACCATAAACTCACTAATAATATTCAACTTTTTCTCCTTCCCACCATATAAACCATCTCTCTCTCTCCCTTTCCTTCTCTCTCATCATGATTATCATTATGAAAGAAACAAAAAACGCTTCCTGTATCCATAGAGCTCTAACTTTTGTCAATAAAAATGTAATCTCAGGTGAACTGGGATACTGATAAAAGGAGATGAATTAATTTACTTTAAGGAAAGAGTTTAGATTAACCTGAAATTCTCTGAAATTAATCAATGTTATTTGTTCTCTGAAATTATATTATAGAGAGTGTTCAATGCTCTTAATAAGTCCAGAAGTTTATACCAGTGTTGGAAAGAGATAATTAATTGAATAATAATCATGAACAAAAAGAGAAAATAAAATCAACAAACAAGCAGAGAAAATGAAATAAGAACTAAATTGAAACTCAGTTTGAAAGAGAACAAAATTTCGATATATCGATACCTCAATCGATATTCTAAATCGATGTTACCTATGTGATCGATATTTTCTATTCTCTTGTCCAGTTGATTTTAGTTTCATTTCTCTCTCATCTTCGTCTCTTTGTGTGTTTGTGTTTTTTGTTTATCTATTTATTATATTGATTCCAGTTAATTAATTCTTTTTAACTATTCTTTCATGTCTTCAACATCATCTAAAGTATTGTCTCTTTATAAGTTATTACTTAAAGAGTCGATAAAATTTCCAAATTACAATATAAGAGAATATTCATTAAGAAAAACACAAGATTTATTTCGAGAAAATATAAATTGTTCTGATCCGATCAAAATATCACAATTAATTGGTGAGGGTGAGAAAAATCTGAAAATGTTGAGAAGACAAGTGATTATCAATAATCTTTACAAAGCTGAACCACTTGTTATTGATGGATTAATAGGGAATAAAGTATTTATTTCACCTTGATAAAAGTCATTTCCTTCATCATCAACAATCCACAATCCAACAACCACCATCATTACCAGAATTATGGTCACAATCCAAGGTCAGGATCAAGGCAAATATAACTTTTTAATTTAACACTCTTATATTGATCATTTTTGCTCCCTCAATTAAATCATATTTTCTTTTGCATCTTTTTAGCTATGATTTTGGTCCATGTGGTGATGAGGGTGATCAAGATGTTTGCGATGCCTTCGAAGAATTCCTTAGAGACTCAGGACAACTCCAATAAAGAATCATAAAAACTACATTTAACAATTAACAACAAAAAAACCATGGAAATGTTGAGCTGACATACATTTGTATCGCCTTACCAATAAAAATGTAATCTCAGGTGAACTGAGATACTGATAAAAGGAGATGAATTAATTTACTTTAAGAAAAGAGTTTAGATTGACCTTACGAAGAAAAAAAACTTTATCATCTTAATTAATATGAATAATTGTATCAATTGAAATAATTTAAAAGTAAACAATTAACTTTTTATTTTAACGAAACTCTCATCGGCTCATTGATTTATTTCCAATTGGCGGCTGATAAGCCGATCGACCCCCGAGGGAAATAAGCTGATTCGGCGCACAAAACTGATTCCAAAAAAGTGACATCAGTTTCAAGCTCATTGTTTTTCTTGTGTTTATGATTTTGTAAATTGTAAATTGTTTTGTTTTAAATTATTTTTTAATTTTTCTGGTCCCAAATCACTTTAATTGTTCAATTTACCAATCACAATGTCCAACGAGGATCCATTTTTCATGGTAAAAGAGTAAGTAACGAGTTTAATTTACCATTTTTCTCACCATCTTTTGAGAATTTTTTTCCTCAGTGACTAATTACTTCCTCTTATGGTTGTTTTTTTACTTTCTCTCTCTCTCTCTCTCTCGTTTATTTTTTTCTTGTTTCTATCTCTGATTACTAATGATTACCATTATTCTCTGAAATTAATCAATGTTATTTGTTCTCTGAAATTATATTATAGAGAGGTGTTCAATGCTCTTAATAAGTCCAGAAGTTTATACCAGTGTTGGAAAGAGCAAAAAAATGACCCGACCAATTGTTCAAAGGAAGATCCTAATTGGCTTTTGACAGAATTAAAAAATAAATTGCGCTCAATTGATTGGGATCTTGAGGATCTTGAAGAGGCCTTGGGTAATTATTGTTTGTTCTTGATTATTACTAATTTTTTAATTGAGAGAGAAAGTTAGTGAGTGAGTGAATGAGAAAGAGAGAAACAAACTACACAGTAGCCTCCACATAAAGAATATTATCTCTTAATTATATTTATCGTCAAGGTAACCTTTTTATTCTCTATCATCTCAAATCAAAGTTTTCATTGTCCATTTATCATTTGCAAGAGTTAACTGTTCATTACTGGAACGTATGTAAGGCTGAATCTTGAAGAGCAAGATAGAGAGAGAGAGAGAGTAGAATAAGTTATGATGAAATTTTCTTTGACATTCTCTTTTTCTCATCACCTTTACCTTCAACCATATACAACATTTTCTAACAAAAGTTTTACTTTCATTTTCTATTCCAGGTATTGTTGAGAATAATCTTAAAAAATTTAAACTGGACGCTAAAGAAATCGCCAGTAGACGTGCCTTTATTGAGGAAACTCGAGAAGAAGTGAAAGCAATGAAAGATGAGATCAACGAGAACAAAAATGGAAGCAAAGACGCAGTTAAAGCCATGGCAGCTCTTCTTAATCCAAATCTAAATCTAAGTAGTAATACAGCTCCCGGAGATGGTGGTACAAGGTATACACGATTACAAAATGAAATCGAAAGTCCAACCAGAAAGGTTTATAATCAAACAGAAATTCCAATTGAAGAAAGCCAACCATTAAGCCACCAATTACGACAAGAACATGGTAACCTGGCCATCAGTGAATTAGGAACCAACAGAACAGAGAATTCAAATGAACAAGCTGTGTATGTTAATTTCTATTCTCAACAATAATCATCTTTGCGACTCCCTTTGTTTTCTACTTTCCAATTTATGTACATACAAACATTCATTCATATTTGTGATGCTAATCTAATTTTCTTTTCTCATCTTCTCTTGTCACCATTATCCTCCCTCCGTCTTCCCATTCCTCTTTTCCTTTCACATATCAATCGTTACAGGATGTTGGATGAATTCGGACAAGATGTAGATTTAAGGGATCCGCGATTTGACACAACATTTAAAAAAGTTGCCAAAGTTTTCCAATTTACTGAAGGTTAGTATTTTAATATTAAATTTTCTCTCTGTTTCAACATTTCCTGGTTTCTAATGGAAATACAGATGATACAATTCAATTATCTTTTCCATGAAAACTTTACCGAAATAACAATTACTCATGTCATCGTTACAATCACTTGAGATCAGTGTACTACAATTTCTCACATCAATTTCATCTCTTCCATCACCATGATCATGTTTACTAATCTTTTGTTTACCATCTTCTTTTTTTCTTCCTATTATCAATCTACTCGCTCTTATTTCTTATCCTTATAATATTTTCATGTCAACACAATTGAATAGGAAAAAAACGAGTGACCTTCGCCGGAGCTGTTGTTGCATTTGTCGTTCTCCTTGTTTTCCTTTGGCTCTAATAGACGAACAATATATTTATATCGACAAACGTTTAACTAATCGAGTATTTCATTATTCACATGTTGTTATTTTCTTTTTTCCAATGTGTCAACCATCGGGAAGGAAAAGAGCACAATCCTCAACCTCCTCTTCTCTTCTGCCCCTTCCCTTTCGCCCTCTTTCACATGAGAATCTTTTGGTGCTCTCACCAATCAACCAATTAGCAACTAAAAAGATCCAACAATCAAATTCAATACAACGATGCAAAACCATCATCACTAATTGTCATCATCATCTCAACTTGAACCGATAGCCAATCAATACACATTCAATTACTATTATCATTATATCATTGAATTCCGTTCCACTACGATGCCTCATTTCTCATTTTGAGAAAAACTGAAACAAACAATCATGGAATCAACAACAAAATTATACATTCATTTATTTAACTTTTTGCATTTAACAATTAACAAGTGATCAGCAAATTAATTTCCAATTGAAAGCAAAACAATTTACCATTGTAAACTTGACAATAATTGATTAACTTTCTGTTTTGTTTTTCTGTGAATGTGTGTCTATTTAAAAAGAAACTAATTAACAACGCAGAAAAAGACAATCGGATTTATATTATTTTTTAGTTTCCTCTCCTCATAAATCAAACACAATCAACTAATTGCCAGCAAAACTGTGTAAACTATTCAAATTGATTAAAATTAAAATCAATTTATGTTTTAATTTGTATTTGAAAAAAATTCTCTTCCATTGGGTTAACAATGTCTTTAAAATTAACAATTAACCTGTGAAAATCGCTAATTAATCCATTGATAGGTTGTAATTAAAAAACGTAATTAACAATCAGAAAGAGAAAAATTTGTTTTTCTTTTTCAATAATTAGTAGGATAACTTTTGCTTCGCTCAACAATTGATTGTCAAAAGAAGTTAATTTACTAATCATTATTGAAGATTTGAAGATTGGAAGATTATAATCAGTTGGCTGATTGATTTGGTCAAATCAATTTACTAATTGTAAACATAAACACCAATTAAATTTGTTCATCTTTAATAATTGATTATCAAGATTTGGATTAAAAATGTCTTCCGAATGGGTGAGTAATGATTAAATTGCCAATTCGTTTTGCTTATTTTTCTCTATTGAGAAGAATTTGGTTAATTGTGACAATCATTTTTAATTGTTATTCTATTTTAATTAGAAAAGTAAAATTTCCTCCTTAATGAGTGACCACAAGTTCCTCTTGTCCCACTCATGGCGGCTTCTCATTTGGGAGAAGCCTTTTTTCCCGATAATTACTTTCCTTTCGGTTACAATTTTCTTCTGGTAAGTTAATCAATTATTCCTCTTTAACAATCAACTAAATCATCTAATTGTTCATTTCAGGATAATCGCCATGTCTAAAGCCTCCGTTATAACAACATTCGCAATCATTGGTATTTTAATTACGTTTATTGACTTTATTGGACCTACAGTTTATCCCTCGTTGGTACCACAATTTGGGTAATTGTTACAATCTAATCACTAATCCAATTGTTTATCTAGTTAATTGTTTGGAAAATTGTCTAAATTAATCTAATTCTATGGTTTTCCTTCAGTTCTCAAAGTGAATCTGATTACGAAGCTGCTTGTGGTTATCTCGCTTTACCATTTAAATTGATCGCAAAGGGAATTGATAAATTAATCGAATTGAAACAACGGCAAAAGGCCATTCTTTCGGGTGCCGTTGCTGGTGTTCTACTTCTTTCCAGTCTTCTTGGTCGAGTCAACAATTATTACCTTTGTTACCTCGCTTCGGTCATCTTTTTAATGGCCCCTGGTGCTCTTAAAAAGGCTGGAATCAATATCGATGATAGTTCCAGCAGTGGTCGAAGTGGCTCAATATCGTCTCCCGGTGGTTATGGTGGTACTACAACAACCGGATATGGTTCAAGTTCACCTTATGCTGGTGGATCATCATTCTCACCCTCAACATCATCAACACCAATTAAACCGTCGTCAGGTACCGGAAGCACAATCGGAGATGATGCTAAAACCAAATCAAACGATGACGATGATTAAACTAATATTCAAAATATCAATCAATCAATTATTCTGATCTCTTTATAATAAGATGGACAAACCAAAAAAAAATCGTTTCTTTCTCAAAAAAGTTAATCCAATTCTCCTTAATCACTAATCTCCAATCTCCAATGTTAATCGTTAATTGTTTCCAAATTGTTTTTCTTTCCTGTTGTTTTCTCATTAATTGTGATTCTCTCTGTTTGTTTGCTAGTTAATAAAAAGAAGAAGAAGAAGAAGAAGAAAAATCTCTTTTAAATGTAATCAAATTGTAATTATTTTCCTCGACTAATTAACAATCAAAATCGAAAATTAAAAATTTTGATCAAAAGTTTTTCTCTTCGATAGTATCGATTGTGATGGAACTTGAAATCTACCAGCTGATTGAATTTTTCTTTCTTCACTTTGTTGTTGTTATTTTCTTTCTCTCTTTCAATTTGATTATTTTTCCAATCTATTGATTAATTGTTTGGTTTTCTATTTTTTAATTACATTCACCATGAGAAGAATTAAACCAAAAGTATCCGAAGATGCCAACGCGGTTGTTATCCCGCCGCCCGAAGGTGAAAGTGACATGTTGAAAATAACACCTTTGGGTGCCGGTCAAGAGGTTGGTAGAAGTTGCGTTTTAATTGAATTTAAGGATAAGCGGATTTTACTTGATTGCGGAATTCACCCTGGTCTGAACGGGATCAACGCTTTGCCCTTTGTTGATTGTGTCGAAGCCGATCAAATTGACCTTCTTCTTATTTCTCACTTTCATCTTGACCATTGTGGAGCATTACCTTGGTTTCTTACCAAAAGGGCTTTCAAAGGTTAGTAGGGTCACTTTATATTCTTGACTTTAATTAGATTGGTCATTGTTTCTAATTTTCTTTTTTTCTCTTTTCGGGTTTTCTATTCTCTCAATTTTTTATCCTCTTATAGGAAAATGTTACATGACTCATGCAACTAAAGCAATTTATCGTTGGTTGTTGGCTGATTGTATTAAAGTTTCAAATATTTCAAGTGAATCAATGTTATACAATGAGGCTGATTTAGAGGCATCTATGGATCGTATTGATTTGATTAATTTCCATGAGGAGAAAGAGGTAAATGGAATTCGTTTCTGGTGCTATAATGCAGGTCATGTTCTTGGTGCTGCCATGTTTATGATTGAAATTGCTGGAGTTAAGGTTTTATATACTGGTGACTTTTCCCGTCAAGAGGATAGACATTTAATGTCCGCTGAGATTCCTGCAGTTCGTCCGGATGTACTTATAATTGAATCAACTTATGGAACTCATATACATGAGAAACGAGAGGAAAGAGAAACAAGATTCACCAGTGTTGTTTACGATACTGTTACTCGAGGTGGTCGATGTTTGATTCCCGTTTTTGCTCTTGGACGAGCTCAAGAGTTATTACTTATTCTTGATGAGTATTGGGGACAACATCCTGAGCTTCATGATATTCCCATTTATTATGCTTCCTCGTTGGCCAAAAAATGTATGGCCGTTTATCAGACTTACATTCATGCGATGAATGAAAAAATCCGCCGCCAAATTGCCATTAATAATCCATTTGTATTTAAACATATTTCAAATTTAAAGTCAATTGACCACTTTGAAGATGTCGGTCCTTGTGTGGTTATGGCCACTCCTGGTATGATGCAAAGTGGCCTTTCCCGGGAACTCTTTGAATCATGGTGTTCAGATGCTCGCAATACTTGTATCATTGCGGGTTATTGTGTTGAAGGAACTTTGGCCAAACAAATACTCGCCGAACCTCAAGAAATAACAACACTTGGCGGCCAAAAGATTCCAAGAAACTGTCAAATTGAATATATCTCATTTTCGGCTCACACTGATTACAATCAAACAAGTGAATTTATCCGATCTTTGAGACCTCCTCACATTGTCTTGGTCCATGGAGAAGCAACCGAAATGGGTCGATTAAAAGCAGCACTTCAACGTGAATACGAAGATGAACCAACACCGCCGATAGTTTATAATCCGAGTAACACAGTTTCGGTTAAACTTTATTTCCGTGGTGAGAAAACAGCCAAAGTTATGGGTTCTATTGCAATGGAACCACCATATCCAGGGAAAAGACTCTCTGGTATATTGGTTAAGCGTAACTTTAATTATCATCTTCTTGACCCAACCGATCTTAACAAATACACTGATCTCAACAAAAGTACAGTTAATCAGCGATTAAGTTTACACTTTAAAGGTACTTTTCAAGATTTAACAACAATCCTCAGTCAATTTGAATGGGAAATTGTTGAAGGTAAAAATAATACCAAAGCGATTAAATTATTCCGTCGTATTGACATATCACTTAATCCAAAGACAAATGTCCTCACGTTGGATTGGGTTGCAAGTCCAGTTTATGACATGTACAGTGACGCAGTGGTTGCACTTATATTGAAACAATCGTCAATCAAATCGGAAAGTGATGGTGAAAGTGCCGAGAAACGACCTCGACTTGCTGAAGATTATTTACTCGACGCTATTAAGGAAATGTTTTCAATTGATAACATCGTCCAGAGGTAAACAATAATAACGCTGATGGTTCAACGATCGATCAAAAAATATACTCATTTATGGTTGATGGTTCACGAGTTCGAGTTTCATTAACCAAACAGGAGATACTTTTATGTGAAAGTGATACAATTAGATCGATGTTGATCAAATTGTTCACCTGTCCAGCTTCATCGACAATAACACAATAGAGAGGAGAAATTTTCTTTCTTGGTAATTACTTGAGACATTGAATTTGATTGTTATTAGATATTTTTCTTTATTTCTTTGTTATTGATATAAAACTAATAGATTTTTGATTCTCTCGTTGTTAGGAAGTACAAAATTGAACGGCAACAAAATGGGACAAGAAAAAGAGGCAGTAACACTTATTGGGACCATCAAATGGAATCGACAATTATCATTGATTCGTGTCTGGACTTAGCGAGTTGAATATTGGTCTTTTTTTATTTATTTTCATATCTAAATCATATTTCTAATTGTGATTGGGATGTTACGTTTATCCATAATATGGATAACTTTCTGTGAGAGAGGAAACATACACAAAGATTTTATTGAAAAAACTGTGATTATTGAAGTGATTGGTAATCTTACCGTAATTGTCGAGAGTATATTGTGAATTGTATCGGGAATCGTCATCGTAGCCTCCCATGTTTCTCAATAAAATTTGAGCTCTTCGTTGTTCAATTGGACTCAATGGTGGAGCATAAGGATAACGATACTGACCCATTGGCGATTGTGAAATGTAAGGTGATTGTTTAGTTGGATAATAAGGATATTGTTGCTGTTGGATGACTATTGAAAGATGACAAATGATAATCAATTTCAAGGAAAATGATGGAAAGATAATAAAACGAGATTCGAATCATAGTTTGACAAATTCGTACTCACATCGATCTGATTTGTAACCGCCTTTTTGTCCGATAACTGAACCAATGGTGAAGATGAAAATGGATACAACCTGAAGGAAAAACAGAAGAAAAATATTACATTAATTTACTGTTATGATGTAAAGTCGATAACAAACAGAATTGAAGACATACCAAGACAGTCTTGAACATCATGATTAGTTGATTAAACTTGGTCAATTTAACGAGGAATCGCTTTAAGATTGTGGATAAACTGTTACTATCGAAGTTACTTTTCGAATTGATAATTTTCGTAACTAACCGATGTCCTTTTATATGAAAGTGAAAGTATTTAACCAAATGCATTTTCGAACTCGTCAATCCAGTCATGATAATCGTCGGTGTCTTCGTCTTATCGATAATCATCCTATTGTTTAAACTTTTTCTCTCTCTCTCTTCATGATCTCAAATTTATCGTTGTCCAGTTTTAACAATTTCTGATGGACAATCAACAGTCGTTAATGATATCCCTGTTAAAAGCGATCCCATCAACACCAAGATTCAGGATAAACAAGAAGAAAGGAAATCAAATGTTATTCAATATTCATGCTGAGTTTTCATCTTCCTCTCATCAGTTGGCTTTTCATAGTAATCAAAGTGATATATTAAAATATGATTACAATACTACCTTGAGCATCTTATCGGGTGTTTGTTTCGTCAAGGTCATCAAACTGATTGAATTACATGTACTGTAACCAATCATTTTCACAAATTTCCCACCGAGCAACTGAATTCAGTCCAATTTTTTTCTTCTGGCCGCTCTGTCGTTTTCATCAACATTAGATAGGATTAAGGTCACTCTACGTAAATCATTTTGTTAACTGTTTCAAGACAATCAACAGGCATCGAAAATCCAACCAACTAATAATCATGCTGTTCACAATCACCATCCGATCATCACCTTAATCATCACGTTGCAATTGATGATTAAGTTACAACCAATTGTTACAATCACAATCTATTCAATTGTTAAATCTCAAGACATGATGATTTCCCACCTCATCCTCATCCTCCTCCTCTGTTCCCACTCCTAAAGGTTTACAACCTAACAGAAAACAATCAAGGTTCAATTGAGAAAAAAGAATGACAATTAATTAAATCAATTCTTTTTTTTTTATTTTCTATTGTTAAAAACAATCAAATTTGCACACAATTATTAAAAATCTTCCGCTAATTTAAAACCAACTTAATAACAATAATATTCAAACCTTATTGCTAATTGTAATTAACTCTCAGTAATTTCCGAGAACCGATTGATTTAGTTATCGAAATGCAAAAAAAAGCGATCAATTAGATTTTGATTGATTTCCCCCAATTGAAAGACAATTAAAGGACAATTTACTGATTTTATTTCATTGGTTCACAAAAATCAACATAATTAAAATTGAATTTCTGTTTACTTTAATTGTTGTTTATTGTAAACACATTTATACACATTTGATTATCATTATTATTACAATAACTATGATTGTTTGAACAATTTATTTTAATTTTACAATTGCTTGTTGAGGGTAAAAAATTGATTCAAATCACAATTTAATGATAATTATTAGGCATCAGTTAAATTAACTATTACAATTGAATGAAAAATATTTGAATCTGGTTAATACAGTTAAGTGATTGAGTTAATTTGATTTACTCTTAATTCAATTGTTGACATAGTTTTTTTGTTTACTCCAAACAGAAAGCGCCCAGAAAAAGACCAGAAAATAGTGATTATTATTTATGATTAAGATGATGATTAAGATGATGATTAAGCTGATGATTAGGATGATAATTAAGAGACTAATTAGAAAGGTCAAATGAAGAGATATTTAAATTGTCATCAGTCTCGTCTAGTTGAACAATCTTGAAAATGGCAAATTTTATGGTGACAATTTTTGTGGAAATACAAACAAACAAAATAATCTTCATCATAAGCTGATTGTTTCATCATGGATTTCAGGGTGATTATCGTTATCTCATCATTAATCAGGCGTTAATCATGATTTTGTTTTTCTTTCTTTTATCATGAGAAAGTTATTTCCATGAGTTTCCAAATCCGGAAAAGTAAATGGCAATTTCCAAGTTAATCATCAAATTGTTTCTCATTTTTTTTTCTTCTTCTTCTTCTCCTGATAAAGTTCATGGTGATGATCATGATTAATGGTGATTAATGTGAAGGAACAAATTTCTGATCTATCAACAATTATTTGATTGTTTTCTTTTTTTTTCTTAAGTTCGTTCAATCATTTTCCAATCAGAATCACATTCGACTTTTAAATTATTGTGTATGAGTGTTTTTTTCTTATTTTTGGTTCGATTTTTGAAAAGATAATTAGATCAACTTTCGATTAACATTCGATGATGATGATGACTATTGGTGAGTCGAATAGTAATGATATTGTTGTACAGAATCAGCATCTTCGTAAACGTCCATTGGGTAAAGATCTTCGGCTTGTACTTGAATAGATCCTGAGGTTGAGGCACAGGAAGATTGACCATCGTCCGAATGATGATCACCGTGATTACCATTGTCACCAAATCGACCCTTGAATATTGGTGACCAAGGAATAAAGAAAGAGGAAGCCAAAGTTGACCTTCTCGATGAACCAGGGCGAAGATAACCCGATGTACCAGCGGCACCAGGGACATTTGCCGCTCCCGGAGTGGCACCTCCATTGAACAATGAAATTGCTAATTTCTGATTCTTGGGTAATGTCCCATAATATGATCCCGAAAATGATGAATTGTGTAAACCCAATTGGGACGATGTTCGGCCTGAGGCTCCACTTTTGGTCTTCATTGGTACTCGAAGATAAATTTTAAGCTTACGCACATAAAGGCACATTAATATAACCAAAGCCGATAAAAGGTTGGCACAGACTATGGTTAAATTACTGTGAGATTGAAATAAAGGTGAATAACTGGCCGCTAGAATCCAGGTTGACCAGATAAGTGCAATTAATAAACAAGTTGACGCAATCCAACGGGGCTCCCGATAATTTTCAACATTATTCCAGGTAAAAAGTGAAAATATCAGAGTAACAATATTAAGTATAATAAGATAGACCAATGAGATTAACGATTCCGTCCTAATAAGGTTACTATTAGACGGAGGCCAGGAGCAGGTATTCAGGTCGAGATTGGGTCTTGGTGGGATAATGAACAACCAGATACCAGTAAGAATAACCTGGAGTGAGAAAAGTGCCAATGCGACCATTAGAACCCTTCCTGGGGTTGAAAGGCGAAGCTGTTTAGCTGAACCGGAATCGGTCAATTTTGAGTAGCGGCGAATATTTAAAACTTTAACCAACAGCGAGGCCAAAATAAGGGAATACCCGAAGGGCATTCCAAGTCGACGAAGAACACAAACCGTAAACGATGAAGGTATCAGATAGACAAAGTTAACGGTAAATAATATAACCACACCGACCAAAGTTAAATAGCCCATTAGAGTTGTACCTGAGGTGGCAGGAAACAAGAGTCGGAAATAAAGTGCCCCAGTGATTATAAGGATAACACCAAGAGCTGAAATAACGGCTAAAGTTAAATACCATCCAGCGGGTACATTGATTGCTTCAAATCGGGTATCCCAATTATTATTATTACCATTTAAGTGATTGTTTTGAAAGGGGCTCTCATCATAACCGGATGATGAACCTAATCGATGAGCATGAGATGAGTGATCTGATTCCCAAACACATCGAGCATAACATTCAGAATCAATGGATGAGTAATTGATATTATCTCCTCCTTTAAGTATATCAAATCGTGTGAAAGATGTTGCTGATCCGGATGAATCTAATGATGAACTTAAACCACCCCCTCCTCCTCCTGAAGATGAGGAAGAAGCCGATGAAATTGATGATGGTGATAAAAATGAAGATGAAGATGATGAATTATCTGACGGAACCAATCTTGATTGTCTTATCTTGATACATCCTTGACATCCTGTTGATGGACAAGGTGATGGTTTATAGTTAACATGAGGATTGATAATTTGACGTTTACCGGTCGCTGAATCGTAGGCAATCATATGTGAATAATGAATATCACTTGGATCATTAAAGTGTAATTTAGTAATTGCCAAATGAATCCAATCTCCAGTCATTGGTTCCTTTGATCTTCCCAATCTCATTTCCCTTAATTCCCGGAAAACTTTATCCTCTACCCTAAGGTCACCAAGATAATCCGTTTCAAACTCTTTCCTTGACATTTTAGCCAATGCTGGACATAAACCTGGTTTACCTGAGCATTTATTGTACCAAGCAGTTCGTAAACCTTGTACCAGGATGAAAAGTGTATGAATCATTGGTGTTACCTGATAGGAACGCCAGAGCATTGATAATGGTGATTCGTTACGATAAAATCCTGAACTCGATTTACTTGTTACCGTTAAAATGTACTCATAAAGCCAAGTGTACTTTCTTATGGCACCTAATTGATTCTTAATTGACTGCCAGTGTCTCTCGAAAGGTTCAATTGCCCCAGGATATGGTGAGAGAGTGAAAAAATTGACTGAACTATTGTGAAAGGGTAACAACAATTGTGGATCAGGTAATGAGGTAAAAATGAATTGATGTCGAGATATAATCGCAAGATTATTGGACATTATGTTGAATAAATGTTTAACTGAAGCTTCGTTGACGATCACAAAGATTGGTACATTTTCTGGTATCGATGAGATCATTGTCTTAATAATTGTCAGATAAGATGAGGATGTAAATTGATCACTTTCCTTACTTGTATTACCTTCATCATCATTATTTTCATGTGATGATGATGAAATTGGATTAGGTAAACCCGAGACCATGGTCAAGCAAAAGTTATCCTTAAGTGAAGCTTGACCCAATAATTTAAGTGTTTGTAATGAATGTTCATCAAGTGAATGAAGTATTGCAATTTGAGTCCATTTTAAATCGTTAATTGTTTGGGTTAGTGTTTCCGTAATCATCTCTGGTGGGATGAAAAGGTTTAAATTGAGTAACACAATAGGTAAATGGTAATGTCGGGTTAAGGTGACAATCCGATGATCCTTTGAAACACCAACCATGTCAATAAGTGACAATGAGTTAAGATCAAGAGGAGTGTCATCCTCACAATCATCTGACCCTCTCTCAAGAACTGGATATATTTTGGTTAAATGATGAGTTCCTAATTCAGGATGATTACATGTATCGTAAACCCTCATACCTGTTGTAAGGGAATTGAATAGATAGATGGAGAGAGAGAGAGAGAAATGGGACAAAGATTGAAGTTAAATTGTGATTAAGATTTTAAACTGACTATTAATATCTTTTTGCACTCAATTAATATTAAAAGAGTGACCATTGATTGGGTCAGTTAGAGGGAAATTAGTTCATTAACTTACCCAATTTAACACCGGGAATCAATGATTGGGTAACTTGATATCCATTTAGTAAACCTTTATCTTGGTTAATCAATGAGATTAACCATCTCATTGATTCAAAGATGATTATTGATTTATCCTTAATCTTACCGCATCCATAGATACCTCGAGATGATGACTCGTGGACATCAAGTAAACTGGTCAGATAAATATCGGAATTTTCACCAATCACCTGAATTGGTTCTGATTTTTTTACTGGTTTACATTGTTCCTTATAGTTAATCTCACTACTTGAACTGATCCTGGTCAAGTAAATTGTCAAGATAAACAGGATGACCCATTGTAATTGTTTACACACAAGCACATCCATATACTTGAGTGTCTATTTGTGCTGGATGTTGACAAGAGATTAATAGATTAAGAGATTAATGGATCAAATTGATGAACACAGATGAGATGAGAAAACTGATTTATTCACATTGAGAGTTGATTAAAGAAATTTACAAGATCAACAGGTAGGAGAGAGATCAAGGTTCGAATTCAATTGTCGAACAAGAAGAAAAAGTTCTAAATCAAGTTCGAAGCGTTGGTGTCGATTGGTAATCCAAGTACAATTAGTAGCAGTAAACAAATTGATCAATTCAATGAATGAATGAATGAATAATAATCCAATAGTAATTGTAATTTAATTGAAGAAAAACAAAACGATATGAACAACAATTAATCAATGATCACAGTTAATTAATAGATTGTAATGATTGCCACATGAATGACATTAACTGGAAATATTTGATTTCCATTCATTAAAAAAGGATTAAAATATTAATTATATTAATATTGTGAAGATGAACAAAAACAATTTGATGATGAGAAATATTTAATTTTTGGCAACATTAAAGGTATGATGATGATATCAAGATGAAAATGTGACAGATGACAAGAAAACGTAAACAAAGGTACGTAAGGTGAGTAACCACACCCCAAGAGACAAGGTAAACACCATTGACAAAATAAGCAATTAGAAAAACAATAATAAACAAAAGGGAAGACACTAAGTAAGTGTATTGGTTTTCAATACTATTCAATAGTAACCACATACAAATACATATTACCTGAAATCTTACGTTTACATCTACCTGGCTTAGGTAACTGTATAAATGAAGGTAAAGAAAGAGAGAGAGAGAGAGATGTTGATCTGCTTACAATCAAAGTTAATTACAATAGTTACCTGACTGGTTAAGTCTAAACAAGTTTAACCACAACGTTTGCAAAGATCCAACCTTTAAAAGGTGTGCTTAGGACATTTATTGGTTGCCGTATATTAAGTGTATTGGGTTGATTATCAATCGACTGAGACCCGATTATCTAAATAAAACAACAAAAAACGCAATCGAATCCGCGATCTTTAACTTTGCACGTTTCCGATATTTATTATCTTTTATGTACGTATATAACTTACCGGTCATCTTATTAGTTACTTTATCGATATTACAACAAGACTGACCTTTGCTTTTGAAATATATTCGAGGTTGAAATTGGAGAGAGAGAGAGAGAGAGAGAGAGATTGATCAGAATTCAATTCCTACCGGAATCTGAGATAAACTTGAATGTCAAGTTTTTCCTCTTTATTAACAAATCATATTATTAACAGTTTACTAAATAACTGTTATTATATTTAACTAATCAAGTTAATTGTCTTACTAATCAATGTGTTACTTAAACGGATATATAATAATATATATATAATTACAATTGGTTGTTTTTACTAATCCACTTAATCCGTTTTCATTGTTATTCTGATCATGTTTATTGATTGGCTTTGTTTTTCAAGATCTATTGTTTTGTAATGTAATTGCAAAGTTAATTTAATTTTTGCAATTTAAGTTTTTCAATTAAAAGGTTTCCCTTAACTAATATTAGCAATCAAACTGATTAATAATATAATATTAACCTCTTGATATTAATATAAGGTTTCCAAGTTTGAATTCATTAATAATACATCTGAATGATTAACATAATGCCATGTAAGTGATTAGTTAATTGTTGGCTAATCTCGTCTCATTTTTCAATCTATTGTATTTCATTTAATTGATTAGATTTGATTATGATCCATCATCATTGTTAAATAATATCAGGAAAAAAAATGATCAGTCAATTTTATGATTAAATTACAAATTGAATGGTAACAACAATTAAAAGATTATGATTAATACAAGAGAGGCAAGAATAAAAGTTATTAATCATTTAGCTAATCATTTTGTTATTTTCTGACTGTGATTAACTTTTAAATAAATTATCCAACGATTATGATGTGACAATAATAACATGATTCGTTATTATCGTTGTCGTTTTCATCGTCGTTAATAGTTTTTAGCACTCGGAGTTTTTATCAGCACGCTAACATCGTTGGAACGATGAAAATACAATCAATTAAAGTCAATTACATGGTTACGATTGTTGTATCAAGTGAATCAAAGCAAATCAGAAAAAAAATTCAGGTAAAAAAAGACCATAATCAACAAATCACTTCAAACAACAATCAACTAATCACGATCTGGTCACTCAGGTCAACCTTAAATTTTTTTAATTACACCTTAATCATTTCCGAGTTTACTTTAACCATGTTAACAACGTTTCATTGAATATTCAATCATGTATGTTAATTGTTACAATGTAATCACATTGAGTTAACTTTTTCATGAACTTATCACTTGATTTTATTAATCAGTTTCTTTCAATTTGTTCTTGGTTGATTGTTTAGTTAATCATGATGATAATGAACTAACAATTAATTTAATATTTTCTCATATTGTTTCAACAATATGCTAATCAATTGTTGAGTTAATTGTTGTAACAATTAGTTTGATAAAATAATTTCTTACTTTCCGATTGTGATTTGAATTGATGAATCAATTTAACTGTGGGTACAATTTAAATTAAATTAAATTACTTGTATTAATCAACTATTTATATTATCATCATGATGCTGATCATTATTATCAGTACAATTATATAATCATCAGGATAATCAAAGTCTCATTTAAATGAATTAGTTAATCTTAAATATAATATATCTGATTGAATTTAATAGTTAGTTAATTGTGACGACGATGATGATGATAATGATGATTAACTGGTACCTGTATATTTAATTATAATTATGATTGTGATTAAAATTAAAGACGATTTTACCTCAATCGACTGATTAACTTGATTAAAAGTTAAGAAAAGTTTTTCTATCTCATTTAAATTAACCATAAATATTAAATTGAATTGTTCAACAATCAACAATCAAACGAATCAACAATGACAGTAGTAAATCAACCGTAATATTGATACGTTCAACTTACAGTTGATTGTTAAAGTTAATCCAGTTAAATCATATTAAACATTATCCAGAAAATGTTTTCAACAATCAAGTGAATAAAAAAAGTAACGATTTTCAATCAATTTGATAACAATTAGAAAATCAGAAAAGGAAAAAAAGTAAGAAGCAAAAAAGTATCAACATTGACAATCAAATATAATTAACTCACTAATCAACGTATTAATTATTAACCATATCAACCAAGTTAACTAATATAGAGCATTACAATTAATCAAGATTAACTGAATCAAATCTGAGAGAGAGAGAGAGAAAAAAACTCAAATGATTAAAAAGTTTCCCTTGAATGATAAAAGACAAGGAAGGAAAAAAATCGAATAAAAATCGAAAATCGACTTTTCGATTTTTCTTGAAAAAGTTAATTAACACAAACAATTGAAATTGAAGAAATTAGTTAAACATTATCACAGTATTAAGGTGGTGATGATGGTGATGAATGTGAACACATATAATAGACAAGGGTAATTATCTTAATCTGTCAACCAATCTAACGGTTTGTTCATATTGTTTTTACCTGAATTTTCAATGAGCTTTCAACTTCCGTTTCCTTTTCACTTATATTTGAGTTAATTAAAACCAACTAAACGATTGTGAGAGTGAGTCTATCATATGATTGTGTGTATATGTGAGTGATCATGATGATAAGCAAATTAATGACAATGATTTGTAACCTTGATAAGAAGAGAAAGAGAAAAGTAAGAGAGTCAGAACTTTTTCTTCATGAATAATAAATTCTGAAAGAAAAAAAAAATGATATAATGATAGAGAATACAAGTGAAGCTTAACGATTAAGACACACGAACTTACTAGTACTTCATCCTGTTGACACTACCTTATCTTTGCATCACTAAATTATCATCATCATCCTCATCATCAACAATAACTACAACAACATCATCATCAGTAATTATCATGATCAACAACATCATCATTTTGTATATTATTGAAAGTCAATGAGCCAGAGTAAGACAAGGTTACCTGTTCAATGAATATAATTTGTTAATCATTTAAGGTAAAAAAAGCAACAATTTAAATTAACTAACAGGTAAAAATAACATTTACGGTTGATTTAAGGTTATATTGTGATGAACATGATCAGGTAAATTTGGGTGAAAACGATATTCAAACTTCAATTTCAATCTGATTCATAATTTTTCATCTGATTTTAAATTGTTTTGTAATACAAAATTAAGTTTCGGATTTACAATTAAATTTAAATCATCAGAAAAAAACAACTTTTTTTTTCTTGTTAATCAAGAGCAATTTACTATTTACTTTAATTATATTTTCAACTAAATTTTCATGATCATGAATTTTAACTGATTGATATACGGAAACTTTTACAACGCAACTAAACAATTAACTAATCGTTGATTAAATCAGCAGAATTTTTTTTTCTGTATAAACAAAATTATAATTAATTATTTACATTTTGATTGATTTGAATCAGTTAGATGATCATCAAGATCAATTGAGTTTCACTTTGTTCAGTTTTTCTTGCTCATTATTATAGCTAATCTATTTTACCTTTTTACTAAATTGTAACAATCAGTTAACTAAATCAAGGTAACACACAATCAGCCTAACTAAATGAGCTTTCAAAGTAAAGGTTAATCATTTGTAATAATTACAATTGTTAATCATGATGATATCAAAAACATTAAATCAAAAGGTGTGTGTATGTTTATATCAATTGGGTGAAGTAAAATCGTAACAATTAATTGACTGATTGTTATTATTATTATGATTTAAAACAATTAACTTGAGATCAGTACTGATGAATAAAAAAGATACGAGAAAAAAAAAGTGAAACTTAAAAATAATCATCAAAATGATCATGATTTAATCACAATCAAATTAATGACAATAATCAAGCTTTACAGTGACAATATAAAGACAACAAAGATTTAATTGTTTGCACTTAAATTGTTACCATGATTAAGTTTACCTTTCATATACTATGAAGGTGTGATGTATGTGTGTGAGTGTATTTATATTATTATTATTGTAGATTTTAATTGTTAGTTAGTTGATTGCTAACCAACTAATACACAAAAGTTGATGGTGTTTGTTATCATTATGATTAAACAATGAATCAAATCTTGGAATGAAAATCAAAGTAAAACAACAATAAGAGAGTAGAAAAAGTTATATAATCATGACGATTATGATTGTGATGATTGAATAGATTGTTAATTGTGCTTGATGATTTCTCTTTGTTGATAGAGAAAAAAAATATTACATAAATCATTGAATTTATATGAAGAAAAAAAGTTCTGATTCGATGATTACTTTTTCATCTTAAACAGAAAAGTGTTCATCTTGATACATATACACTTTTGGAACGTGAAAATGAAAATGAAACTTTTTTTCCTTCTCGAATTCAGATTCCCTTCAGAATGTACCCTGAAATCTCATGTAAAGATGGTGAAAATTTTTGGTGAGAAAACATGATGATGATGATGATGATTGAAAGAAAATGAAAATGAAAAAAAATCATCAAAATGTTCAATCAAAACAATGGATAATGATGATACCTGACTAATGGTTTGATGGTGGTGGTAATTGTTGTTGTTATTGTAACAACAATATATTGTTGATGATCATCTTCATGATAATAATGGTGATAATAAATATATTTTCATCATGATTTTTCATGATACAATAATTTCAGATCAAAAGTAAACAATATTTGTTATTGTTTAGGTTTTTCTTTTCGAAACTTTTTTTTCTTTCACAAAACTTTACTTAACATGGAGCTTTCATTTTCACCTTAAGATTTAG